CACTGACGCGTTTGCAGAAATTGGACGCCATAGGAAAGGCCAATTTCGCGTGGCGAATGACTAATCCTCTATGGCCAATAGAGTTCCTGTAATTAGCGTGTAGATATGTTCCCGATTTCTCTAGCTCAGCACGTCCTGTGCTCCAGTAGGGGACTTTCGGGGCCTACGGCCCCCCGGACGAAAAATATACATAACATAACATAACATAACATAATGCAGATTCTGGAGACTTAAGGCTGAGGGCTGCTAAAGACGCTAGACTCGGGACGGGTGGCGGGGAGCCCGGACCTGACTATTAAGGTCTAGCCTTGGAGAACCAGTGGTCTGTGATTCGTTCACACGACTATCCTTGTTTCAGCTGTGCCTTAGCTTCTAGGGTCCCTGTCAACTGGGCAGACAGTCTGCAGGGCCGCAAAGATAATTAGAGCGTCAACGACGTAGTATCTGGAGATAATATGCACAGCAACAAAGGGATAGCGATGAATGGAATTTGAATTGAGAATGGAATGCGTGGAACTCGAATGACTGGAAGAGCCACGCCTGCGGAATTGATATCTGAGTCGTTCTGCAGCTTGGCGAGGTAGGCTGAGCAGTGAGCAGGCATTCTGAGACACACTGAGCAGGGATGTAGATATCACAACCAACAGATGTTACCTTGTGATCCATATATGTATGTGGAGGAGAAAGCCTCCGGCCAACTAATAGGATGTTGCGGAAAGTTTAGCTTTCGACAAAAGGCTCATATACAAATACCGCATCTGAGTCACAACGAAGATACTCTACAGTACCTACGCCGTCGGCCAACACTTCCCTTTCCATCTTTCAGTTTTCCAGACTCTCCATAATGTCTACCCCGTCCAAAGATCAGAAATGGGATCGCTATGATCTAGAGCAAAGAGGGTTTTACTACAATGACGACAGCCGTCCCCCAATGAAACCATTCCCACGGCATGTCGAGGCTCTCCGGCAGGCAATACTTGACTTTACATGTGAAAAAGACTATGATAGGAAACTAATTGTAAGTGGAGAGACTGTATTTTACCAAAGTGCTCATCTGTTTTCCGTAGATGGTCCATCTGACTAGCAACATAGGTTAAAATCGAAAATTCGGCTATGTACTTATACGAGACGAAAAGTGCCGAGCCGGCTTGGAAAGACTTCTTTCAAGAGAATTTCTTTCGCCCTCTTCTAGATGACGTCTCCGTCTCACAAGAAGACTCACGCAGGTCAGTTAAGAATTCTTTATCCTAAGAACTTTTAATAATATGCGACCTTTTAGAGTTTCACGAGCTAACTATTACTATGACACTGTAATATCGTAAGTAGTTTTATAAATGAGTATAAAAGCTTCCGACTAACGAGAATTTACCAGTGAATCAGATGATCTATGGGTTACATTTGACGGAAAGGGCAGCCTTGGTGATTCACTTCCTGATTTGTTTTACAACAAGAAACGCCCCCAACCCGATCGTGCTTTTTATTTTCCGATATACCATCTGACGGAAGAATCTCATGTTCCTAGAATAGTTGACCGCGAGGCCCTGAAGTGGCACAAAGCATCAATGCCAGCCCTTGTGGAGTCGTTCTCATGGCCCGATCTGAAAAGGCTTTATGCCCACGGCTTACGACCATCTCCCTTCCATGCTTTCGACAAAAGGAAGCCCCTAGAAAAACACCTGAAGTGCTTTCCATGGCTCGTTATTGAGCACAAGAAGATGCCTGAGACTGGCGAGAAATTGAAGGAGGTTGCTTACTGCCAAGCGGTCAATGGTAGCGGATGCGCCGTCAGGTTGAACCAGATCGCTGCGAAGTATACTCCTGAGTTGGCTAGACAGGCACATGTCCCTCCGATTCCAGCTGTGACCACAGTTGGGCCTGAAGTCAAGGTCTGGATAACGTATTATATCAAAGACTTTTTCCCATATTTCGACGATGAATACGACGAACAGCAGTTCCGCAGACACGATTCAGCTTATGTAAGTACAGATTTAGGAATCCGAGGCTGAGTTAGATTTATAATTCTTGGTAGATGATGCGATGCATTTGGGATGGAGATATGACTGAACCTGAGGATATTGTCAAGTTCCGACTCATACTCGAAAACATCCACACCTGGGCAACGCGAGTTTTCAAGCCATTGATCACCACATATATTGATCAATGGAGGTTTGTTCACTCTCCCTCTAGCCAACAGAGAATGGAGCTCTCGAGAAGTGCACTTCGATTTGTTCAGCGCGCTTTGGATGGACAGCCAGACCCCGAAGATGATGATCTGGATCAAGATGCCAATATGAGGCTAATGGAACTCTGCGATACATTCGTTCAAGCTGCGCACCAAATTATGGACGAGAAGCTTGAGAGGCTACGCCTGAAGAACCTGCAAGATTCATCCTTTAAACTTTCGCGCAGAAGGACACGCGCAGCCAGCGAACAACCTCCACAAACCATGAGCTGCTTGAGTCCTGATGTTGCACTATCACCTCCACACACTGATCCGCGTGGAAGCCCAAGGTTTCGAGCACGAAGCGTTTCACGGCCATGTACTCCGTCAAGCCCAACTCCTGGCGCGAGGTCCAGAGCACAGCAAGTCGCTTCACCTCTCCAGATAGCCATGGCAACCGCGGCAGCCAGGGGGGCCAAGAGACGAGAAAGCGGGAGTAAATCCCTCGAATCACCGCCTGAAATCGTACCTCAACTGACTCTCACACCTGAGGGAGCGGCTGATTACAAGATCCTCGATGACTCGCCTTCAATTGAATCGTCAAGCATCGACACACCAGCTGACGAGAGATATGGGGAAATCTTGATGCCCGGCGCCTTTCCATTAGTCACGCCGGCCAAATCCGTACAGTCTTCTGTTTCTGATATCGATCCCAACGAGGATGGGGTGGTGTCTAGTCACTTGCAAAACCTATCAAAGGGCTTCGCCAATATGTTCCTGGGACGAACTCCATAGTGAGAATGATGAAGCGAACGGTAGCAGCGGTACAGCTTGCTGGTAGATAAGTGTACTTTTATGTAATTGTTCAAATTGATACGTTATTATTTCTATGATAAGACCTTTTAATAGCCTAGTATTATTACTGCTATTATGAGTAGTACCTACCAGGGATTTATTAACTCTTAAAGCCCTAATACGAAAAGGTCTTCTAGTGCTAGTAAGTCTATTACTTGGCATAGTTAAGCAATTGCTAATAATCATAGATAACAATAACACCAGAACTATTACTATCCTTAAGCTATTCTAAGTCCTTTTATCTAACTTAAAGGTTTTATCTAGCCAGGCTCCTAATACTATTAAGTTCTATTACTGCTCTAGCGGAGGGTTGTTGCTCGGGTTCGGCTAGCATAGCGTCAGACCTGGATGGTTAAGACTTGGATGAATGGTGTGGTAAGTGAATCGCTGTCATACCATGGGCGTATGCAGCTAGTAATGAGATCAAAGGGCCCTTTAAAATGTATACCGATAAAAAGTAAATGCAATGAGAGACCAAGGAAAGGCGTATATGGGGTCTGGGACTCACTCCCAGCATAAATAGCTAAACTAAATATATTATATGTCCAAGCAAAGGGCCCAAATGGATATTCACAGCTAGATTCAAACTAATCGTCCTGTATATGCAGTAGCCATTCTCCTCAAAGTCCTCACACTAATACTTTCCAACGCTAGCTAAAACTTACAGCAAGTTAGGTAGTGATATACAGAGAGTAAAGCACGTGATGTAACTGCGGGGTACTTGGATTTCAGCCAATACTCCGCCCCTCACCACCAGCATCGAGTAAGAGAAATGCATAATGCCACGGCCAAAGGGCAAAGGCAAGATTAAGACCACTGAAAGTATAGCCATTCACTCACTCACCCCATCCTAGGTTGCTCGATTTGCTCGACGCGAAGGATCATCTGCGATCTTGGTCAACCGAGCTGTCAGAAATGTACTGGCAGGGGATTTACCTGCCCTGGGTATGGTCCGAGACTTCGATGGGTTCAGGGCGTGGCTATTCGTGGTCATCTTCGGGGTGTCCAATTTCCTATCCCTGAGGCTCCGGCATCGACCTCTACGCGAAGTTTTGACAGCAACACTCAACAACTATTAGATTATTATGACAAGAATATCGCCGGGTTAATGGTCTGGATCGACTCGGAAAAGAATTATTACCGCCAAAAGGTTCTACCTTTGGCTCAAACGAATGAAGCAGTCCGTCTCGCTATATGCGCAGTCTCGGCCCAGCATGCAGCAAGAGACTTCACGCCATCAAGTGTTTATGAGAAAGATAGGGACCATGTCTTGTCAATCATCATGCGCGGTGTTGACGACATGACCGCACATCCGCAGCTTGCAGTGACTGCCGATACAGCAGAATGGATGCTTTCGTCGATGATGGTCCTATCATCCTACGAGCTAGCTCATACTGGCGGTGCAGATGCTGCTGATTTCCATCGAAAGGCAGCTCGTGCTCTAGTCAACACTCTATCCACCCTGGACTTTCCTAAGAGTAGCCTTTTCGGCTTCTTGCAGAACCAGCTTTCCATGTATGATATTTTCGCATGTACTACTATCCTCGACGCGACAGACGTACAAGATGCGATTAGGCCTGTTGAGTACGGGGATGATAAGTCATTCTCCGCGTATCTACTGATTCTTCATGATGCGACGCTTATATCTCGAGGCGGTTCAGCTCAGGACTCAACTCGGGATTGGAGGGGCGAGCTTATTCAAGCACGAGGGGAGACATTAATGGAAGTTGGCAGCAGCGGGGTGTGCTCGAGTGCCGATCGTGGGGACTTTATACGTCTAGTTGACGCCCACCACAATGCTGCTCTGTTATACACTGCACGATGCCTTGGTCATCAATATGGCCCAGAAGAGACAGTCGGCCTGTTCGACTTGTTTCGACTACTGACTGGTATGGAGAATCTGCATGAGTGGATTCATAACCTCGCATGGCCAATCTTCATCGCCGGGACAGAATGCTACGGAGATGGCGACAGACAACGCATCTTGAGAGATCTATACCAGAGCTTGTCTGATGTCACAGGATTCAAACACCACGGAGATGTTCTCACTTTTCTCGAGACATTCTGGTCCAGCGGAGAATCAGACTGGCGCATACTGGCGAAGCAATGGGAAGGTCTCGGTAGAAGAATCCTAGCAGTTTGAGAAACAAACTATTTACTTCTTAACAGTCTCTTCGTCCTCAATTCCAAATATGACTTTCATCGGATCTCGATACTTGTAGAAGCCCAAAGCCGGTGGACAAATGCCATACCCTAGCAATCTGAGCATCTTGGGGGGGAAGTTCCGAGTTTTTGCAATCTCTGGGGGAATGCTCAGGTACTGGTTTTCTTCCTGCCTCAAGGTTCCCTTGCACATGAAGATACCGACAGTTTCTCGGGCATCATCCCTTTCCATGTTAGCTTGCATAATACAAGAAAAAGTGCAATAAACTTACTTGGTGATGTTGGCTCCGCCTGCATGATAAACGTTGCCCAGGAAGAGCATAGCATCGCCAATTTCCAGCTCTCCGGGAATTGCCTCTTCGTCTAGTGGACATCTATCAGGGCCCCAGAGATGACTCTTTGGGATGACAATGGTAGCGCCATTCTCTTTTGTCGTTTTGGTCAAAGCCTGGCGACGTTAGATAGTCGAAACGCTTCAATGAAAGAGGATGGGCTTACCGTAACACAACAGAGCATCACGGGCATGTCGCAATTCCTAGGATGATAATCCGAATCATCTCTATGAAGAGCCTGTTGCTTTCCACCAGGCTCAACGCGAAATCCAACAGCACTAGCAATGTACGGCTTTCCGAAAACCGTCAACTGCTCTTGGCCTTCCCAGTATGTGTACTTGCTACCCAGGACCTTTTCAGAAACGGATTGGACCAGAGGGTTGATAGCTAGTTCGACACATGCGTCTGAGGTAGCAAAGAAACCGGTTGCTCGCTTGGTGGTGGGAGGAAAGAAGCCGGAATCATCTTTGACATCTGAGTCAAAGAGTGGTTTCAGGTCGCTTCGGATCTGTTCACATAGAGATTTAGAAGCTATGTCTTTGACTATCAAGGCACCGTCTCTCTCTAGGGCGTTGATGATGGTGTCTGCAGTTGTTCCGGGGTCATTGGCATGCAATGTCGAGATTGCGGTTCCTGCCTCTGTGGGATAGGTTGAGGAAGAGCACATTTTTATAGCCGATGAGAAATTAACAGACAACACTAAGTAATCTAATGTTTGGAGAGGAATTTTAGGAACTGCAATTGCGAGCTATATGCTTTTTAACACTTGCTTGTTAGTCTAGTTCCAAACTTCTTACCCTTTCTCACACCAGCAACTTAATTAAGAAGGTAAATCGAGGTTTCTCCCAGTAACTTCCTAAATCAGTATAGCTTCAGCCCTATGTGGGTCTTCTCATCCCAACATCTAAAAAGGGAACACTCGGCAGTTAACCAAGCAATTAGTTTACTCCTTTACTCTTCTGCTAGTGCTTAATGTGCTCTGAAGCAAAGGTCTAAGAAGTGTAGTTATGTCCTCCATCACCGACCCTTGACCTTCCCATCTTTATCTAGTCCCAAGGCGCCAGAGATTTCTTGGATCATCTCCTCACCAGTGTTCCAATCATCAATCGCAAGCTCTGCTTCGATCTTGTTCAGCAGTCTTCCACCTCGAGCCGTCTTCCGAAACTTCTCCTTGTCTTCATCACCCATTGCCTCGAGAAACTCTTCCAGACTTCGCGCCAAAGGATCTTTTCTCTTGAGCTCTGCTTCAGAGGCTTCGGGCTTCTTGTCCTCGATCCACCGCGCTTGTGCCAGCTTGTACAAATAAGTTGGAATGGCTGTAAATGCAAAAGGAATCAAATAAGCGCCAATCACAAGCGCTGTGTCTTCCATAGCCCATATGCTTGTCCATTTCTCTTCCGCTTTAACCAGAAGTCCGTAAGACCAAGGGTAATCTTTTTCCAGTTGCCTTAGCATTGGGAGTGCTTGGCTGCGAACTTGGTCGAAGTGAGAGTATGTGTCTTTGGTCGTCCAGAAGGTCGAATTGCTTGCTGTGAGAGCCCGCATCTGCTCAAAGTAGGTGGGAAATACGCCAGGTATAGCCACTTCTCGGAGGGGTAGCTCAAATACTCGCACGGATACTGGTTCATGGTATGGAAAGTCCCGGTACTTCTTGGATCCCTTTCTTGCCGTCGCGTTGGTGGTGAAGTGTAATAGTGCTGGCGCAGTGACTCGCCATGACCCGCAAAGGAAGCTCTTATGGCAGGATACGTAGTGGAAGTTTGACCGCCCCAACTTCTCATGCTTATCTCTGTATTCCAGAAGCTTGACAAATGCTTGGTCCCAAGGATCATGAAGTATCGGGCCGTCGGGCTGTTTCCATGGCTCCATTTGCGCCGAAAGATAAATCCAATGCTGCCAAGGCTCGTCATTCGAATAGCGACGTGTCCTTCGATACAGGTTGTATAGACTTGCCATATTCTCAACGTTCTCTGTACTCCAACCCCTGGGTCTTCTGAGTCCCAGATGAGAAGTCCAATCCAGCGGGCTCTGAATCGGCGTTATCCCATATATAGGGTTAAAGCCATCTACAAAGCTGTCTCCATATGCATCGCCGAAAAACTCCAGGATCTTGATCTCGTAGAGATTGTTGACGAGGAGGCGAGCAAACTGGTCCATTGTTCCCGTGTACCATTGGACCAGAATGGGCCCTTGGATAAGTCCGAGTAATGTGGTGAGACAATAGAATGGGAGCATCATCCACAGGAGTTTCTTCATAGCACGACATAGTAATTTGAACGTTGCCCAGACTCGGCGGGTAAGGTATATGACGGGACTGAAGATCTTCATATTCAGAATGACCAAATGTGGTAAAGGGGAGAAAGATGAGGAGGGTAAGTGCGACGAGCAAGAGAGTTGAATGGGAGCAGTCTTGTTTTTGTAACCCGTTGTTTTTATCATGGTGGCTCACGGCTGTTGGTGCTGCCCTATGAGTCGGCTTCTGCCTAGATTATCGCCGAATTTTCAGCAAAGTGGAGAGTTTATGCATCTTTTTGGGAAACGTTAGCGATGAATTAATTTTATTTATGCTGTTGGTTGTGAAGTCAGGCCACAGATTGACTAATGCCAAGGCGCTATCTCTCGAACAAGACACTGCAATGGGATCGTGAATAGGGACTTTAATTGTCGCGATGACGGACATTTCTATCATGATTCATCGATTAACTATCCCTAGCAACTATCTGACACATCCTCGCCTCTCGGAGAAAACAACTCGGACCGGCATCCATATCTAGGACAGGTTGGGAAGCTTAAAGACACTGTCGGTAACCCAGTTATCTCCATTCAGATACCCAGCACTCATGACATAAAGCCAATCAGGGTTGTCCATAACCATAGCCTGTCGGGAATAAGCACCAGGCTGAGGAATATCATAGTAAACCCAAGAACCCGCAGCGCCAAGGTTGGTGTTGATGTAAATGCCATTGTCGCTGTTCGCAGTAACAATAAGAGATCCACTGGATCCTCCCGAAGGTGACCAGGTCAGATAAGGCGAAGAGCTGGGTGCACGGCTACCAGCTGTGAGAATCTGGTTTGGCGCACTGTCGAAGGTGAGAGGAGAGTCGGAGATACGGTAGTAAACAGGGAAAGCAGCATTGTTAGGTGAAGCTCCTCCGCCGTACTCAAAGGTCATCATCCACTTTCCATTAGGAAGCTTAGCAACGGTTGTCATACCAGGGCGTTGAGAGTAAGCAGTTCCTCGAACGTCGTTGACGACAGCATCCCAGGTGACACCGTCGCTAGAAGTCTGATGCACCAACTTCTGACCATACGAGGGATCGCGCTGATCGGAGTAGTAGCACACGAGCTTGTTGTTGTACACCATCAGGAAGGGCTCCCAGACAGGAGTTTCACCATTGTTGGGAACGGCCTTTCCTCCAGTAGCAATGTTGGAGATGTACTTCCAGGTCTTGCCGCTGTCGGTAGAAGCATAGAGGTCGATCTTGGTCTTACTGAGATCGGTGGGGATACTATTTCCAGCAAGGAGGATAGTTCCCTTGGCGAGGCTGCCGATGGCCTGGGGCAGAACGTATAGGAAGGGTTGGTAGCGGAGACCCCAGCCGTTCTTGGTATCCGTCACCTGGGATAGAGAGGTCCAAGTTGAGCCCTTGTCTTTGCTCTGGTAGATGGGGAAGTAGACCATAGGTGGCTCGGGGCTGTAGTTCTCCCTGTTCAACGTTAGTAAATACCGTACCGGATCTTCCGGATTGACTCACCAAGTAGCAAGAATAGTTCCATCAGCAAGCTGGACATTTCGCCCGTACAGCGTCTTGGGAGTGTTGTAGTTGGAGGGAGGCTTGTAAATGGTCTGGAACGTAACGGCATGATCCGCGACGGCCCGTTCCTCAATGGCTCTGCATGATGCAGGGTTGAGGAGAGCCAAGCATGATAATAACAGGGAAGCCTTGATGCCAAGCATGATGAAGAGAATGGTGTGAAATGTATGGATGAAGTGATCTGCTGGTGATCAAGAAGGGCGGACGAATGTCTGTTTAAATATCTTGGCATCATGACAGCATACCCCTGCCCGATTTGGTGTTACATTTCCCAAAGTTCTCTAAACTCTAAGCTATTCCTGGGTCGCAGAATGTCACCGTTCAGTCCAACCTAAACAAGACTCGTAATGCCCAACTAGTTTTGAACCTTTATCTTGACGCGCCAATTAACCTCTCAGAAACTGGCTCGACTCACCTAAATCGTCATGTTCCTGGCTCATAAGGTAGCGCACCAATTGACAACTGTCGCAAGAGTCTTTCCCCGTGTCATGTGCCGGTGGAAGCTCCACGCGCTAAGCTCTAGGTCCGGGGCGCTCCCCTTACATTGACTAGCGAGGTTCGGTCTGATTGGAGCGCATCGGAACGTTCTGGAGAATCTGGGGTCCCCAGGTCTCGTGGATTCGGCCTTCGGCACCTGATGTTTTGTTTTGATCTTGCAGCCAATCAGAATGGCATGTGAATGTTTTAATTGCCTCGGTCTATGGTACGATGCTTGGTGACTTGATCCTTTGTTTGGTAGATGAATTGTTTTATCTACTTGTCTATGCTAAAGCTCATATTGATGAGCCATGCGGGTAGCATTTAAAGCCCTTTCTTTAACTAGTGCAGACGTGAAAGCCATTTACTATAGCATTGAATATCGTTTGTAACTTGGCAGCTGCAGCAGAACAGGTAGCACTTTTATAGGAAGCACTCTTGGTCATTTCAGAAACCACTGCTGTTGATTGCAAAACACTAATCTTAATAGAGGAGTACATCGCGGATAACATTAGACATTGCCTTACCCAAACTGGGCAGGATAGCACTGACCATAGCAACGGCAGAGAAGATGGCGAAAATGGCAGCAGTGAACTTGATGATGTGGTGCTTAGATAATAGATCAATTTAATAGTGATGTTATTTAGTAATAAAGGGTTCATAATTACTTAAGATGCTAGATACAAGGGTAGTGTAGTATCTTATCTTGAGCGCATTTCATCTTAAGTGCACTTTATCTTAACACTATCTCAACTTAAGAGTATCTTATCCTCAAGTATAGAAACTTTAGCTCCATTTAGCTATTTACTATTGCCATCTATAAAGCCTATTATAAGACCGGATTAATACCATATATTAAATCCCCCCTCAACCGCACTGCGCTCTGAAGCTCGCCACGCCAGTGACCTCAAGCTGAGGCTGCAAACAACCCTCCGGATCCGCACTCGTCAAGATATCAATAATACCCCCATCATCACAGTTATCATTATTGTAGATGTACACCGAGCACTTATCACTGATCTCCCCAGTCGTGTAAGAGCCAAAGGAACCATTGCGGATTCCCTGAGTACACTCTTGGGTTCCGTCGCCGCTGTATGTGTCGCGGGCACCGGTACATCTTTCGCTGCTTTGATAGACGCTGAAAGACCAGGCTGGGTCTTGGCGGGTTGAGAGAGAGGTGGAAGGGTTGCGGCTCATGTGGATCGCGGCGGATTGGCTGAGGCCGAGGAGGGAGGTGATGGAGAGGATGGCTGTGAACTTCATATTGAATTGTTGGTGAGACTTGATAGTACTAAAGTTTATGACCTTTTGGCTGTCCTGTTTGCTTTGGTGTTGTATGATTATGTGCAATCTGTAGTATATGGTGTATGGTGTATAAGATGTGAAACTTCTGTCTCTGAAAGTATGTGGGTAAGATGCTTTGTTTATGATGTCTGTATATCTTTAATAGTTGAAGTCGACCTGACCTCTATATAGTGCCCAACTACTTCCATCGACCTCATTGTTTCCCTCCGTATATTTGCCAGATGATGCAATTGATCAACACGCAAACGCCTGATCACAGTGACATCGCAAGCCGCCTTCCGTAAGAGACGCCAAGATGGCTCTCATTGAATCCATCCACTGCAGAAATCAAGTCATTGTCAGCCTTGATCCTCAAGAACACGACGCCCGAGGCTCAAGCAGACTTCTAGCCCCCAACTACCCACTCACATGTCTTACAAAGGCGTACAAGAAGGATCAGTTGTGACGTCTGATCACCGCGTGGGGTTAGAGTTTAGTGATATTGGAGATGGATCGGCCCGCTACAGTAAGCGTAACAAATACTCTGGCGTGATCCTTCACCGTTCAAGACGACGATCGTATACACATCGGGCACTCTGTACGCCTTATGGGTAGATGACCCAATGGGACGCTGGTGCCTTGTCTCCACTGGTGAGCGTATAGCCTCCTTCAGATTTGGGTATTTAGCAACGCAGGAAGGACTTTTGTCGGGAGTGAAATTATGATACGTTTCTCTGCAGACTTCCATCTCGATTCCTTGGGGTTACTGAGTCATGAGCATATTGAGAAATGACTCGTTTGAGATCTGCATGTCAGAGTATGAGCGTGAATGGACCAGATATTTGCTTGGCGCTTACAGCTGAAGGTGATCAAGCCCCGCAGACATCAGTATGACGTTTGTCATTTCTCCAGCGTATGGGTTGAATGAGACAATTAGGAAGCTAATTATAGCGATTGAAGGATATGCCCATTAATGAATGTGTAAATGTATTTTTGACTACTCTATCGACGGTTTAACATTCTACTTTCGCTCTAGAACCTCTACCATCTCTGGCGTAGCCTTGCCCTGCTGCTGCAGTTGATTCGCAAGCTCAATAGCTGAAGTACCACTACTTTCAGCAGCCCTGGGATCAGCTCCATGTTGCATCAAGATTCTAGCTACGCCAACATGCCCAGCCTTGACTGCCACATGAAGAGGAGATGCACCAGTTCCAACAGAAGGCGCATCGCTGTCAGGCCGAGCCCCCTTCTCCAGTAGATACCGCATCATAGGTTCATTACCTCTCCTCGCCGCAGCAGCAAGTGCACCTGAATTCTCAACCTTAGCGCCATACTTCAACAGTAGGTCGATCGCTGCAGTGTCCTTGTACAGCCCTGCAACCAACGCAAGCGGATACGCAGCTGCATCAGGCTCTTGGTTGGGATCAGCCCCAGCCTCAAGAAGAAAGCGCAAAAAGTCAATGTGCTGTCGACCCATGCATGCAACGATGAGAGGTGTTCCCCGCATGTCGAACTGCATGTTGATCACAGATGGATCCTTGGTGAGCAAGGCCTGCATAAGCGGGATTGAGCCCGTGTTGACAGCTGCTCGGACGATTTCCTCGTTAACGGGGACTGAGCGGTACTTTGCCAAGAGGAAGCGGACAGCATCGAATTGGCAATTCTTTACGGCTGTTGTGAGCACCTCTTGGATGGTTTCTGGTGATGGGGGCTGTTTGGTGGTTGAGAGGAGGGTTCTCATTTGGTTGGCATCCCCAGTTGAGGCCAAAGCGATTAGCTGATCTTTGAGCGTGCCTGTCATATTCGCGATGTAAGGTGATGAATTCTTGGTGATGAGGTGTATTGAGTTGGAAGGTCTGAGTACGTTCTGATCCTTCAGAACTTTTTATGATCGACGTTGTTTTTTGTTTGTCATAGCCTGCGGCAACATCCCGTCCTGCATCACATGAGGCTGTACACTTCTTACATGAGATTTCTGATCGGCAATAATCGATTGCCTAGTAAGTGCGTCATTCACGGCGAGGCATCGAGGCTGTGGTTTTGCGTACCCCGCTATCTGGAGCGGGCGGCAGTTGGGAGATCTGCATAGCTGAGCTGACATCGATCCTTCGGGTGCTAAATTAGTCTTCCGTTTGGCTTGCTCCTTGCATCGGGGATTATTCCACCGACTTGGCATCCCGGGGCTGACTTCTTGCGATTCCACTTTGCTGACGGTTATGTTGATCTATGCTCATCGCGAGCGTGATGTTGATGGTGATGGTATCTGTCTCAGAGAACAAACAAGTTCATCGTCGACGATCTCGATCTTGGGAGAGGAACTTTTGAGTACGCTGCGGTCAGCCTGATATGGAGCCCACTGATACACTGGAGGCTTGAAAAGATGCGAAGGAGCTCTGTATGATGTCTAGGTGGGATGCGTGGACGCTCGAAAACAGGTCAAACAAGGCTTCGTCTTGTCTGCCAAGTCTCCCAAGTGCGTTGCTTGACAATAGTATAAAAACCGTTCCACGTCGCTCCATTCCAACCTCTATCACATCAAGGCAGCATACAAGCAACATCACAGTCTTTCGCTTCATTCCCTTCCATATCACAACACTCAATTTCATCCAGCCCCAACTCCCAAGCCATTCAAGATGAGACTCTCAAACATCCTCTCCCTCACCCTCGCCTTGATCGCTCCAGCCACCGTCCTCGCAGCCCCAGCAAACACTCTCCACCGTCGAGACTGCCCATCAGTTGACACCATTCGCCAATGGATCCGCGACAACGCCAGCGTCGGCGAAAACACAATCTTCTACACCGCCGGCGCAAAGCAAGAACAAGCCAAAGCCTTTGCCGAGCAAAAGGTCACAGACGGTAACTACTGGGGCAAAGTCTTTGACAACAACAAGTACCTCGACTGGATTGAAGAATGCGGCGAGGGTCCTGAGCAGGATAAGCTGTTTCCCCGAATGGGAGAAGCTCTTGCTAGGGAGTCTAGTGGAACGGCGTATGTGATCATGATCAAGGGCAATGCTATTGCCAATTTTTGGAAGGATAATGAGTATCCTTATCTTGATGAGAATGGTGTCAAGATCATTGCTGTCAATGCTGAGAACTTTGATGATCAGAAGGATTATAACGGTCAGCCTTTTAAGCGGGCTATTGAGTTCTAGATTGCAGCCATTGGCAAATTTAGTCAGAGAGCAGAGGCATTAAAGGAGATATTGAAATGGAGTTGATGGCAGGGACGATTGGCAGAAGTACTGTAGGACAGTCATTTAACTATCGCTGGCATACATAGTACACCTTAAGTATATATAGATAAACTAGGTCCTGTCAACAATACATTCAGAACAATTATAAGACCGCAGCAATTCATTAAATGACAATCCTTACAAGACCAAGGGTCAGTTCCTTCAATAGCGATTGGGTAAATGATAGCATCATGACTCGCTGGTATCAGATCACTGTATCATGTTTTGACCCCGCCTGTTTCTGTTCTTAAGGCTTAAGCTGTTGGTCCTCCCCTGTCTCGCGGATGCAGGATTCCATCCCCACGGAATCCAAAGCGTCCAACTGGGGGATGTAACCTTGCAGAAAGGATCAGAGATCCACCACTCTGCGTGGTCCAGCCATTCACGTCCATCCGCAGAACGAGCTGTCACCTTTGGGTAGACCATCGCGGCGTACTTGACATATGTAATCAAAAGACGTCAAACGTGTTTGAAGGTTTATTGGCCGTATGAGTCGTCTTTAAGGACTGGCTTTAATCGCAATCACAACGGTTTGGAGATGAACCTTGAACCGTGAGATTGCTCTTTGAAAATGCATAACGTGAAAATGCTACAGTGACATATGCTGGCTTCCGGCGCAGCACTTGGCATAGAAATACCTCGTTTCTTCAGGGTTTATTCGCAAATCAGACCACGAGCGGATAAAGTGCCAGGATCGAACCAACAGTCAACATGTCTCAAAAGCCGACGACCCCGCCCGTATCCTCAACATGCCATTTGACCTCTCTATCTGCACGATTATCACCAGCAGGAAATTGAGGTGCACAAGATGGCGAATGACAAATCTAAGAGTTCCTCGCCAGCTGCAGAGCAATCACCTCCTCGAGATGCTGACAGCCCTGAAGAGGCTCTTCTCGTAAGTGGGACGACGGAGCGGAACGATCGGCCAGGCTAGCATTGACCTCGACCATTAGGAAGCGGGTGATGACGACTCAGCACTTGGAGTTGTAAGTCCTCAGGCCCCATCATGGTGGCAATGGTAACTCAATGACTATATTAAGACCGATGATGAGTTATCGACCGCGTCTTTGCGCTCCAGTATTTACGAATACCATATGATCAATGGTCGCGGATATCATAAAGATGAGAGTAAGTGATAATCTGATCGCGTATCTTGTCTCTAATTAATTTATAATTATAGAATACTGGCTTCCAAGTGATCAAGTAAACCCTCCAATCCTTTTCGCTCTTACGTCTTCGCTAACATACTCCCAGAATGAATCAGAACGCCTAGGTAAACATTTCCAGCCTCTTCCTACAAGTTTGAAGCTGACAATGACGCAACAGATCTCCAGAACCACCAGCTCCTCTTAACTTTTGGCGGCAAGAGGTACTTCTCTCCCAACGCTGACACAGCAAAGCGAGTCCTTGATGTCGGAACTGGCACGGGAATTTGGGCGGTCGAGTTTGGTATGTTGAAACGTTCCTCGTGTTGAACAAGAGGCTAAGTGCGATATCGGTTGAAGCCGATGAACATCCCCACGCTGAGGTAAGATTAGCTATATAATTGTCTTGGGTAGACTCCTGATCGCAATAGGTCTTTGGTATCGATATTGCTCCTATACAGCCAGATTTGTAAGTATCTGACCTTAAGAATCCAATTATTCCTCTGATGGCATCCCAGCGTCCCTCCCAACTGCACCTTTGAGATCGACGATGCCGAGAAGGAATGGACGTGGACTAAGCCCTTCGACTATATCTTCGTCCGTCTCATGGTCGGCAGCATAGCAGACTGGGACAAGCTGATCCGCCAATGCTACGAGTACACCACTCCACACCCAAGGTCTCCGCTCCCCTTACTAACAGCATCCAGGAACTTGGAACCCGGAGGCTGGGTCGAAGTCATCGACCCAGTATTCCCCGCCAAATCCGAAGACGGAACCCTCAAGCCTGACTCACCCTTACACCGATGGGACGAACTAACCGCCAAAGGCGCCTTAGCTCTCGGTCGTCCCTTTGACGAAGGCGTGAACCACGAAAAGCGTCTTAAAGAAGCCGGCTTTGTCAACGTCACGCGCAAGGCGTTTAAATGGCCTACCAACACTTGGCCCAAGGATCCAAAGTTCAAGGAGATTGGGCTCTGGACCCTTGCTAATATCGAGAGGAATCTTGAGACTATTAGTAGCTTTTTGCTGAGGCAGGGACTTGGGATGAGTCAAGAGGAGATTCTGGTGTTTATTGCTGAGGTTAGGGCTGAGATGAGGAATTTGAAGGTCCATGCTTATTGGGAGGTGTAAGTATCTTTGAGGATATGGGTTGATAGAGCTGACCGGTTATGCAGGTTTGTTGTTACTGGGCAGAAGCCAGAGGAGCAGGCCCAAGAGTAGGCACATCAATTCAAGAGTACAGATATTGGAACGCGGATTTCTTCATGGTTCGAAATAGGCTCACAGATATGGACGCATTTCTTAACAGGTAAATTACTCGATATATAACATGTGATCAAAGCAAACACCTGAAAACATTATTATTCCTATTGCATTAACGAGCAACGCCTTGAACTCCAGGTGTGAAGGTAATAATAGAAAGACTCCGAGCCTAACATAACAGTCTAAGGCGTCGCACCAGCCATCAAATTTGTCCTCTCCTCCCTCTTCGCCTGCTTCAACGTCCTCACCCGCTGAATACTCTGCCACTTCTTCTCCCGCCTCTTATCCCTCAGACACATGCCCACCAAAACCGCCATGCACCCCGCAATAAGCGCCCCAAAGAAAGTCGCTACGACAATACCTTCAGTTCCAATGTCATTATGCTGTTCCATGCAGACTGTCGCGCCAGAGTCGGGGTGGATCTCGCAGAAGAGACCGGGGGCGCAGGTGCTGGATGTCATGCGGTTGGTGATGCATGATGCGCTTTCGGTGCGGCCGTCGGTTGTTATGGAGCATACTACGCTGGTTGAGACTGTTGTGCTATAGCATGATGCGCCGGGCTCGGTCGCTGTGATGCTGCTGCTTGATGTAGAGGTTGAGTCGGTCGATGATTCGGTGGAGGTTGATTCGACGGTTGATGAGGATTCTTGGGTAGTTGTTTCTTGTGTTGTAGACTCTTCGGTCGTCGACGTGGGCTCGTCAGTCGTCGTTGGTTTGTCCTCCGTTGTCGTAGTCTTCTCTTCCGTCGTGGTCGGTTCGTCTGTTGTAGTCTCTTCGGTTTTTTGAGTCTCCGATTTTGTTTCCGTCGTTTCCGACGAATCCGTATCTTGTCGCCGAACCCATTGTCGCCATCGTTGCACTAACGGCCCCTTCTCCCAAGGATCTTGCTGCACCTTCTGCGCATTGAGGGGAGCTTCGTGGTCACGGTTTATAGCGGTCGGTGCATCGTAATATGACGGATCGGGCGGTACGTCATTTGGCTGATGGCCCGCGACCAGTAAAGCGGGCAGGGCAAAGAATGGGGTCAGGGAAAGGAAGCGCATGCTGAAATTGCAAGAATAAATGACAGAACGAAAGAGGGAATGATTAAAGTTTTAAGTCCAAGAGCCTGCTGAGATGGCAGAAGAAGGTTTGCAGAAAGACAAAATGTTTTCTTGGTTGCGTGATAGCGGAGACATCATCTCGTATTACCATGTTACTATAAAAAGAACTCTGGCCGCGCGTAGCCAGCTCAGGTCGTTCCACAAGACGGCGATCAGTAGCACAGCCGCAAATTCATTGGATTAAATCCCGTAAGCTGACACATATATAGCAAGATTACGAGCTATACCACAGCCAAAGAGTGACAGGCTGTTCAATCAATTTTCTGTATATCCGACCGTTTGTTTCGAATTTCCCTTTCGGCTTAGTTGAAGGTGTCACGGGCTTAGCATGGTGATACCGTTGACCGTTCTGGCTGGAGTTTCTTAAAATAGGCGAACTAATCAGTGGCGTTTGAGCTGGGGGGTCTAAACGGCATGACGTCAAATTGTATGGTAAATGAGCACGTAGAAATCTAATAGCAAACTGGAAATCCAACAAAGGATATATCCAGACTGATTTTCTTTGCACAATGAGCAACGCCGTACTCAAAATATTAAGTTCGATGCTCGCGACTACACTCTAGTCAACGCCCAACAGTGATGGCAAATACCGGCCTGGAGATAGGACAAGACATTGGGACCTTGAAGCTGCAGGCTGATCATCCTCTCCAATATCAATCAATTGCCTTCGCCTTCCGTCTGTCAGCACTGTTACGAACTGCCGATTAATTAACCGACCGTTCCCATAGGTTGCGCCAGTTTCCTACGTGGTTATGACGACAATAGGGGAATTTAATATAAATAAATAGTGGTTATCCAATTTAGTATAGATGCTAGGGAAATTATCTGAACCCAGATTACACAATACCATTGCTTTTCAATTTAAACCAATCCTTCATATTCCTTCATCAGCAATGCGCAGTCATCCTTAGCTGGACACACTGCCGCTGCTATAGTCAGAGTCTCCCGTGGAACAACTCCACTCTGATTCTGAATCTTCTGTAACGTTGACATGCGGATCAGGAGCATTAGTCCACAAGCCAAGAAGTCTGCCCAGGCCTGTGCCGATTGTGTCCGGATCAGGAGACCATGAGTCGGAAAGTCGAAGCAGTTCCTCCATCTCGCCGTGAATTTGTTTCATAGTCGGAGAAGCACAAGTATATGCCGACGAACTGTCAGAAGTAGTAGTGTTTGCAGAAGGAAGGTTACCACTAGGACCAATATTCATAGGACGAATGATTCTAGGTGGAATACGACCCTGAGGATTGGAAACTGGCCAGCCTGGTGGTATTGGCACACCAACAAGTTGAATATTCAAAGTCATGCCAGGACGGCGTAGTGATTCCCACGCTTCATGTAAAATGACGGTTCCGTCATCGGTGCAGAAAACATACTTTCCTTCTTTCATGATTGATGCCGTGGTGAATCCCAAGTTGAGGCTCGAGAGTCTTTTATGCAACAACTGCAGTTAAAATAAATCAGCAGGTGCTAAAAGCTTAATTATATCCTTAACTCACATTAAGATCCTTGTATGCTTCATACGGGAAGGTGAGCTTTTTACCCGAGTATGGTTCAAAAACGTGTATGGGCTCTACCTCATCACCGAGTCGGAAGAAAAGAGAGATGGAAGCATCAGCCTGAATAGCAGCCTCGGACCTTCTACCGTTACGGTGTTTGAATGGAGGACTGGCGATTGACATGGCAATCCAAGTTCGTTCCCTAGAGCTCGATTGTTTGGCAGCATCGACACCCTCGTCGATTCGTTGGCGGACACGTTGATCGAGTGAGTCATATTGCTCGAGGAGTTCTGGACGCTTTCTCCACCTGGACTTGGAGGTCACCTGTGAGAGCGCGGACCTGACATGTTTGTCGTCTAGTTCAAGCCGTTTGAACGTCTTGCTCGGGACGCTATTCAAATGGGCGCCAAGATCGATTTGCCAAACCTCAAGATCTTGACCCTTCCATTCATCGTGCGATCCTGGCACGAGAATTCGTTTGATCCAGTTTCTGGTAGCAGTGATCAGACTTGAGCCATGTTCTTTGATCGACTTTTGATCGATTTGGGTTGGTTTGCTGGTGGTCTCTGCAGTGGTATCAGGCGATACCTCAGTGTCCTTGGACAGTTCCAAGGCCGGAGTTTGAGTGACTGGCATGGTTTCAACAGGTTTGATTTCTTCAACCTTTGTGTCAAGCGCAATGGTAGGTGTACTGCAAAATACCTTAGCGTCAGTCCAACTCAAATAGCTTTGTCGCCTAAAATAACGGAAACAGTTTTAAAAGGTGCTTTACCTTGAAACAGTGCAAGTGCTGTTGACATCTGTCAAGGAAACGTTGCTACTAGGTAGTGGTGGAGTAATGATGGTCCATTTGGCCACCTTCTTGGACCAATATTTGTAGTGACTTGCTCGTTGACTGGCCACTTGTCCTGCAAGCATTCGGATTGTATACTCGGTCTCAAAGCTACCTGGGACTCGAGTAAGTGCCCTAGTAGAATCATCAAGTTAGCAAAGATAGCATAGTAGGATGATCCGAGCTTACCGCATCTGGTGCTGCGCGATACTGCCCAAAAGATAGCGCAGCATGAGTTCAAACTTGATTTGCGTCAACCGGTGCCGAAAATACCTGAGTTGAACCTCGAGCCACTCCCAAGACTCCAAGCGCCAGACACTGGTGTGAGCGATGCAATACAGATACTTTCCTGTTTCCTCCCGCGGGATCTCATTGATCTCCTTGTCACCAACAACATTCTCTGTCTGCCGTACCAACATGATCAAAACACCGATGTAGATCTTTTCGCATGTGGCTGCTAGGCTCGCGATGTCTTCCAGGCATAGCTTGGTGAGGGCATCTTCATTCTCTTGAATCAGATGGCCAACTTTTGTTAATGTCAAGGCAGTCGAGTTGATCAAATTGATTAGCTTGGGAAGCGTTTGTCGGGCTCTTCTGTTGGCTTCCGAGTGTACTTGTAGGGAGCTTGCAAGACTGAGGCCTAGCTTGGCGACAGCCTCAATATCGTTGTGGGCCATGGTTCAAGAAGGACCAATGCGGCAATAAGAAAGGGAGGAAAATCCAGAAAATAGCTGAATGTTCTCTCGTTTTAGTAAAATCAGGCAGCGTGTTGAAAGCACGCGATTGTATTCTTATCATTACCCCTCAATACGTGAATCAGTGTAGCCAATCATCAAAGTTGTTGGTTGCACTTCTGCCTTACGTGACTCTGTGACTATCGAACAACGTGTCATACATAAGCCACCATTGTAACGATTGGTATTTGGGCCACTAATTTGCTGCAGTAAGACACATCTGGAAGAAACCTTGACCGCTCCTTGCGGGGTTAAAACCTATCTCCATCGTGATTTAGATGGTAGTGAAAGAGTCCTCTAGAAACGGATGACCTACGGTCTGAACTACGCATTTTGCAGTGGGTAATGTAGATGGCTCCATATTGGAATATACTGGGCGATACAGGTATATGTTGACCAGTCTTTATTCACTCCCGTTGAGGACCTTCGCGTTGTTATCGCACCCTTGAGCAATGTGCAATGTCATTCTGTCTGAGACATCAGACGGTTTCGATTGGTACATTAGAAACAATGACAAATCATATTTATTGGCCCCCAATTAAAACATCTTAGAAGAGAGCAATATGCATGATTTGATATAGGCACCTTAAAGGATTTAATAACTAATTAGAGAACTAAGTTCTTTATGATAATAGAAGCTCTTAATTATAAGTCTTAATTATACATAATATATCTAGCTTATAATTGTAACGGTTGCACAAGCCGTTAAACCACAGGGCAAAAGATCGGGCCATAATCGCTATGCAGGCAATCATAAGTGTGCTACAGCTGCCTTATAGAAGCCTTACAGCGCTGTTACGGGCACGAATCATAACACTTATAAATTAATACTAAGAATATAATCTCTTAGGTAATTAGGTTTTCATAATAAGCTAAAATAAATAAATAAATAATAAATAAGCTAGGTCTTAAGTAATTAAAGTATTTTAATAAATTCTTAACTAAATAATTAAATAGTTATTATTATCTTTTAATTCTTAATAATCATCAAAACTATTATTTAATTTATATTAAAAGGTATTATTAAAAAAATAAAATTACTATATTGTATATATTTAAGCTTCGACTTGCTCAATGCACCTCGGTCAGATTCTCTTATATCTCCGAAATCAAGGCAGGTCCAGGAATAGGGACGATGCTTGGACGCTGCGACTTCATCCTCTGCTCTTCGACGCAAGTTAGAGCCAACTGATTAGGCTGGCAATGTTTCTCGGCAGCGATCTTCTTTAGGTTCGAAACAGTGCACTTTGTGGCTGTCAAGAAAGCATGATCAGTGAACTATACCGGGAACTTTTACTGGGGGCTGGAAGTCTGTTACTCCGTGACTGGAAGAGGTGCGTTTTGTCATGAGTAGCTGCTGTTGGAACTCAGATGCTGGTGATATTTGGGACGATTTATGCTGGCGTATCCGATAGTTGTATGAAAATCGGAGCCTTCAATTACTTTTAGGAGAACAGAACAGTGACAGGGAAGGATGGTATTCTGATGAAGTCAATTAGATTGATTCGAATACGATGGAATTGGATTTCAGATCCAAGACTAGGTTCGATCACGTAAGGGCTTGACGAAATTCAGAATGGCTCCTGCGTTGATCGGGCTCTTGGTGCGATAAAGGACGAGAATGATGTTATAAAGGAGGGAGAACGATGCACTCGCTACGAATGTTTTGGATCATGTGAGAGGATCGGGGGCAAACATTGGTACTTGTCAGTTTCAGATAGAGTATAGAATATGATAGTAACCTGAAACGGGACACAAACTACATAGGTATGGGATGATAAGATCCAACCATTTAGCAAAACGAAGCACAGGGAAGATAGAAAGTCCCATCCACATTGAAGTTTCCCATGCCATAACGGAGAGATTAGCTGAACACACATAATAGAATTCTGACGGAGTCTATTCTCGGTCATCCATAGTCGGAGGAGTTGGGTATGTATATGTAAAGAGAACGGCCTTCAATGACTCAGCCAGACCTTCATCCAGTCGAGCGGACATTGCTTTCTTGAATTTCCGCCTCACCATCACCCTCGTTAACAACTCGACTTTGTTGTCTTCGCTGAATCGTGGATCATCAAATTCCGGTCGCTTATGGGTATTGGTACTGAGAATTAACGATTCCATAGATGCAGCGAGTTTCTCAATCTCATGTATTCCTAATTCTTGGTCAGCTTAACGACCTCTTAGCGGTATATTATAATTAGATATTTTTACCGCAGTCTTTTATAGAGCCTTGAATATCGTTACTTTGCATATCCTCGGGGTCAACAAGAGGTATCAGGTTTCACGTACCAGGGAGCTTGAGGGCGAAGTTCGATGTAATAAGATAACTTTCAAGTGCTTCCATCCGGGATGTTGCGTAACACCATCTATCGAGCTCGGGATTCTGCTTCATGTTGATATCATTCTCGACGGTGGAGTATATGAGATGATTAAGTCTATCTCTTCGGACAATAGTTTGAACTGTGAACTCGCGATGCAATTCGTTAACCACTTGCTGTAACGATACTGATTGCTAAATACCTTTACTGAAAGTGTCCTCTGGGCCTTCTCGGAACTTTGGGTTGTTCAAGAGTTCCACCAACGGCTGAACAGTGATATAAATGTTTTCTGGACTCAATAGCATAATTCGTACCCGTTTCATGTAGAGCCAAAACCTCGCTGGTGGTAAGAGCATGTACATCTGAAGTAGTAAATTGCGATTCCTGTTTCGGATGACTTCATCCACACCGTACTGATAGCTCCAAGAATCAATTTTGATCCGTAGCTGTTGCATACGGCTAGCTTGTTCCCAATCTTTCAACCAACTCCCAGCACCACGAGCTACGCTATATCAGCAATTGCAAATGAGATGCGCTTTTTTCGTAACTTACCAAAGGCTTTATATATGGCCGGAAAGCTACTGTCATGTTCCGCACCGCTCTTCATGTACTGGTGATATGCAGTGAACTTTGCCTCATGCTTCTCGCCACTGAGCATGGGCGGACTGGGAAATTGAAACCATTGAGATTGTCGCTTTGAGCCCATCTCCTTCATTAGTTGATCCAACTTCCCTAGCTGTACAACTATGGCGTCAGCATCGCAACCAGTGATGCCCTTTGGCGCGGTCATGTAGTATTCAAGAGTGCGCAGGAAAGAAGCCTGACTCCCGAACACAATGCGAGAGCAGTGTGATGAGTTTTCGAGGAGGATTTTGTTGAGTTTGTTGACATGATATCGCCCCACTGGAAACAGGCTAAAATAGAATTTGTCATCTTTGGTATAACAACCATGCTCCCCTTCAACGCGTATTACCTGCCCGTTGACGATCTTTGAATAGCTGTTTCTCGCCTTTCTTATGGGAAGATCTTTCAGTGAAGACTTTGTGTCGACACCAAAAGTATCGTCAACGGAGGTATAGCGCATAGTCTCTCTGAATTCACGAATTTCCGGGTCACGGTCTTCCTCCGGAACTGGCAAGAGGAAGTTACGCAAGACGATCATTAATCTTGGCGAGACCGGAGCAAATTCGTGAAAGTTGACATCAGCTACCCCGTGGACCTCCCCAGTCTGTATATCCTGTGCAAAGTGGTTGGGCCCTTCGAAAACATTGTAGCTGTTATCGGTAAGTATGAACTCGTCATCAGGATTCCACGGTGTGCAAATAGCCATGTACATCCCTTGAACATGCATGATAAGCCAATTAGCATCATGTGAGTACATCTGTTTTTTAATCTTCTCCATCCACTCTCTTTCCGGATCCATCTCTAGCGTCATGATTGTTTTGAGACTCTCAAGCCACACCTGAATAGGGCGTGTAAAGCCATGATCTCGCATGTACTGTGTGAACATGACTTTATCATTGGCCCAGTAGTTCTCAACTGCTTCGTGGTAGAATCTTTTATGGAACATGGACCCACGAAATTTCAGAAGAAAGAGAAATTTGCGGATGAGATCTCTTTCTGATCTTGGGAGACATACGACTTTGTCGCCGTCTTCCAAGGCCTTAGTGATTTTTCGGAAGACTCTCTGAGCTTGGTTCTCCATCTTGCTGAACATTTCTTCTACCTCATGCTGCTCCTTTTTAGTGGCGCCATTCATGTCCCTGTACATGTCTGTCAATCCGAGAATTCGCTTGACCGGACTCTCGTCAATGACATAAGGTGTTTGAAGCAGGTTAACGTTATTGACAACCTTGTCGCCAGGGTATCTTTTCAATTTTCCACTGTCGAGACTAGGGCGATTCTTCTGTTTCTTCTTCTTCTTTCTACTTTCTCCTGGTGCTTCAGACTCGGTACAGTCCTTGGGCTCGAAGTCGTGAGCAAAATTTCTTAATAGAAATTGAGGAACGAAATGATGATACTGAGACGTGTTGTCTCCTGCTAGGTCGATGGTCGCCATCTAAAGGGCTCGACAGGATAGCAATAGGTAAACCAGAGGGTTCTCAAGTGCAATAACGTCTGTCCAAAACTGATGGATGATGATGGTTAAAGCTGAGATGTTGGCAACGATCGAAACCTGCGTATCTTGTAATCAGGCTGTGGAATGAGGCCTCCTCTGCTCTCATTTCTGCATTGGTGCCTGACAGCCCGATTGGGGCCTACAATCGTATGTGTAGGCTTCCCCTTTCCGCCAATGAGAGGTACATACCAGGGTACGTCATTTTGGTGGAAGGTATTCGCTTGAAACACCGTGCAGGAAGCTTGGCTGATAAAACCCCGCAGAGCCGCCTTGTTTTTCGCCCCTGCACTCCTGTTCTATCATTTTTCTTCTTCAACCCTTTTCTTCAGCATGCTTCAATTGGAGGTTGTCTCTGTGCATCTTTAACCTTCGTGCCTGGAAGCATAGTCAACTGTCAATCATTGTAACCATGCTTCCAGGCACAACCAATATTCCATGCCTTTGAGATTGGAAACCTATCATGTTATCCTCAAGCCTTTTTTTCACCAAAACATTGGTAAGGTTTTGTTTGTCGTTCCTACCCACGAAGTAATCACTAATGTGACCGTGCTATGTAGAACCTTACACAAAGGACTACTAGATTGTGAGCATCGCGGATTTCTCAAGTTTTCAGTTTTGGATTGCAAAGAGGTGGTTCTTGTATCATGTAATCGACAGTCCAAGAGGGTAGCACTTTGCTACGGAACCTCACTGGCTCTTCCGATGCCTTTGTACACCTTCTGTTTGGGATCCGAAACTGAATTCGAGAGATGTTTAGCAATACGTCGCGTCGGTCTTCGTGGGAGAGTGAGGAAAGAGAATTCTATTTCAATGCAATGAATATCGACTCAGCAGGTACGTGTCGTGACTCAGCGAGAGCGCGGCTTGATGGAGAACTTCCTCACTGACTCAAGCTTTGGATTCAATAGATTGAGGACCCGGATTATGTCATTAAAAGGTGTCCAATCACTCGTCCCGTTACCAATACGACTGTCGAGGATTACTTGAAATTATTTTGCAGCCCCTACAGCTTCCACAATTCTACGCAACGCAACCACCCAACTTACCTACAACCTCTACCTCAACCGCAGAAGGCGGTCTACCATAATTACAAGTTTTTATAAGCCCTCGAATTAAGGGCTAGCAAGTCTATACTCACAATGGACGCTGAGTGGCAGTACAACCTGCTCGACGAGGATATGTCGCTAATTATGGACCTGAATGATCCTTTTGGGTCTATACCTCCTGAGATGGACCTCTCCCTCTTTGACTCATATCAACCAGCAGACGACACGGCATTGACTATGAGAGATCCACTATTGGGTCTCGCTATAGCATGCGATGAATACCTACCGGATGGAGCATACCCTGACTTTCTAGCCGACGTAACCAGCCGAACAGATAACAGTTCTTTCCCAAACACAGACTGTCCGACTACCTTTGATGAGCTGATTGTATCTGATGTGCTTGGTTCGTCACAAAATAGCATGGATCATGTAGCATTTTCAAGTGGCTCATCGCTATCACCTGGCTTCGAGAGCACTATCATTTCCCCTTACATCACACGATCCCCCGCCCTATGGCACTCGCCAGAGCTGAATTACATGCGGAACAATATATCTTCTTCCAGTTCTGCCCATCAATATTCACCTTTATCTTCTGCAACACTTTCAACATCCTCTCCATCAATCCCTATAAGCGAATCATCACTGGCGCAAAAGGGAAAGGCTACTAGGGGGAAGAAGTCACCGCTTCCAACTCTGAGGTATATTTTAGAATCCATCGTAGGAACAAAGGCTAACCTGTTTTTACTTCAGTCGCAATCTTCGCCACATTTTCAGACCCGAAGTGTGCCACTTGTGCTTCAAGGGACATCCATACACACGAGAGTTGGAAGAGCATATAAAAGTTCACCATCCGGCAGAAGCTTCCAGGTTGGGAATTGATATGACTCGTCCAGTATGCAACGCCTGTGAAAAGACGTTTTCTCGCCCGTGCAACTTGAAAAGGCATATGGATCATAGTTGCAAGGGCTTGACGAGTAAAAGAGTAAATACAAGAGTAAAATACAAAAAGAAGCTAAGCTAATATGTCTATTTCCCTTTTTATGTATTTATAGCAATTCTTTTACTTGGTAGTTTTATAGATAAATTAATTAGTCTAATTCTATGTTATTTTAACTGAGATAGTAATAGCAGGGTTATCCGCTTCGTATTTTAAGATATTTTAGAGTAAAGTATTATATATTAAAAATCAAAGTAATAACTTAAGCAGGAGTTATATAAAATGATTTATTTCTTAACTAATTACTATTATATTTATTAACAGGCTACAGGCTTTCTATTTACAGGAAAACATGGATTATTTTATGCCATTCGACATTTTTCGGCTTTTGGTGTCTTATGCAGAATAGGGTAGAGCAGGCTTTGTAATAAGCTGAAACCGGTATAATCAGTTATTAAGGAAGCTTTCCTACTCTAGAGACATACTCCTATTTTATATATACTACTGAATTACCTCTTAAATAGGTAGTATATATATATTAACCTTTCTGCTGGTATGCTTTTTAACTTCTTAATAATATCCACCCCTAATAAGAGCTTAGGGCCAGTTAAGTTAATCATCTTAGTTATATACTATTACTACTCTAAGGTTAGTTGCAAAGGTATAAATACAAATACTTATTACGAAGAGATATACTTACCTAGTTAGCTATAATATAGCCTGCAGCCTTGCTAAGTTTACTGCAACCGGCCTAATATTTAAGCCTATTATTCGGCATTACAGCCTCTAGAGCTGCCTTAGGGTTAGCTCTTAGATTTAAGAAACCAGCAAAGTTACTCTAGGAATATATGTAGGAAACTATATAAAGGATTATATATATAAGTCTATTTACTTTTAAAGAAGACTTAGTCTAGAGATAAGCTTAAGTAACTTATATAATACTAGAAGTTCCTTTTATACTACTGCAGAATAAGAGTAAAGTATAGATTATATGGCAGATGCTGACTACCTTAGCTATATTAATAGTATTATAATATAAGGTAAAGTGTTCCTTGCCTATTAATAGGAATAATATAAGGAATAAGATATTAGTATTAAAATAAGATTCCTCTAATATTAATAGTATATAAAGGTTACCTTTATAAATCTTAACTCTTGTGTTTATAATTCTGGCAGGTATAGCAGATATATTATAAGATAAGAGCCAGAGTTATAAAACCAGAATAAACTTTTTTATTTAAGATTATCTAAAGGGCAGAGCAGCTAATGCTATTAGTTTAGCCTAGACCTTTATTAGCTTTACTATTATTCTAAGGTAATTCTTGGATTATTACCTATAAGGATAAATATATTTTGATTTAAACGTAGGATATAAACTTTGTAATAATATGTAACCAAATTACTATATAGAGTGTAGATCTTAATAGAATAATATGATATAAATCTATATAAAAGACTGAAATTTTTGAAAGCTTAGGTTATATTAAGATTTTATATCCGCATGTGCTATACGTCTTGCTGTCGCGCTGTGTAAGTAAACGAACACGACAAAGACGGGCCATGATTAAGCGACTACGATTACAATCGTAAGTCATCTCTACCATTTGCATCGCATCCCCCATACACTACCTCCGTCTATACTTGCTCATCAACAGCTGCTGCCCCGATGCTCTCATCTTGAGGTTCGTCCTTGTTACCACCACTGCCGTTTACTGCTACTTTCTCCAGAAAGAAACAAGCGAGTCGTCGTCGGCACTTATACTCAAATTACGCCCACTCGTCCACGGTCGTGAAAAGGGCGTGGCACTCGAACTCCTAAGACGACTGGCTGAGGAGGCTGTCTGTGGTTATGCGGAACGTTTGTCTCTCATCATCACCATCCCAATCCACGCCGAGCTGTCGCCAGCAAAGGCTCCAGGGTAGCTACATCTTTCTTTTTAGTAAGGAGCTTGAGCTGAAAGATGTGAAGGCCGCCCAGTCTGGCACAGCTCGACTTGTGGGGTATAACGAGACATTGATGCTACCAAGCTGCCGGCTGTTCATTCTCTCCAACGTTAATTAATTGCTTCGCGTACCATTCATTTCCCAGCTCCGTTTTGAACTGCTGGTTGATTAACCGACCATTCCTCAACAGGTTTACCTGACCAGGATCAAGTCTCCACTTCTCAGCCCGAAAGCCGACTTATCCTGCAAAGCGTACATGGTCATTTTTATATTGTCTCTCGGCTACATCGGCTGTACCGGCTTTGGATAGTACTATACTGAAACCATGGGGTAGCAGCATCTAGGTTGTTCTTGATACCGGCCTAGCCGAGTAAAAGTATCTGGACCGTTCTTTGGTGGGGAGGCATCAGTCATCGTCATGGAAGCGCTGTAGGGCGTTCATGACCCCGCGAAAGCAGGGGTCAAGGTACGAATAGCTGCATCGATGGGGCAATTGAAGCGAGTCACCAGGCTCGCTCATGCATAAATTAAAATTGTCGGAATTATGATGCATGTCGCATGGCCTAAGGTAGTCAGTAATTAACGGATCTGGCGGCAGACAATAGGCTCAACTCGCCTGTCCACCCGCTCCCTAACAGTTGCATGGGAGACCTAACTAGAGCCAGTCTGGGCAAGGGTGATTCTAGTATAAAGAATGACACAATTGCAAGCCCTGATTCGAAGTCTTGAGCTGCTCACTGGGCATATACATAAACCGTTGTTTCCACTAGAGCAGTATCCTTTGTGGTTAACTCGGCGGACAAGTTGGTGTTTCATATATCTTTACCTAACTCAACTCGTTTAATCACAACTTTAGATATGGCTCGCTGTCGGCAGTTTTTTTCCCGCGGAAGTCTAGAGGAAGACACTGCTTCTGCCCGCACGCCAATGGCGCAGCATTGCCATAGATTTAAGCGTAGATCCGCCAGGACCGCGCCCAGACATGGCAATGCTAGCATGAAAGAGTCAATTACGGACAAGGCTCATAAAAAGGTTCGTAAGGCCTGTGTGAGATGCAGAATGAAGAAGACCAAGGTAAGCTATCCAACTACAAGTACTCTAATCCTGTACGTGTAACTGATAAGTATAACAGTGCGATGGAAAGATCCCTTGCAGAAGGTGTAAGGACGACCAAAAGATTTGCACAGCCAGTGCCAAGAGAGCCATAACCTTCAAGAATACTCCTAAAGGGTAAAGACTATGCTTCCTATAGCCATCTGCATCATTTCACTAACAACACACTCAGATACGCCGAGGTACTGGAGCAGTCCCAGTACATTCTGATAGAAACTGTCTGCAAGCTATATGGTATGGTCAGGAACTCGCAGCCTTGGAAGTTGGCTGAGCCTCAGCTCAATGAACACGGCCAACCCGTCGCCCAACACATCGCGAAGCTCTTGGACTGCGTTCCACCAAACAGCGAGATCGATCTCCCAGTGCAATCCGTCTTCCCCGAAGATGCAGACAGCATGGAGGAGCTGTATCGAGAGCTGGAAGAACATGAGAGATCTGAAGCTGCATCCACGCCGAGCCTTGCAAGAGACAAGGAGTTGACCTGCGATGAAACTGCGATATCGGAATCGCAAGACTCAGATATTGAACTTCCCTATTACAAGGTCGATTGCGGCACACACGGTACCGTGAATCTACCGCTCCAGAATGGGAGGAATGACCTGGATTTCGAGGGCGCTGCACCCGCCGACATGTACGGAAATGCATTGTTTCTCGATACTCCCCTCTCACCTTTCACATGGACCAGCTACAGCGCCGGGTACAGCGACTTGACAATGCGTCTTCTGCAAAAGGGAGGCGTAATGCAGGGTAATGGCATGCTCCAACAGGGTCTGTTAGGACCTGAGTTTGATAGCACGGAGCCATACATCCAGTCTGGCGATCTAGAGGGGAGATATAGAAGGGTACAATGAGCCATAGATCTTAGGATACAATGGAATACAAAGTTAGAAATGACCATACAGTTCATAGTATGTAATGTGTATCAATTGCAATCTCAAGTACTTGGTCTCTGGCGTCTTTATGCTGTTTTCATCAAGCATCCAATGCGCTGCCGCAAACATGACTGTCCGCATCGCGAACGGAAGCTAAGCATACATTCGTGATCACAATTGGGAAAAGTAAGGCACGAGTTACCTTAAACTAGAATAGTGGCAAAATTGTCGTCCGCCCTGCTCAGTCGGCTACAAGGCTGACACAAGCTTAAATCTGCAACAACAGTCTAGGTCACAGCTTACAATACCTAATTGTGACATGAATGTGAACCGGATTTATTGCAAAAGGGTATATGCATCGCAACGTATTTGTATGCTATTAATCACCACGTCGTCACTATGAGTGCCTACTCCCCCACCTGTAAAGACCGGCTCGCATGCCTGATGCCTCTTCAACTTGGAAGAAAAACAACATCATAAAAAACAGAGAAATCGCCTCATCTAACAGATAGCCGCTGGTGGTTTATCTGCGTCTGCCTCTATTAAACATATACCGATGGGTTTGTAGTATAGCTAGGTGGTGCGCCGATAATGATGACCTCAAGCGATGCCTCAACAATCTAGGCTTCATCAGCAATGTTCAAATCTTGCAGAGTGTTAGACACACCTGAGTCCTCTCGCTTCCGCCTATAGATATCCCCACCGAAATGCGAAGCCAATGCGTCGTGTCCAGCACGCACGACTTGCACGTTGGCAATGCATCCATGACCAGGTATTGTCCCCAGGTTCCTAAATCCACCTCAAAGTGCTCTCTGTTGACAGGGAACAGTCCTTGCAAGTTCCAGCCGCTCCGTGTCTCGGTCGCAGTCTTTGTGACCAGTCCAACTTTGGCTTCTACACAACTCTCCAACTGCGCTTCGACACTGCGGATGTAGATATTCTCGCTGGCGACAAGCTCTGACGGAGTATGCATGATTAGCTGCATCTCCGTCGGCCTCCCCGGGGTCAGGATGGGTGGTGACGGAAGTAGCACCTCGAGCTGCAGCGTAGGCTCATATTGAGGTAGGCACTCATCAGATCGTGATCTGATCCTGGAGACGCCCTGATTACCCAAAGCCTTGTAAAGCTTTGGAAACAGCTTGCTCGCAGAGAGGGACCCAATATTCGACGTTGGTAAGACGGGGATCGAAGGCTCTGACTCGAAGGATATGACTTGGCGTAGAGTTTTGAGTCTCGATACTCGACAGAGCAGACGGTGTCGGACTGTCACGGTGATGGCATATTCAACCTTGATCGTGTGTCCGGACGATGATGTCTCGAGTGATGGCGGTAGTTGACAACGGCATTGGCAGCTGCTGCTTGGGAATGTGAAGTCAAATGGGGCGTAGTAGTCGGCGTCATGATTGCAACTTGGTGGATTGAACGTCGAGGTTTTCGTGGCGAGTTTGATCTGCTTGGACTGTTCGAGCAGCTACTCTCCATTTAGCACAATTCACCGAGTGTCGGATGGGCTAGTTACTGTGTGCACCACATGATCTGACTTGTTGCATGGAGACCCTGTGTATGTAGAGGAAGAGGTTCCACCGTTTTGACGCTTGTTGGAGTGTAAACTTAGTTTACCTATGTACGCCCGCCTTCAGCGTCAGGGACATAGAGTTTATCATGTTGTTGAGAAGACCCACCTTGAAGTTTGGCAGTGATTTCTGATGCCTGCTTGAGTCCGTGACCCCGGATGAGCAACTCTCCACGTACATGATCGCCCGGGCGGTACGAGTGTGCATTGGCATTTGCTTCAAGAACTAGCTCAAGGCGCATGGTTTAGGTGGTGGACTGGAGACAATTGAGTTTAGGATATCCCTGCAACAGCGAATGAATTGAGAGAAAAAGCTGCTCAGTCCAGCTGCGCAGGTTCATGGCGGAGGTCCATCACGTACAAGTAGAAAACAAGCCCTTGCATCTGGTGATGGTGATCTCAAGCCTTACAAGAGCGGTAGCATCTCAGATGCAGCCGGAACTGAAGCATAAGTCGGAAATCCGGATGTACAGGATCGAGCATGACATTCAATTCGAAATTTTATGTAACAGAAATGTAGAAGGCTTGCATCCTCGTTCAAGGCTCAATCCAACAGACGCACTCTCCCATGTCACGATGTATGCTTAATAGGCAGGGCTGCTCCTCTAACTTCCCATTGCAGTAAAGCACAAATTTCAAACCCAATGAGACGCATCTAAATTAATAATTCGTAATATCCTCAGTCGAGAATCTCCGTGCACACCATACAACCGGAGAAACAACAACAACGGATAATCGGATAACTCGGATCGGGCGGCTATACCGCCTAAAACCCCACATGGAACAAAAAGAACAAGTATCCGGCTTCTAGCCGCTGTACCAAGCCAGAAAACGAGCATCGTCAATTGAAACTCGCATATCATGGCAGACGCCTCGCCCCGCGTCGGCTTTAAGCGGAAGCGCGTCGCCAAGGCGTGCCATAAATGCCGGTCTATGAAATCCAAGGCAAGCTTATCCGCTTTATCTTATCTTTTGCTTGTTATTGATGTGTTAGTGTGATGGGAAATGGCCCGAGTGTAGTCGCTGTAAGGGCTACGGGTATGATTGTGTTTACGCAGCTGGGGGGCGGGCCAAGAGGCGCCAGGAAGCTTCTACTGATGACGGCTCGCTGGACAGTGCTGTTCAAGGACATGGAGATCTGCGTGAAGCGATAAGACAGTACGAGTCGTTATTGGACATGGTAGTGTCGAAGCTGCCGACACCGCAATATCAGAAAGATGCATCTACAGTGTTAGCTTGCATGAAGGCCGCCGACAGAGCCTTATCCAACATCGATGCAACTACTCTGACGGCAAGGCTAACAACAACCTTGACTGGCTCCGATGCTCTTTCTTTCCGACCGCAGGTCAGTCAGGCCGAGAGATATCTTGGCAAGGTGAGCGACGTGTGCTTCTTCAACCTGGTCAAGCGGGTGCTGCAGGCCCAGCCAGGTTCTTCCGACTCTGACCAAAGAGTTGACAGCTACGAGCAAGTCGGCGACATCGCATCCCCCAGTGTCAATGTCATGCCTGGTAGAGTTGTTGAGCTGCCGAGTCGTGAGGCGGCGAAAGTCTTTGCTGATGTGTACTTCTCTACTGTGCATCTTGCATTTCCGTTCATTCCGCAGTCGCTGTTTATGAGGTCGCTTGATCAAGCGCTGGATTCGTCAGATGACTGCTCACTGGACAATACCAAACTGGCACTAATATGTAAGTAACTAGTTCTTTCTATGCCACCCAGGGTTCTATTCGGCTTATACTGTGGTTAGATGTCATTTGCGCCATTGGGGCTTACTATACCAGCATACCGGGAGAACAGATAGGAGCAAACAAATGTCACGAAGTTTACTTCCTTCAGGCACTCTCTCTAGCTCTACCTGCAGGGGCAGACCGGTCAATCCATCATGTATCTCTGCTCCTAGCCCAATGCTTTTACATGTTAGCAGTCTGCAGAACAGACAGGTAAGTCCGAGTCCGATGTCAGTCTACTTATGCGTAGTTAACTTGGCAGCTGTTGGGCAACATTGGGCCAAACCGTCCGTATGGCACAGAGCATTGGGTTGCATGTAGAGCAAAACGATCCCCAGAGGCTTAAAGGGCCAGGCCGGTTACTTGTAGAGCGGCGACGGCGAATCTGGTACTGCATATACGTCCTAGATCGCCTGATCTCTCTGCAATTGGGTCGACCCCCAGCGATCCATGAGGACTACTGCCATGTTCCGCTGCCCTCTCGGCTTGGCGACTCGGACATCGATTGGGATGGCGACGAGTTTCCGACAATGTTTGAGGGGCCTTCTGTTGGCGACTACCATCTAGAAGTTATCTCCTTCTCCAAGATCGTAAGCCAGGTCCTGCGAGATCTGTATAGCCCGAGAGCCGGCCAGAATTTGACTAGTGATCTGTTCAATACCAAGGAACTCGACCTCAAGCTTATACAATGGAAGCAATCACTGCCCAGAACATTGCGGTTCGACTTGGGACACGCTTTTGATAAGTCCTTCATCTTCAAACGCCAGGTATGCATCTTCAATAAGGCTGAAAACTCACTGATCGTTACTAATGTCTTGAAGCGGAGCATGTTGGCTATCAAGTATCACCATCTACGGGCTCTCATTCACAGACCATACCTATGCTACCCAATCATGCGCAATCTCGATGACGAGACCGACATTGCACTCAGCCAGCCGAACTGGGCCCTTATCAGCATGTATGAAAAGGTATGCATCGCCGAGGCACGCGAGACAGCACGTCTACTGCACTCTATCTCGTGTGAAAAGGATTTGGTGCAGGAATTTCCCTGGTGGCAGATGATTTCGTGTTTGATATGCGCTGGATCTATCTTAGTAGTCTCGAGCATCTTTAGTCAGCAAACGGGTGATGCGTTGGATGGCTTCGATGCTGCTGGTATTTCTGATGATGCGGAGACTTGTCTGAGAGTGTTTGAAGCTTTGAGTGTTAACTCGACGGGGGCTAGGATTGCGAGAGACATGATGGAGGGACTAAAAGAGTGCGGGCTGAGATGGAGTATGTGCATGCCATGTCTTTGGTTCGAGCTGGTACTGACATATCTTGCAGGAGACGCGACGTTGACATCTGAGCCACCGTATGCGACACTTTCAGCATCCCATACAGCCTTGACCACTAGAGGTCACATTCCAAGTCTAGATGGGCAGGACGCGTCCGTGTCAGACTTTTCTTTTACCACGCCAAGTGCCTGGCCGGCAGAAATCATGGACTCCATGGCGTGGTCGGTCCAGTTCTTTGGCGCCGTTCAATCTGGGGAGTAAAGATGCATCCAAGGAGGCTGGTATCCTCCCTGCAGCGTCGAGGAGGATGGGAGAGAGTTCTGGTCACCGAGTTGTGAATCTAAAGCGAGACGAGAATGGATTGCTACGTTCACGACGGCGACGGGATCATTAGATATATTATACATGTCGAAAGAGGCTTATTGAGCCAGTGCCTGCAACGCGTAGTGTTTTTACGCGTTTTGTGATGACGCGACGCGACTCATGCTGTGGTGGGGATAAAGCAGCTCTTAAACTAATTAGAAAGCTCAAAGCTCTGACTTATCAGAAGTTGCAGGGTAGTTAGGTATTTAAAATGATTTACCAGTGAGCTTCAAGTAGTGAAATACAAATCAAAATTTATTAATATGCTTATATATACAAGTAATTCATTATATACTATATTTATTATTTAGTTACTATTACTCTGAATTTACTATAGATTTGATATTGCTGCATCCAGTGTGTTTCAATGCTGTCACATTTCATTTCTGACTCAATAAAAGATCTCAACCTAGTAAAAGCTCGACAACTACGGAGTAGATGACAAGCTATCTGATTGCATCACACATGGAATTCACACCGACACAGCACGCAATAGCCATAATCCTGTTTTCACACGCTTGACAGCTCGGCAATACTAGTCAAGCACCTCGTGCCCAGCACTCCAAGCTGAAATGATGCAATCTCCATTAGTAGCGCATGCGGCTGAAGAGTCCAGACCAGGGAAATAGCGACATAGACGTAATCCCAGCGAAGATCATAGGTTGTACAATAATGATCGAAGATGCCCAGCAGTGCAACTCCGAAAATGGGGGGCTAGAGTATGTGGATGACGGAATGGCGCAAAGCTCTTGGCCCAACTTGGTAAGATCGGCAGGGATGTCTTGGTCCAAAGCTGGGAAACCCAGACGTCAATCAACCGATTTGGCTGCACCCCACACGATCTGTTAGTTCCCGTGGCGGTCATAATGATGTCGACGACGTAGGCAATCGAGCTGTCCTTGCTTGGGGAAGAGGTGAAGTGGTATATGAGGCGGTGAAAGTTCTCATTTGGTAGAGCTCATCATCAACCACTCACGACTCAACAACAAAACAACATCTAGCGACTCACTTTTGATACCCATACCTTAGAACAAATACCTGAACGACATTCGCAATGAGTCTGAGCGCAAAGATCAAGGATATCCTCCACTCCGACGAGTCCAAGGATACCACCACAGAGACATCCCATCACCCCCCAGGATCATTCCCCACAGAAGAGATGGAGCCCAGCGAAACACACGAAGGGTACTCCAAGGGATACGAGCACAACAAGCTTCACAAGGCCGATGACCCTCGAGGTCACGCACACAAAGACTCTGGCGTCGGTTTGACCGAGTCCAACGATCCTACCTCCTACAAGCCCTCTAACGAACCCATCTCCGAGCGACGCGACGATCCTCTAGGCAGAACTACCGACACTACTACAACTGCTGGTACTACAGCTGCTGGAGGTTTGGGCGACACCAGCAAGATCCCAGCCACCGAGGGCGCGACTGGCGCTGCTGCACCATCTACCCAAGACCATCCCTACTGGGGAGATCTTCCCAGTGGAGGCGTTCACAACACTGTCATCGGCCACGGCAGCCCTGAAGATGAGAACGCACGTCACCGAACTGTTCACTCTGGCGCGACCGAACCAACTCGAACTGCTGGTACTCTCGAGAGCGGAACGTTCCTCCACCGAAACGACCGCGACACAACGTCCTCTACAACCAACCCCCACGATGCTCAGCGATCTACTCAAGAGAGCCCCAGCCAAACATCTGGCTCTCACTTCAATGAGGGTGTAGCTGGTGTCGGTGCCGCTGGCGCCGGTGCCCTTGGAGCTCACGAGCTTAACAAGCGCCGTCACGCCGATGATACCCAAACACCAAGCAAGGTTGACCAAACCACCGATAAGACCCACGATGAGCACAAGGGCCGATCATTCCCTCTCCTCGGAAAGGACCACAAGGACAAGGAGACGCATCACAAGGAGGACAAGCACGCCAAAGAACCCAAGGAGAGCAAGCTTGGCGCTCTGTTCCATCGCAAGGATAAGACTGAGACGGAGGCCAAGGCTGAGCAGGAGGCTGATCAGGAGAGACATGGCCATTCCAAGCCTGCTCTAGCAGCTGCTGGTGCTGCGTGGGGTGCGAACACTGCTGGAAGGGGTCATGATGACAAGACTCAGCGTGATACGACAGCCCAGGAACCCACTGGTACTCGGGGTGCGACGCAGTATCCTGCCTCTGGACTTGACTCTACCAGGGACTATAGCAGCCAGCCTGCTACTGGTACTACACAGCAGCCTCACCAGCAGGATAATTCCCACCGAGGCGCTGGTCTTGCGACTGGTGCTGCTGCTGGTATTGGCGCTGGAGCTTTGGCGTCGCACTATGCTCAGCGCTCTGAGAATGACCGAACTGGCACTACCGGCACTGGCTATGACTCCCAGAGCTACGACCCTTCTAGAACATCCTCTAGAGATCCTACTTCTCAGGCCTACCAGCAGCAGAGCTCTCACGGAGACCACAGCCTCGCCAAGGGTACCGCAGCTGGTCTAGGTGCCGGCACACTTGCTTCTCACCCCGGCCAGCACTCTAGCTCCAACCAACCTTCAGCCCTTGGCTCTTCATCAGCATACGGTGCCCAGCCAGACCAGCCCGCCAACTTCTCTCACAAGGACCCCGTTGGTCAGACTTCCCAGCATGACTCTCATCGCGGCGCAGGACTCGCTGCTGGTACTGCTGCTGGTCTTGGTGCTGGTGCTCTTGCTTCCCGATCTGGTCGTGAGCACGAGACTACTGGCCAGCACACTGGTCTTGATTCCAGCCGAGGCTTCGAGTCGCAGGGCAACCAGTCTGCTTATAGCTCTACCAACCCTACCTCTCAGCACCAGCAGCATGACTCCCACCGTGGTGCAGGCCTTGCTGCCGGTACCGCCGCTGGGCTTGGCGCTGGTGCCTTGGCCTCTCGATCTGGCCGCGATCACGAGACTACTGGTCAATCAGGACTTGATTCTAGCCGTGGTCTTGAGTCGCAGACTACTCAGCCTGGATACAGCTCCACCAACCCTACCTCCCAGCACCAGCAGGGTAACTCTCATCACAGCACTGGTCTAGCCACTGGCGCTGCCGCCGGACTCGGCGCTGGAGCCCTGGCCTCTCGATCTGGTCGTGATCATCATTCTGACCAGCCCACTAGCCTTGACTCCAACCGAGGTTTCGAGTCTCAGACCACTCAGCCTACTTTCACTTCTACCCGCGACCCTACGTCTCAGTCCTACCAGCAGGAGGGATCTCACCGAGGAGCTGGACTTGCTACTGGTACTGCTGCAGGCCTCGGCGCTGGAGCTCTTGCCTCGCATGAGTCCAACAAGCGGGATGAGGATCGATACTTGAGCAACGACGGCTCTCGAACAGCCCAGACTGGTACCACCGGAACTACTGGAACTACTGGCACTACTGGTACCGGGGCTGGCTTCGGTACTTCTTCCTCTACTTTCGACAGCTCTCGACACGAGCCCTCCCGAAAGTCCGAGCACTCTCAGCGCTCAACCGGCTCTCACCACTCCACCCTCGCCGAGAACGCCAACGCCGGAAAGTACAACACCCTCGCATCCGGCACCCCCTCCGGCGTCGCCTACGACGACGACCTCTCCACCAGCCGCTCTTCCCAGCAGCCCGCATCTCAGAAGAAGGATGATCACTTCGGCGCCAAGGCAGCTGGTCTAGGAGCCGCCGCCGCCGGAGCTGGAACCGCAGCTGCTTTGTCTCGCAACAAGGATGAGAAGCCTGTTGAGGAGAAGAAGCCTGAGGCTGAGCGTAAGCTTGAGCGTGATACTGAGTCTCATAGACCTATCACTGGAGCTGTTGCGCCGCAGGTGGGAACGAACAAGCCTGTTATTCATAAGTGTCAGAAGTGTGGTGAGGAAAATGACATTAGCAAGTACTTTACTTCTAACTCTGGAAAGATCTAATTGGACTGGGATGGAATATGGGATGAGTAAACGATTATGAGGCATGTTTGTATTTGGTATTCCTTAGTCATGGAGTTAAGTAACATAATGATTCCAATTTGCTTCATGTTTGACCCCTTCATGATATGCATGTGTATGTGAAGCCGTTCAAACACCTTGATTACTTCATTACTTGCTGACGGTACCATCTGGTTCACCAAGCCAGCTGTTCAGCATCCTTGCCACAAGCCAAACCCGAGCAAAATCCCATATCATTCTCCGTCCCACGAGAAGCATCAGACGGTACATGCTGCGCTGAATTTATCTCCTTCCCCGCTGCTTTCTCCAACTGATAATGACCGTTCAAAATACCTCTGACACGATGCTGAAAGTAAAGAGGACCTTGCTCCATCTTAGGATGCATCTCACCATTAACAAACACGCCAGCGTTAAGGTTCTTCTGTGCATTATTGCAGAGCCATTTATCTTCAGCTAAGATCCTCTTGAACATTGCGTCGATGGCCTGGAAACTTTCGTCAGTGGCGTTCTTGTGTCGGTAGACTTCGTATTCCATGGAGCAGTGACCAGGCGAAGTAGGAACGCATCGCATCATGTAAAAGAAGTTGGGACTATCATGTCAGCCGATAAAAGGGGAAATGTGAAGGGGAGACTTACGAGACAGTCATGCAAGCATTGGGGAAGTAATAGTTGCTCACGATCCTGAGACCTTTTTCTTCCATCTCGGGTTTCGTGTTGGCAAAGTGCTCGATGTTACCGCCCTTTGTATCAACTCGATATGCCGATAGATCAGCGACATCCGCTGCATCTGGATGTGCGGTCTTGCAGTGATAACATTCGTTGTAGTTATCAGCCAACGTCTTCCAGTTATAGTCACCGCTCATGCCCCAGGTATGATCGAAATGATAGTCCTCGAAATTGAAGCCTTCGTGTCTAGCCATTTGGTCGATGTTCTTGAACTCAGTTGAGAAGTCCTCGGGCGTTTTTGAAGAGTCGAGATTGACCCAAATGAAGCCTTTGGCATCAACATGGACGTGAATAGGCAGAAGACCATTCTTTGTCTTGTCGAAGCCCTTCATGTCATCATATCCTGGAGCTTTCGCGAGTTGACCATTGAGACCGTATGACCAACCGTGGTATTTACAAGAGAGGATACTTGACTTTCCTTTATCTTCAGTCATGATGGGGAAAGCTCGATGTCTACAAATATTGTGGAATCCATTGATCTGTCCCTGCTTATTCTTCACCAGGAAGAACTGGAAGCCTGCTTGCTCAAACTTAACCCACGACCCTGGCTCTGTGAATCTGAGCTTGTGCGTTGTGAGAATCCATTTCTTAGCAAAGATAGCCCGTCGTTCAAGTTCGTATACTTCTGGAGATCTATACCAAGACGCAGGTAAAGCTCGTGCCGTAGAAGTGGTGTCTTTGAGAAATGCGGGGACGGGATCTTTATGGGGTCGGGATCTTGAGAGATAACTCGCTAGCAAGGATACGAGCGCTGCCACGCCAGCGGCTGAGAAGAGATAGTGGATGAAAGAGGGCGAGATGGAGATAGACATGTTTGCAAGTGTTAGACAAGGTTAATGGTTAAAGCCGTTATTACACTGACGAGTCATGGGCAAGGTCTTTATGAACGATATTTGAGACTATTCTAGTGGCTGACTTTATGTGATATGCCATCATGCTATCATCAACTCGGACTCTGGCCGCCCAGAAACAATATCCCGGGGAATCCGACTCCGGGTCCGCCGTCAGATGGTCGTAGCGGGGGGGCGGAGCCAATCAGTCAAGGCACGGGAAGAATCCGTGTTCGGCCCGTGTCCGACCTCGGTCATGAGGCTTATCATGATAAACACGGAAACTAACCAAAACCAAACGACAATTCAACTACAGACACTCCAAATAGCAACAGTCAATACTGAGATTCATGAGTTCGTTGATGGAGGTATACTGATAAGCTGAAGAGATATACATGCTCTACGGAATCTTGATGGTAAGACTCACCTCTCTGTAGACATTGCTCTGTGACAAAGGACATACCATAGAAATTACTCATTCCATAACTATTACCAAATATATTCAAAAAGAAAAAAAAAACGTAGAAATCGCCCCTCTGGAACAGTCTCGCCAAGGGATGTCCTAGTCACACTCCGCCCTAAGCAAATACACTCAACCTAGATCATCTTGGCCAGATCATAACAGCTTCCCCTATTGGTGCCCATATCTCACAACCCCTTCACCCCGCCTTCTTTCGATAGCACTACTCTCCCAGTTTGTGGGGTAGCGCGTATCAATTTCCACTGAAGCTTGAATAACCGAGCGGCCAAGTCTGGAGAATTATCATGGAAATTTCCTGCTTTGGGTTTAAAAGCGACTTCCGTCTCCATGTTTGACTTAAGATCTTGCATATTATTTCTACATCGTATGATTTGAGAATTTGTTACAATGTCGAATATTGAGACCTCGGGTTCTGTTAAGGAGAGTCGTGATCAGGAGAAGGAAGTCATGGCTGCTGATGATGTGTCGTATCATATCAGCACTGTCAATGAGCTTGGGAATGTCGTTGATCCGGTCCTTTCGGCTAAGATCAATCTTGTCAACGAGGTAAGACCACTGAGAGATGATAGGAGTTCACGATACTGACTTTCAAGACCATCAACGAGATTGGCTGGACTGGTTTCCATCTCAAGCTCTGCTGCCTCACTGGCTTCGGCTTTGCAGCTGACTCCCTGGTAGCATTCCTCCAGAGTGTTGCAGCAGGCCAGGCCTACCTTGAGATCGGCCATGGAGGTTATCCTACCGGTTCAACTATGGCTCTTTACGCTGGACTCCAGATGGGAGCTCTCTTCTGGGGTTTTGGTGCTGACATAATCGGTCGACGCATTGCCTTCAACACTACTCTATTCATCGCAGCCATTGCTACCATTGTCGCAGGAGCTGGTCCCAGCTGGGTTGCCTTCTGTGTCTTTGTAGCCTTTCTTGGCTTTGGAGCTGGCGGTAACCTCGTCTTGGATCCAACTGTCATGCTGGAGTTTGTCCCTGCGAAGCAGCAGTGGGTCATCACAGCTATGGCGGGATGGTGGGGTGTTGGACAGGCCAGTGCTGGCTTCATCGCTTGGGGCTACTACTGTGAGTTCTCCCACCTTTCTATGGATCGCCATGGAATTGGTGACTGACCTGGTCCTCTTTACAGCCCGAAACGATTGGACTTGCGTCGCTACGGTCGAGACATGCACATGGCAGAACAACAAATCATGGAGACTCATCATGTTCACCGGTGGAGCCCTCATGTTTGTCATGTCCGCCCTGCGTATTCTCATCATCCGACTCCCTGAAACCCCAAAGTTCCTGGTCACCAACGGCAAAGAGGAGGAACTTGTTGCCATGCTTCAGAAGCTTGCCAGTACTTATAAGCGACCTTGCTCATTGACACTTGAGGGTCTTCAGGCTTGTGGCACCGCTCATACCCCTGAGCACGGTGGTAGCAAGGGATCTGCTGTTCGTGGCTTGGGCAAGAGTCTCCTTGGTCACGTCAAGGGACTCTTTTCGACCAAGAAGCTTGCTCTGTCGACTTGTCTCATCTGGCTTTCTTGGACTTTGATCGGTCTTGGATATCCTCTATTCTTCCTTTACCTCCCGTGAGTCCTACCAAGCCCAACATACTAAAGGGATCCAGACTAACAGATGCAGATCCCTTCTCAGCAGCCGTCTTCCGGACTACAAGCCCTCCTTCACCGAGACCTGGCGTGATTACACCATCACCAACATCTGCGCCATCTTTGGTCCTCTCATTGCGGCTGGTCTTGCTGAAGTGAGCTTCCTTGGACGACGATATACAATGGCCATTGGAGCTGTGATCACTGCCATCTTCTTCTTTTGCTATACCGTCATCAAGACTCCTGCTCAGAATCTTGCCATCAGCAGCTGCATCTGTAAGCTCATCCTGTCCGTCATGTTGTTAGTACTAACAGGTCTCAGCTGTTTGTATCAACCTTTACTATGGTACACTCTACGCATACACTGCTGAAGTGTTCCCCTCTGCCCATCGAACTACAGGCAATGGTATTGCAGTCTCGCTCAACCGTATCATGGGTCTTCTTTCTGCTGTCATTGCGGTGACTGCTGATACAACCACTATAGCACCCTTGTATATCTCAGGGGCTTTGTTTTTTTTCATGGCTATCGTTTCTGCCATTCTGCCATTCGAACCATATGGCCGAAGTGCATCCTAGGGAAGGGAGGTTCTCAGGTTGTCATGAGAGGTTCAAACCTCGAGTTCCCACCGCGTCAGTGGTTGTTCACTATTATTATTTATCATTTAGGCTGTTTTCCTTATGACTTAACTTTTAAAATTGATTCATGTCCCACCAGTCCATGTTCATACTAAAGTTCTCCCCCATCGGCCCGAGATTCTCCCAAGGTCCCCAGGCCAAATCATGCGTAGTCACATGTTCATTACTAACCCCATGCTGGGTCGTAATCGCCCCATTCTCTACTGTCTCTTGTGGGTTCACGTCCGTCCTCTCCGACACCCAAGCTGGAGGTGACGCGTATTGAGCTGTTGACTCTCGCATATCTGTTGGCGGTGAACTCGCCTCGGACATTGGTAGGCCATCTTCGTCCTGAGTGGCTGCATGACCGCTCCAAACATCTCGACCATGAACGCTTTGATCATGGTAGTTGGGGAATTGCGGTGCCGCTACATCCAGCAACACCCAGATGAGAGATGTTCTGACAACGGCTGGGGATGATTTGTCAGTCGCCATTTGAGTTGATCGATCGGTTGACTCGATGAACTGATCCAGAGTATGTTCCTGATATAGGTATTAGTGATCAGTAGAATATCTTTATGGAGTGGAGGGCATACAATCGTTTTGCAAACTGGCCAACATGTCGCCATCTCCCTCACAAGATTCCTGCAAACTGCCAGATTTCTCACAGAAGATGCCTGCAGCTGACTATCATTGGTTTTGGTCCAGTACAAATGCAATGTACTGGCTATCGCTGCAGCTTGAGCGAAGAAAGGATCAGCTAGTCGAAGATTCTTCTCCTCCGCTGTTCGAATCAGCCTCGAGACCCAAGTACAGTGCCTCAAAGCTTTCAGATATGATGCTCTCCAGAATGAGTCGCCTCCAAGTCTACTCTTTGGTGTTTCAGCCATGACTGTATATAGGGATGGGTGATTGAGGACGCAGTGGATGGTATGGTAGGTCATCTGGACTCGGAGCCATGGTAGCCAATCCATCCGGTTATTCTCTACCTTTAGGGGTGAAGTCTCCGGGAACTTCGCTGCGTTATAGCTTATAGAAATCGGATAGACCATTTCAATCTCCAACAGTCGCGAACAAAGTCTGGTGTAGTCGGAATCTGGATGCCAAGGACGTTTGGCCAAGCCTTCAAAGCACTTGGCGACGTAAAGTCTAACATCACTCCAAAGCTCGCAAACTTTCAGGGCCTGTGACCAAACGTCAACCAGAGTCTCCCTTAAGCCAGAATCGGTCGCTTTTGGAGCTGGGATACAGCTACCAAGAGAATCTCGCGTCTCGACTGTGAGCAATTGCGGCGCGTCGATACTTGTTGGTATGGACGGCAACAAGACTGGTCTACCGCAAGAAGAGCTTAGGTAGTGAATACTCCAGAAGAGCCGGGATTTATCTTGTGAGACTGCTAAGCCACTTGGGTTGCGCTCACTGCCGGGAAGAAGCTGGATCATGTTCTGGACTGTTGCTATGTCAAAGCCAGCCATGGGGATGTTGCCCACTAATACGGTTTTAGTAAAACGGAACGTTTTTCTATAACAGAGCGAATATCAGCTTACATATGAAGTTGTAGTATGCTAGTAGACACAGCGCCTGAGCACATCTGATGGTCACTCTGCCCTCCGCGATTTTGAGCATAACACCTCTTCGAGCAGTTTTGTTGTAAGAGTCAGGGCTTTGAAGGTTATCCATAGGCACATCTTCCGTATTATAAGTCATGCTTAGAGCCAGCATGGCATAGATCAGCTCCTCAGATGTATCTGAAGGTAGTAAAGGGCGCTCGCCAAAAAGCCAAAGAGGTTGTCGATGGATATGGCGAAAGTAAAAGTCAATGGCTCTTGTGGTGACTTCTGTTGGTATTGACGATCTGCTCTTCATTAGAACGTGTAAGCATGTCTTAAAGGGAAGAACTTACATCAATGGAAGGGTCGTGTGAGGAGAGACTGATGAGAATGATGGTATACGGTTATTCCTGTCTGACGTCGAGGTGGGTGTAGTTTCTTGCATTGATGGAGGGCTGCATATCGTCAGCTCAGATGGCCCCGCTGCATGAGCTAGAGTACTATTCAACGTACACAACTCTGCTTATTAAGCTATCCAACTTATCCTCGAGTTGTTCAAGTCGACTGGACTACAGCTCTTAGTAAGAGGTATGAGATACTCGGATGAAGGCCCTTACCATGCGATTCTCCATTCTGCTCGTGGTATCCTCACTGATAGGATTGACCTCGGTGAACGAGCATTGTTGACGGAGGCGTGTACATGCTGAACATCGCGGTCTTTCACCTGGGCAGCGAATCTTCTTGCGGCTGTAATGTCATCAGCAATCATGTCTGCTATTGCCGATATGGGCATAAATGTACCGGCAATTATCACAAGCCTGAGCAACGCGTCGATATTGTCTTGATCGTGGGGCACTCATGCTGTGTGTTTATTGATGTGATTGATATGGCTTGTGCAGAGACTGGAGAGCGGTTGGTGACATTCAGAATTGGTGCAGATTATGTATCCTACGCGTCTGGCTACTGAGTCTAGGCCCTGAGTCAAAAGTGCGGGGGTAAAAAGCCACTGAGAGCAGGGAGTAAGGCGCAGCTCGCCACTGGCTCGGCCTGCTTAAAATTCCGGGTCTTGTCTTATCAGACACCTAATTTTGCGATAAGAGACGCAGGCTTACAACGGCGAATGCCTTTTTTTAATCAGGCTCAATTGAAGAAAGTAACTGTAATGCGCGTTAAACTCTTTCATGCGACTATTGTATTGTTTTTGGTTTTTATTCTCCCTATTAAGTTCAGACAACGGGCGACCTTGTCAATAGGCGTTATCCTGTTGTTTCAATGCATGTAGACCGAGCCATCGTGTTTGTGAAATGAAACCCACAAACTGCATGAAATCATCCTGTACCAAATAGTATAAGTTGACTATATTTCTTACGATGTTATGGTGACGATTAGACAATTTTAAGCCAACGGTGATATCTAATTAATGCTGTCTAAATGCTATGCTTCTACAATTTGCTGTCTGCTCCTACCCTAGGGATGCCAAAGTTTGAGATATCCTCCTTTGTCTCACCATCTATCGCAAGCTCTGCCAAAACACGGCCAATAGCTGGAGCAAACTTGAACGCATGACCTCCACCCAAGCCCACAATAACATTGGGATGATTCTTCAAAGGGCTGATGACGAATTGACGATCAGGAGTGATGGCATATTGACAGGTGACTGTTCGAATGGCCTGGCCCTTTTCTGGTATCAGACCGCCCATGAATGAAGTAAGCTCATTGAACAAATCCTCAGACGGGACAAAGGTTCGCTCCTCGGGTGTCATGAAGTTGTTGGATGTATCACGGCCTGCTTTGATTGTTGGTTCGCCGTAACTGGGGAACCCGTAGAAGTATCTGTTGCCAGCCCAGATCCAAACTGGAAACTTGGTATCGTCAAATGGCGTAACATCAGCTGGCTTGTAGTAGGTGACCTGTTCTTGCATAATCTGGAGCGGGATGTTTGTGCCAAGCGGAGTGATGAGCTTGTTAGTCCACGCGTCGCAAGCCAAGATAACCTTGTCGGCGTGGAATTGACCTCGAGATGTGTTGATAGTCATGCCCTTGCCGTTTGAATCTGGGATCAATGCATCCACACGCGTCTTCTCCTTCAAAACAGCGCCGTTGGCACGAGCTTGGTACTGCATTGCCGCCACAGACTTGGATGCATGTACGATTCCTGAGTCGGCAGTGTAAATCGTCTGAACACCTTCCGCGATGTCAAAAGAAGGCCAGCGTTTCTTGACTTCTTGAGAGCTGAGGACCTCATACGGAATATTGTTTGCGTCAAGACTTCTCATGAATTCAGAAGCACTCATGCTCTTCTCGAATTTGTTCAGAGATGCTCCATCATCGGCCAGTTTGGGGAAGAAGACGACGCCTCCCGTGATCGTGAGCATTTGAAGACCACTTCGACGTTCCAGCTCAGCCCAGTCTTTGTAAGCTGCATGGGCTAGAGCCACATAGTCTGGTGAGCCATAGGAGGTCCTGACGATACGGGATGTGTCGTGTGAAGATCCGTAGATGTTGCCAAAGTCATATTGCTCGAAACCGATAACAGTAGCTCCTTTGATGGCGGCGTGATAGGCTGCTGCGCTACCAAGAGCACCGAGGCCAACTACGGCCACTTGGAAGTTGTTGTTTGACATTGTAGGGAGTCTGACAAGAGATCGTGATTAAGAGAAAATTCAAAGATTGTTGAGGGATAAAAGGAAGTTGCAGTGGCCTGCTAATCTCATACTCTCGTCACAACGCCCTTCCTTATAATCGTGTCGAGGCCGATATAGCATGAACCTTATCTTATCTTATCAGGCCAGTTCCCCGAGTTTGCGGGGTACATCAGGTCATGAGATAAAGTTGCCCGTACCCACTTGGGCCATGGCGGAATTTCCGTGCCCACCACGGATTCTCACGGATTCTTCAGCCGAGACCAAACTGTGAGTCTGGGCCAGCAAGACATCTTTGTTAGTAAGCCTGTGACTATCACCAATACAAAGGAGGCTTCCGCATCTATCGCAAGAAGATGCTTCCGTACGTTTGACATATATTTCTCTGCTCTTGGAACATGATGAAACTCCCCTCAACGGCCCCCAATCAACTAGAGCAGAACTTGCCGGTATGGTCCTCCAGCGCGATCAACTGGAGAACATGTCCAACCTCATGAGACCCCCGAACAATGAATACAGAAGACAAGACACGCTCCTATTGGCAGACCTCCACCATGGGACAGAGACGCTGGTAACTCTCCGCGAAGCATTGCGGCAGCGACACTCTCTGGATATAAAGCGGCAATAAGGGGCTTATATGAAACTGGAAGGGCAAGCGACTCCGAGGTATGATAACTTATTTGGCCTCTTTTATTACCGTTTTGGGGTTAGCGTTTCGTAGGTGATGACCTCCCTGCAACTCGCGACTCACCTTGCTTACAAATGGCAATTAGAGTCTCGATATAAATGTTGTTGGCTGGCTTCTGCTAACAAGTTAGTTTCAAGGCGACGAGGAAGAAAGCTATTGATCGAGCTTGACATTTGAACACTCAATGACGAAAATCTTCGTGCAAGTACACTTTGTTTCTGATCACTCTATTCTCGCAAACTATTGCGATATAACAAACGTCTCGGTAGAGGAGGAGCTAATTCCCAGGTCTAGAACAGGTGCCACCGGCTACGTCGGAGGTGATGCTCTCTACACGTTGGCAAAGGAGCATCCCGAGTATGAAATCACGGCTCTTGTTCGGAGCCAAGAGAAGGGCGATATAGTTACGAGCCAATATCCGTCTATCCGTCTCGTATATGGGAGCTTAGATGATTTCGACTTACTCGCCAACGAAGTCTCCAAAGCCGACATTACTTGCCATTGGGCCAGTTGCGAGCATGAAGCCGCCGCCAAAGCCATCGCCGAAGGACTGTCCCGCAAGACTGCGCCGGGATTCGTGATCCACTTGTCCGGAGCCGACCTCATCTGCTTCCCGGATTTGAACGCCGATACGTACGGGAGTCGACGAGATCGGATTTTTGATGACTGGGATGGCCTTGATGAAGTCATTTCACCCGCTAACAATTCCCCTCACCAAGAGGTTGACCTGGCCATCCTTGACGCAGCCAAGAGAGGTGGCAAGACAGGCATTGTGTGTCCTCCGACTATTTACGGTCCAGGGCGGGGACCCGGCAATCAAAGGAGTATTCAGGTGCCCGAATTAGTATCGCATATCTTGCAAAGGGGTGTTGCCTTTACCGTGCAAGGTGGGGAAAACATTTGGAATTCAGTGCACGTCCACGACTTATCAAAGCTGTTCTTAAAGCTCGTTGAGGCTGCTGCTCAGGGAGGCGGTAAAGCTGACTGGGGGGCCAAAGGCTTCTATTTTGTTGAAAGTGGTCACTTCAGCTGGAAAGCTGTGGCGGAAAGGATTGCTGAAGAGGCAAAAGATCGAGGGCTTGTGAAGACCCTGGAAGTGCAAAATCTGAGCGCGGAGGACGTAAACGGCATTTGGTCCTATGGTGCGTTTTTCTGGGGTACGAATTCGCGCAGCAAGGCCATTAGGGCGCGTAAACTTCTGGGTTGGAGTCCGGAGGGGTGTGATATCTTTGAAGATATCCCTGCTGTTGTTACCGCGGAGGCTGCTGCGTTGCGACTCATGAAGTAGCAGAAACACAGTATTATGTATCGTATCCTAGACCGGCTGTGGAAATACATGCTGATGGTCCGATGGATGAATCTAGTTCAATTGATATCTTGCGTTGAGAACTGGAATTTACAACTCACAATGCACTGCGATGTACCTCTCCCATCTCATGCCCCCATCGCCGCTCGCGGGTTTCACGGATCATGCCAAACACCGTTTGAAGGTAGACGAAACGAGTGTGTGTCTGAAACTTGAGTTGCTAGCTTATGCCATTGTGTAATTCAGATGTGGGCTGGCTCGTGGCCGGGCCACAAAGCACCAGAACGGAAATCAAACTACTTTTCGGCCTTGAGCTCATAGAGACTAGCTACTAAATTCAGTGCCCTGAACTATTATCAAATGCAAACTGTTACGTTGAATCGAGATTATCACGGTACAGAGGCTTGCTTGCAATCTTCCAACTTACCAAGCTGTCAATACACTGTCGTCCTGATCTCTGCAGCTCAATCTTGGTATCGTGTGGACAGCTCGAAACAGCATACAATTTGCTAGCACGGTACATAACTCTTTCCATCTGCTTGCGATGCGAGGAATCGCTTATAGGACGTCATCAATTAGTTGCTATGAGTAGGAGTAATTGATATTTCCAAACACCAGTGAATCAGGATACTCAACCAGTAACTTGGAACAAGGGTTCTCCGAGCATATCGAGATTGACTGAACCGAACCCGTTGCCGGGAAGAACGGTATAGTCGACTCGACCATCAGACTGCATCCTAGGGACATCCGCAATCATTGGGCTTATCCATTCGGTAAAGAGATCCACAGCACGCAGCCGGTCAGGGGGTGTAGAAGCAGCTAATTGCATATTTTGTGCAGTTGTAAGAGCGCAACCCCATGTGTCATCGATATTCACCTTTATATCAAGTGCAATAGCAGCATCTCTCAAGGTTCGCGCCTTGGTGAACCCGCCGACGCGAGAGGGCTTAATATTTATAGCCGTGACTCCGGCCGCATGCGCTGTGATGAGATCGAGCATTATCACGATGCCCTCATCCATGACAATAGGGAGATCGGTACGCCGACCGACCTCGGCACAGTGAGACGTTAGCCGGCAAGGCTGCTCGAGAGGAACGGTAATATCTTGCCCGAGGGCGCGGGCGTAGGTCAATGCCTGGTCCAGGTTCCAACCAGCATTTACATCAGCCCAGGCAGTGACACTCTCCGGGAGAGCTTTGCGGATGGCCTTGACTCGTCCGGCATCGCTAAGTGGGTCGACGGCTCCAGCCTTTATTTGCATGAATTTGAATCCTTTTTCGGCTTCGGCGAGAGCATCTTTCACGCCCGTCTCTGGATCTCCAAAGTTGATGACACAAAAGCCAGGCGGGTTCTTAGTAAGAGATCCCCCGAGCAAAGCGGAAGTCGGCAGCCCAGTAGCTTTGCCTAGGATATCCCAACAAGCCATGTTGATAACAGCCTTGGCCGCTGTGCCCGCCATCATGGCGCGGTCCATCACGACGTCAATAGCTGCGGGTGATCGAGGGTCTCGGCCGATAACCAGTGGGCCTAACTCCTTGAGCGCAGCGATCTCTGCAGCAAATGAGCTGGGGAGGTAGTTGCTGCCCAGCGGCGCTGTCTTCGCCCATCCTTCTATGGGAGGGGCGCCGGTTGTGCGAATCCGAATGACAATGGAAGGTTGTCCGGAGGTAGAACTCCGGACAACGACCACCAGACATGGTATACGTGCCATCATTAAAACTGGCCTTGTAACTGAATACGGTGATGTTGTTGATCTGCATTGTCGTGGGCGATAGATGTGGAAGTTGAAACTGGCTTATGGTGCCAGAGTATGGGGTAATTGGGAATGGTGCTGGTTGTGAAGGACGTGGGGAATGGATCAAACCATGCCAAACAATATCAGTCCTACTTATGATTTCCGATACGACCATCGCCCCGCGTTGTGCAGTGCCATGCATTCTACGGCACGGCAACTGAGCCGTAGTGGCACCGGATACACGGCCTAAAACGAGTGTGATGCCGAGTTTTGGAACGCATATCTATGAGAGGGGGATGAATATGAACACATAAGGATACCCCTCGTTGTCTCGATTAGCCATTCCTCTTTTCTGAGATTAACCAAAGCCATTCTTGTTACTTACAACATCTTCTGGTTCGTCAACCAGGTCATCACCAACAATAACTCCCCCACATCCAAGATTTTGCTGTCTCGAAAGCATTCCAAGATCTAGCCCCGCAAACATGAGCCACACTCTTGCCCTTGACAATTCAATCATTCATGACCTTCTAATCAGCCTCTCTAGAGCAAACATTGTGAGGTTTCAAAGAGACCTCGAAAACTCGCTCATCGAATTTTCGGCAGGCAGTGAGGGTAAATTTCAACTAAACCCTGGTTTGTCAACCGACCCAATGGTCAGAAAACCATCTTCCGAACGTTTACGTCCCCTGACGCGGTTGGAATGAAGATTATCGTGACACCCGCGCCAGTGGAGAGTCCCAATGGAAACACGGCTAATCCACCACTGAACGGTATCATAGCCCTATGCGATTCACTAGGCCGCCCTATAGGCCTTTTGAATGCTGCAGAGGTAACCGGTTTCCGAACTACGCTGTGTGCTCTAATCCCTTGGACATGGCGACGCCACACCGAGAATATTGTGATATTTGGTGCTGGGAAGCAAGGTTTATGGTACACCCGTCTTGCGCTCGCGTTGAGGGGCTCAGAAATCAAGTCAGTGACGATTATCAACCGCTCCGTGGCCCGAGCCCAGTCTCTCGTAGCGCAAGTAACGGAAGAGAACCAGAAATATTGGAAATCTTCGGCTACTTTGTTTAGCTTGGATCCTTCTCAGCCCGACTATAGCAAACGCTTGGCAACTGTCCTGTCGACAGCTGATGCAGTGTTTTGCACGGTTGGATCTACAAGCCCCTTGTTTTCTTTCCAAGGAGTTCTCAGAGGCACAAGAAGCAGGTCGCCATTCATTAGTGCTATTGGTTCCTGGCAATCCGACATGATGGAGCTGTACCCAGAGCTGCTTCGTTATGCTGCTGGACGGCCCGACTCTTACAGCCCACGCGGGGCTAGTGGCTGCATTATCGTCGATGATGCCCAAGAGTGCCTAGTTAAGTCAGGAGAGGTTATACAGTCTGGTCTAAAGGCAGAACAGATGTTGCAGGTTGGAGAGATCTTGAGCTGGCAGCAAGAGAAGTCGGGGTTGGAAGGCTAAGACAGAGAGCGGCTTGCATCGTGGCTCGCCGACGGCTTTGTCGTGTACGAGGGCGTAGGGGTTAGCGTAACAGACCTGGCTGCAGGTAATGCTATCCTTGAAATTGCCAAAGATCGGAACGTTGGAGTTTCCATCGCAAACTTTTAGCATGTCGCGAATCTTCTTCCATCCATAGTAATGAAAGCGCCGTAACTGGGTCCGTAAGTGCACTACTGTGCGAACCACAACCGTCAAGCAGTACAAGCATTCATGTGCAAGTGCCGATCCGATTCGAAAAAGAGTTTGGTTCCAGCGAGTTTTCTTACTTAATGACTACGCCCATGTATGGGCACTCTTTCTAGAATCATCCACCAGAGGGCATGCGAAGGTGTAGAAGTCTAGCGTTCGGTTGTCAAGATGGGATATGACGTAAGCTAGTCCAAGTACTTACTTGATCTTTTTGGAAGCAGTCTGGAGCAAAGAAATTAGTCACGTTAGTAGGTCTCCCCACCATCCGGTCGGTAACGCTCCCGAGTTAACATTAGTCCGCTGATTGGGTTTTCCTGCCTATTTGATTTGTGAACCGCTGCATAAAATTCCACTGTTTCCTCAAGACTTCGTTGGAGCTCTCTTATTATAATCTTCAACGGCGCTTTACACGGATCTCTACCGAAATCAACACCTTTCATAATTGCCACTGTTCCACATCATTTCTTTCTTTACCTCTTACACATATAAGACATGGCGGACAAGTCGTCTTACTGGGTTGAGTCTGAGGACTGGCATACCGCTGGAGAGCCTTTCCGCATCATCCAGCACCTGCCATCAGGCTTTCTGCCTGAGGTTCAGACTGTTTCGGAGCGTCGCATCGAGATCGTCAAGACCAAAGACCATCCGCTTGATCGGCTCCGCATACTTCTTAGCCATGAGCCATGAGGACACCCCGATATGTACGGTGGCTTTATTGCCCCCTCCCGAACGACTCCGGGGCTTCTTTCGGCGTGCTGTTTTGGCATAAAGATGGCTTCTCGACGGCCTGTGATCATGGCACTATCGCTCTAGGCTATTGGGCCGTACATAAGGGTCTTGTTAATGCCCCTGAGAATGGGGTTGTGGATGTCGTCATTGATGTCCCGTCAGGCCGCGTGGTTGCGTCAGTCACGAGAAAGGATGGCAAGTCTATATATGCCGACTTTTGTTAACGTCTCTACTTATCAGATAGCGAAAGGGTTATCTGTGGCAATCTCCTCTCGCGATTCTGATATTTCCGTCGACCTGACATTCGCTGGCGCTGTGATAGCATCGGTAGATACCACTCAGCTGGGTCTTGAGGTTAAGCCAAGCAATGCAAACAAATTTATCAGAATTCAACGAGAGATCAAGGCATTTCTTGGCGATAGGGCAAAGTACGGCCCCAACGAACTATACGCGATGCTCTTCTTCGAGGAAGAGGAAAACGGCAAAGGCTCGGGATGGATCGTCCAGAAGAGCATCAACGTCTACGGCGACGGACAGATCGACCGGTCTCCCTGTGGTTCTGGAACTTGCGGAAGGATGGCTATTCTACTGACTGAAGGTCGACTCCGAGAGAACTCGAAACTCTTGCACCACTCTATCATCAGGTCAGCCTTCGAGGCTGAGATAGTGTCCAAGGGTCAGAGTCCAGTCGAGGGGTTTCCTGCCTGTGTTGTGCGCGTGAGAGGCCAGGCGTATCTTGTTGCAGAAACGCGGTTTTTTATCAACGCCGAAGATCCAGTCGCTCCGGGCTTTGTCTTGCGTTAGGACTCTCGTTGATTCTAATCAAAAGAAGAATAGGGTATGGTACATTTTGTCACTTTATCACCCTTTACGAAATGTTCATCTTATTGCAATTTCGCTCCAAACCTTTGACACCCATGTCGAATCTTGTACCCCCAGCTCAGCCAGTCAATGAGTCATAACGGAACCTCGATACTCCAGCGTGTTCCCCATCCTATATATATTATCTCAGCCTTTTCGTATCTACTCGAGATTGAAGTTCTAACAACTTACTTAGCGTCCCAAGCAGCCTTTTGCAGATTGGAGCCGGTCCTGATTTGCCAATCCAGACCTCTGGAGGCAATCCATCCAGTCTCGATAACCTCTTTATTCTTCCTGGCAGGCTCCATTTTCCTTTTCCTTATAATTAATATAATACTTAATAAGGCATATTTTTTTATATCTCTTATAAAGTAGGATCGTTAATATTAATTACTTACTAAGGCTATAGTAATTAATAGTATCCCTAAGGTCCTTATTTTTAATATAAGTATAAATTATATCTTTAAGAACTTGAGTAATCCAGAGACCTTATGCTAGGAGGGCCAGTCTGACCTGGAGTACGAGGAACATATGTACAAAGGTGAGCATAAGCTACAGACAGGGCGGCAACAGCACCTTGGCGGGGACAGTGCGGCAACGACACCTTGGGGGGAAAGCGCGGCAATAACACCAGGCGTTACACAGCGGCAGCGATACCATTTGGCGCCGCGGTTGATGTATTCTTGAGTGTAAAGAGGGGTTAAAGGTTACACGATAACGAGCCGAGGGAGCCTGTCAGCCTGAGCATTATTCTGTCTGCATTTCAGAGGAGTTGTCTCGTAAAAAATCCAGTTTTCAACCCAGCCACAAATGTTCAATTTTACATAAACCTGCACTCACCGTTCTTGTTCGATCAAAGATATTAATCATTCAATTATTCTACGACTCTTTCTTCGTACCGCGCTTTCATTATGGGGATAAATTCATCAAACCCAGCTCATGACCCCGCGATTGTCCCGCCGCAGACAATGGACAATAGACCAGTCTTGGACCAGAAACCCACAGTAGACAAATTGGGAGACAGATCCACAGCTCATGCAAATGTTGCCCATGAAACGTTCACTTGCAAGGATGCTCCAGTCGAGAACCAACGTCCTCTCAAGGTCCGCGTAATCGGCGCTGGATATTCAGGCGTCTACCTCGGCATCAGAATCCCGCAGCGTCTGCGCAACATTGATCTCAAGATCTACGAGAAGAATGAAGGTGTCGGCGGAACGTGGTGGGAGAATCGGTATCCAGGTTGTGCCTGCGATATCCCATGTAAGCAAGAGAACCTTCTACAAGATCACAGTCTATTGACATTCCTACCTATAGCCCATTCTTACCAGTACACCTTTGCCCCGAACAAGGCTTGGTCAGGCTTTTATGCCCCTTCACACGAGATCTGCGCCTACATCGACGACGTGGCGGAGAAGTACGGTGCCAAGCGCTTCATCCATCTCGGACACAGAGTAACCAGCGCAACCTGGAATGATACGGCCAAGAAATGGTATTGCTTGCATTGCCTCATCTCGACCAATACTGACATCATCTAGGCACGTCACAGTTGAGACCAACGCAGGGGAGAGCTTCGCCGAAGAAGTAGATGTCGTCGTGGCTGCCAGAGGTAACCTCAACACAATCTCCTGGCCTGACATCCCTGGCTTTGATACCTTTAAGGGGAAGAAGATGCACTCAGCAGCCTGGGACCAGGACTATGACTTCAAGAACAAGAATATTGGTGTTATTGGTGGTGGGTCCAGCTCAATCCAGATCGTGCCAGAGCTGCAAAAGGTTGAGGGCGCCAAGTTGAGTTGTTTTGTACGCAGTAAGGTCTGGATATCGAACCGCTTTGGCGATGTGACGATGAAGCAACTGGGATGGGATCCTTCTGATATCGAATGTGGGTCATTCCTTAACACGCATTTGATCGGAACAAGTTAATCTGATGTGAGATAGTCTCGGCCGATCGTTTGGCAGAATTTGTCAAGAGTGACGATGAATATCTCCGCTTTCGCAAGCGTATCGAGGACGACGGCAACTTGGTTCATCTTTCAACTCTCCGAGGCTCAGAGATGCAGAAAGAGTTCGTGTCCATGTTCTCAAGGATCACCAATGATGTTCTTGGTTCACGACCCGATCTTCTCGAATCGTTCTCCCCAACTTTTGGTGTTGGATGTCGTCGTTTGACACCAGGACCTGGTTATCTGGAAGCTCTGTCTCAGCCTAACGTCAATTTCATCACTCAAGGTATCGAAAGTATCAACGAGAGGGGCCTGAAGCTCACAGGGCCTGAAGGTCGACAGATTGACGTCGATGTGTTGGTCTGCGCAACGGGTTTCCAGACTAACTACACCCCTCCCTTCCCTGTTATCGGTAAACAAAGAGTAACATTGAAGGACAAGTTTAACCCGTTCCCTGCGACATATCTCACTATGGCGGTGGATGGTTTCCCAAACTACTTCATGATGCTCGGACCCAACTCAGCCATTGGCGCCGGCTCATTGACATGTCTTCTTGAAGCAGAGGGAGATTACATCGTCAAGTGCATTCGAAAGCTGCAGAAGGAAGACTACGCAACCATGACGCCCAAAGCAACCCGCGTCCAAGATTTTGCAGACTACATTGGAGAGTACTTCAAGAAGACAGTCTACATGGATGACTGTAAGTCGTGGTATAAGATCGGAGGCGGATATGGCGACAAGATCTCGGCTCTTTGGCCCGGAAGTGTCATGCATGCACTAGAGACGTTGAGGGCGCCGAGATGGGAAGACTTTGAGTTTGAGGAAATGCATGAGAATAGACTTCGGTGGTTGGGCAATGGCTGGAGCATGTGTGTCATGGAGGAAGAAGAGCAGGGCGATCCGAGTTGGTACGTCAACCCGGATATAGTGGATGTGCCACCCGAAGGGAAACCAGAGAGGGATCCTAAGTATCTAGCCAGACCTTTCTCATACTGATTCATTTGCCCTTTTCTCAATAAATTGACATTTTTACTCTCAACATGTTGGTCGTTGTCTCACCGACGCATGCTTCTCTACTTATGGAATGCTTTGTTTTATACATTGCTCTGTAGTCTATTCTTTCGTCAAGTAAACACGAGGATGGAAGCTATACTTGCGTGGTCTAGCTAATCATCTATCAATTCCATATCCGTATTTCAACTATGAGTCAATCTTTGAGCCATTCTATAGCTTCCTCAGTGGTACAACCAGGCACTGATAGACCTCTGCCCTAAAGTCCCTTTTGTAAAGTCCAGAGGTAGTGAAGTTACAGCGTAAACACAGTCAATCATTGCATTCCACTCAGGTGTATTGTCAAGTATGACAGCCTTCGACAGTCTCTTCGCTGTGCTGAAGTTAGTCAGCTCTAGCAAGTCAGTAGAATGCAGCCGTCTCATATGGAATACGAATAACCCACACGCGTTTAGGCAGAAAATCTAGGACTTTCAGTTTCGCTCTAATTGTGCACTATGTAGTATGATGCTCTTTCAAAGCGTGTACTTTTAAGCGCATACTGCACTAGCTTGCACTAGAACTCCGCGGAAGTGTGGCGTGTCCGGAATGACATTGTGGGAGGGCTTAGGCTATTTGCTTTAACCTCCTCATCTCCTCGTCTCCGCGGATACGCCCACGTCCTAGAGTATTCCTTCTGCTAGGCAAAGAAATAGGTGCATGTAAATGTGCTCATACTCTAGCTAGAATAAGTTAGGTCCTCTTGGTATCTGTATCTAAAAGTTCGCAGTACGAAGCAAGCTTTGATCACATTTTAGTCGAGCCCTGGACTGAAGAGGCTAGCGGCCTTGGACTGAAGAGGCTAGCGGCCTTGAGGTTGGGAAATGCACCCCTGCGGCTGTTTTTATCCAATGGCGGTATAGTTCAATTCCTTCTGGCCTGCCATGGGAATTTCCTTGCATAATTTGGTGCAAGGTAGCAAAGCTGGAGTACTACCCCAGACTGCCCTATATGTCTAAAGCGCGGAAAGACAAGCACCGAGATGTGGGGGAAGGTTCTTGGATAATTATATCCATGTCGTGTACAGAAGCCTTGATAGATATATATAAGAATGAACGGAATCCGAAAATATACTGCTCCAGAATACAAACTCATCTCATTATCTTTCTGGCTCTCATCGCTCACATAATCCCTACATACCAGCATCACGCCCTTGGTTATAGCCGTTCGCTTATTGCGATGCTTGCAATGCAACTTCTTACAGCTTTCGCCATATCCTTGGCCGGGCAGGGCAGTCTAGTTACAGCTGCTGCTATAGAGCCGCGCTCCGCAAACTCTATTCCGCCCCCGCCGAAGCCGGAGCCTGTCCATCTGAAGAGACTGCCACTACCCCCAGGCATCTCCGATGATGCACCGGGAGCCTGTACCACCAAGATCAACCCGCGCGGAACAGGATGTATGCCAGTCAAGAGCTTGCGGGCTTTTCAATCCGGGGAGTTTCTCCCAGATGGCAAACACGTTCTTGCGCTTGTGCCTTTTATCGGTGCGCCTTTGGCTCCGGATCCTGCTAGCATATATAATGGCTCCCAAATCATCATTATAAAGACAGACGGTTCCAAATTTAGCAATGGTGACAAGTGGAAATGTATCACTTGCGGCGTACCGGCGGAGAACGCCGTCGGACAAACCCCAACCTATGACTACCCGCAGGCCTTTGATGACGGAAAGCGCATCTTATTTGGAAGCAATATTGCCGACTGCGGAGATCACTTGCTTATCAGCGATGAGTGCACGCCGGACCAGCTTCATGTCTACCCTATTCACTGGGATGTCAGTGCAGATGGCTCGGGTGCTGGCGGCAGCATTAGAGAACTTCGACTGCATCCAGACAATGCTCATCTCGGTTTTAGCTCCTTCACCACAGGGGCCAAGCTGGGACAGTTTGCATACTTCGGCCGTCTCAAGTTCAACCCAAAGCCAACGACGGGCCTGCCGCTCGCGCCACGGTACGACTTGATCAAGGTGTATAGGCTGTATCGAACCGATCTGCCGGCGCCGGTGGCAGCCCAGGGATCTCAGCTGACCTTGAACACAAGCGCCATTAGTGTCGGTGAGCTGAGAGGATTCAGCGGGCGCGGCGACGAAGCTGTCTATGTAGGAAACCCGGTGGAGTCCTGCAACCTTGACATATTTGCAGTAGGCCTACAATCTGGCCGCGTTCGTCGTATCACCTCGGACCCGGGTTACGTTGACCCGATCGAAGCTTCGCCTGATGGAAAATGGTGGGCTATCATGGACACTCGCGGGACCGATAGACAAACGTTTTTGGCCGGTATGCGAAACGTTCCCCCTCTGATTGATTTGGTGACGACAACTGTATCATCTTCGATCCGCAACAATGGACAACGTCGCTTCTTTTCGCCATGGTTGCTCGACGCGTATGGTGACCGCCAGAGTGACAACTACTATGGCCAGAAGATCAACGGTCCTGGCTCTAGTAAGTCTGGCAGTGGTGATCTACGTGATCCAGAGTGGAATGGTCAAGCCGACCCCCAATGGTCCCCTGACTCGACCCAGGTCGTGTATTGGGAGGCTCACGTTGAGGCTCCTGCTTGCGGTGGCATCAATCCGTTGCCTTGCTACCCCTCGAAAGAACCGGATGGCAAAGATATTCGTATCGTCTTAGCCACCTTCACTGCCCGTAGGCCAGCCAAATACACACCAGTTGGCACTGTCCCCGACGATATCCCATGGGCTGAGCTATATGTCCCCGGAAGCAGTACACCAGATAGAAAGGGTGTTACTCCCGGGCGATACACCCTTGATGCTAAGGCTTCAGGCTATGCTGAGGTAGCAATCACGCCTGCACAGGTTGCAGTCATATACCATAACTATTCTGATGACGGCAAAATATTTCTCAATGGTTGGGAGAATGCCACAACCGCGTCTGACAGCTTCACTCAGAGCCATGTGGATTGGTATTCCAACCTGACACAGACTGGCCCTGGTATCTACAACACCAAGAAGACCAGTGCTGACGGATTCCACATCACCATTGATGTACTGACTAATGAGTTCAACGCCAATGGCACCTTGACTACAACTATTGATGGCAAGAAGTATTCAGCACCTCCAAACGGTACATAGCTGGATGGATCGTCATTATAGCTTCCCTGTAAAGGCGCCTTAAATGTTGCAAGGGGCAGTTGCGCGTGATACTATGAAGCAGTCGAGCTGTGATAGGACATGATTGCTTCACGGAGATGGACCGGTTTACGCGAGCGATTATCTGTTTCTTCTGATGTCGCCAGTATCAATACACTTGGTTCCATTGGCTTAATCGAGAGTTCGGCATGATTACACCATCAATGTGACCAACTCTATTCCATTACGGCATGATTGAACAATAAGCGGTCCACTGAACTGGACGAGTTCTACTCTGAAAAACATGCACGATAGTTGCAATCGACAAGTAGCAAGTGTATTATCGATCTTGGATATACGATACTTTGTAACCAAAGGTACACCCTCGATCCTGATCCATCAAGAATACGATCAGCATGGTGACTCTTGTATCGATTCACAGCCCGCCAGCAAGTTCATCCGAAGCTTTTGAGTCCAGCTGTGCTAACAAATCCAGCAAGTTGTCGAATTGAGATCGCGCAACTCTCTCAATCGTGTCGTTTTCGGCGTTGTCAACCAGGTGAAGGAGTATGGTCCCAACACGACGAATTCGCTCGACCTAGACAGAATGAGCGTTCATTTAGTTTAGTTTACGTGTCATGCAATGATTATTGACACTCACCGCGGGCTCTCCCTGGACTTGGAAGCAGTAAAACGGCACTATGTGTAATTCATGTAGGAAATCTCTTACAATCTCAATCTTCCGGGTAGCACAAGAGATAGATTGACGGTTGAGCCCGACAAGAGCATGGAAATCATTATCGATACACTCTTGTAGGATAACGAGCCTTATGCAATGAAACACGGTCATTATATTACTTCTCTGCGTCCAGAAGCACTTGTTCTGGTAAGAAGTGACCTGCTCGTCGTCCCAATCGGAGCCATGGTCAGGATTTCTGAGCCATGCTGGCAACTCGTCCGCAAGACTTGTGAGTACCAAATACAACTCGCTCAAACGAGAAATCTCTTGTTGCACGTCTAAGGGTTGTATCAGGCCGGCCAGTTGGCGACTCGAGAGAGATCTTACATCGTCGAGCAGATTGGCAGCAGCAGCCCAGATGCGTCGTTTCAGATGGAACCCAACAAGAAGACGCGATTCGAGGCTGTTTTCGTTTACCTTCCTACTAGGGTCCAGTAGGAAATTGTCATCGTGGCCATTTTCAAGTAAAGTAAATTCACGCTTAAAGAACTGCTCGTTGAGGATCGGAGGACGTGATTGCAAAACAGCCGAGGTTTTGTCCGCTAGATACAAGAGCCAGAAGCTCGCACGGAGCGAAGGCACCTCAAGCTTGGGATGCTCCTGCACGGACATCTCGTTGTAGAGCCTCATTCGCTGCGCTAGATACGCCGCCTCTGCGTGATAATGGTACGACGTGCCGACCTTGCCGGTGCTGTTCTGCATAGCAGCAGAATGCCACATACGGATAACAAGAGATGTCGAGTCTGGATGCTCGAGGTCATGTTCCTCATATCTCCTGAGCATGGCTCTCGACGCTGATAAAAACGATGCCGCCAAGAGAACTCGCTGAGAAGGGGGACGATCGGGCAAGACGGACATGACAGAGGCGCAGAGTGCTGTGGCTAGGGTAAACTTTCGAAAGTATGATACTTGCTGATGGAAATCCGAGGCTGAGGAGATGAAGCTTGCAAATGGCGGAACGTTCTCTGCCGTGATGAGGAGAGCGGCAGCACGGAGCGTGGGCTCATGAACTACCGGGGTGTTTGGAAACTGATACTGGACGAAAAAGTCAACACATTTGCGGACCGCGTCGGCGATGGGCTCTGGGCTCAACAGGGCGCCAGCTGTGGCCTGAAGAGTTGAGTGAACATGTGCAGGGTCGGGGTAGAAGTCGAGTCCGTGGCTGGAGTCACGACGAGCGGATTCGGCGCCTGGAGGGGGTAGCGATTGAGGGGACACCGAGCTCTGGAACGTGTAGTCCGTGGTGCCATCCAAGGTATGGTCATCTTGCCCAGAATCAATAGGAATACTTCGCACACTCTGACGGCGCCGTGTTGAGGGATGGCTGTAAGTGCAGTCAAGGTGCGAGATTCGACAGTTAGAGCAGGGCTCAACCCCGTCACACCTGACTTTTCGTCTCTTGCAGGCATTGCAGGCATGTGCAGGTGGCATTGCGTCTCCGTGGAATGCGCGAGTGAGCGTGAGAGTGAGAGCAGTAAGTCAGTCAAGGGCTATTCCGCGGAGCTCGGTCTGTCTTATGGGGATCAAATGTGGGGTTGGGAGCATAAGGGCCTAATTTAGTTAGAGAGCCCTATACGCGTATACGGCATGCATCTCGTTCCGGAGTGTGCGTGCTGTTCCGCCCAGGTCCCTTGTAACATGACACTGCTCATTAACGTGGCAAATCCCAGCGTGTTCACCTGGCCAACTCATCTCTTGTCGGCTTCTCTCCTAACCCAGAATGTCAGCCACTTTTGACAGAACATGGATGTGGCATCCATCATTCTCTGAAGACATACCCGATACAGCTGGACTATTCGTCCACTTTAGGAGGCAGTTCTCGATCGAATCTGACAGACTACCCGAGTCTCTCAAGATCCATATCACTGCCGACACCAAGTACAAGCTCTATGTGAATCACCAACTCGTCGCTTTCGGCCCCGTCAAAGGCGACCATAACTTATGGTTTTATGATGAGCTTGACATTGGACCATATCTCAAGGAAGGAGATAACTATATCGGCGTCCACATTCTGCGCTTTTTTTACTCGACACAATATGCCCCAGCCTTTGCTCGCCTGCCCACCGGGGGATTGAGAATCACCATTCCAGACACGATCGCACCTTGGCCAGAGCTACTCTCCAGTAGCGATTCATGGGAGACTGCAATCGACCCTAACAGTCGCCTCCGAGTTGACGAGTCTGAGGACGTCTTTCTTCACATCTACGAAAGCCACCAAGTACAAGACTCTGGTCGTCCGCTTGATTGGCTGCCAGCTCAGGTCCTCAAGTTCAAGAATTCAACTGGCAACTCGACCCCCTGGCACCTCTCGCCTCGTCTCATACCGCCGTATCGCATCACGGCAGGCACTGGCTTCACAGGAATACATAACTTGAAAAGCAATGTGCCAATGGAGACATGGGGTGCATTCTTACTTGAACATGAGCATGGCACACCTCTGCAGCGTAGACTGCATCTTGAGCCAGGATCACGTCATGAGTTGGAGCTCGAGGTCGCCCATCACACAACGGCTTTCATCCGTGCCTGTTTCTCAAGGCCTTCCGAGAGAGGTGGTTATATCAAGATCACGTATAGCGAGAGCTATGAAGATGAGCCGGACTACTATACAGGCGCGAGAAGGAAAGAGCATCGCAGCGATCGAACGAAACAACTCTTTGGTCCACATGATATATATAATTTCCGGGGAGAAGATGGATTCAATCGCCTAGAATATTATGATGAGACGAAATATGAGACCTTTGCCCCGTTTCACTTCCGAACCTTTCGCTTCATCAAGGTCGAGATTCTTGCTGGAAGCTCGGGCTTGGATTTTCGGGGGCTTGATTTCCAGATGGCCCATTACCCTCTAGACGTTAGAGCGGTACTTTCGGCTACAAGAGGTCCAAACCATAGCAGCTCTGCCGCTGCTGTGGACGATTTGTGGAATACTAGCGTACGCACTTTGGTCAATTGCATGCATGACTGCTACGAGGACTGTCCTTTCTATGAACAGATGCAGTATGCCATGGATACTAGAAGCTCTGCACTCTTCACTTATTGTATATCCGGGGATGACGCGTTGGCACGACAAGCTATTATCCAGCTGCATAATTCTTTCCAGCCGAGACTCGGATTAACAGCAAGCAGAGCGCCTACTCATAGACAGCAATTCATCCCTCACTTCTCACTATATTGGATCCAAATGTTGTGTGATCACCATGACTACTATGGCGATGGAGAGTTCTTATCACAGTTCATGCCTGTCGCCGATGCCATTTTGACATATTTTGAATCTCGCCTCGATTCTGAGTTACACCTCGTTAAGCTCGAATTCGGACCAGATGCCGGTATATGGCATTTCATAGACTGGACAAAGGAGTGGAAGCCATACGGATATCCAGCTGTCTTTGAGCGTACTGGCATCTCTACCTACACAAATGCGATCTACGCCTACACTTTGAACGCCGTATCCAAGCTCATCAGTGCTCTTGGAAGGCCCGCCCTTGGAGACGAATACAGGGACCGTGCCAAACGTGTTGCTTCATCTCTTCGGGCGCACTGTTTTGACGGCGAGTTCTTTACTGACAGCCTGGTGTCTGCTTACGCCGAGGGTGAAATGCCAAAATACAGCCAGCATAGCCAAATCTGGACTGTGCTGAGCGGAGCTATCAGCGGCCGGGAGGCACAGACACTGTTGCGGAAAAGCATAGAGCGAACAGTCGCTGGACAATTCATTCAGGAATCAATCGCCATGTCCTTCTATACGCTTCGAGCCTTTTCTCTCGCAGGAGGTAACGTCTATGATGACCATTTCCACCAGTTTTGGAAACCGTGGTATGATCAGCTGGAACTACATGTTACCACCTGGGTCGAGGATGCTGTCGCCCAGCGCTCTGACTGCCACGCTTGGGGGAGTGTTCCCCTCTATGAGTTCATGGCGGAAGTTGCTGGAGTGAGGCCAGATCGCCCTGGCTGGAAAGCTATCAAGTTCCAACCAAGGTTGAAACTCTACTCTAGCCTAAGTGCCACTGTGCCTGTTGGCACAGTCGGCGGTGAGACATTGGGAGCCGTACATGTTTCATGGACTGGATCTGATGCTGGCGTGAAAATAATCGTTAGAGGGGAGAGGCTAGTATCTCGACCGGTCCCTTTGCATGTAGTCCTGCCGAACCAAGACCTACGTCTAGATTGGACAGGACACCAATTGGAGTTTACGATAAGTGCCTAGATGTCGCAGATGACTTGGTATAGATGCATAGAAATACATTTTAGTTACGAGCTCAAAGATGTCGAGGTTTTGATGTCATTTCGCTGGAGATTGATGAGCTTGACTATACTATACGTTCTAACCACTAACGCCCAAAGCCCATCACCATAACTAGTCGCTGCAGCATCAGTGAGCTTGCCATGTATAAGCGGGGACAATCAAGCCATTCGATTTATCTCCAAAGAACTGTTGATGTGACCAAAACCGCGAGCATTGCTCTCTCCATAACGCATCAGTACGCTTGGCTCGGCTTCATAGAGACATAGGTGGCGGAAGCCGGGTTTCGTTCCGCAGGTTGAATTATTAACGCATTCTCGGTCTTGTCACTCTTTTGGTGAACCAGACCGAATTTTGTACTTTGAATGGGCCCCAGCTACCCCTAAGGTGTGGTGCGTTGTGCATAAAACCTGTGCTGAGTGGACTAAGAACGTTCCACGGAGCCGGGCCCCGGGGTATGGAATGACAAAGCATTCCGCGGAGTGCAAGGATCCCCGCAGCCGTGGCATCAGCCCATGAGCTGTAGTGATGCGGGGCCTGGGCTGAACTATCGTGTCTGGGGCCCCGGATCGGCAGGTAACCCCAGGCTTCCCCAGCCTCGGGTCAGAGCTTACCGAGTTCAAGGATCTCCCCGTCCCTGGGACCAGCAAATTGTGATTCTGAGCTGTATGTCTAGACTTCAAATGGGAAAAGAATATATTTAGTCAATCACCACCTCTCAATCAGTTTTACCAACGCTCCTTCTATCATCTCTAATCCAAAACCAACAAATTACCGTGCTGCAACCAACGACACAATGGCCCATTCCCAGAAGCCCCAGTCAGACAGGCCTGACCTGGCGCACGTCGAGTCTATCCCGGACGATAACAAGATAACCCCCACTGCCGAATACCATCCCGACGAACTCGTCAAGTCCAAGTTCGATAACCTGTCCATCCCGCGCACCGTCTGGGTCTTTAGGCGGGTCGCTCTAGTTGCACTCGCCGTTTATACCGGCTATGTCTGCGAAGGCTTTGAGGTGAGTGATTGGCATGGGGTTGCTGAACTGAGGCTCACACGTATTTTGTCACCCAGCTCAAAATCGGTAACAACATCATCGCGAATGCCGGCTTCATCAAACAGTTCGGACGTAAAGGCGGTTCCGGTGTACAGGCACTTGATCCTACCTGGGGTAAGTTGACATGTACGACCATAACGATGAGGTCTCTGATGCTGAACATCGTGAATAGTATCTACATGGACTTCCCTCCTCGTTGGTCCACCTTCTCCTATTCTGAAACCGAAGCCGTGACTAACCAGATCAGAACGTCGGTCAAATTGTTACCTTCCTCTATATCCATTGGTAAGCCGTGCTGTCTGCGCTGTGCGCTTCTGCCATCATGTCCAACTGCTAACCCTTGCAGGTTCTCTGATAGATTCGGCCGTAAGGCGTGCCTCTATCTCGCTTGGCTCTGGCTGGCAGTCGTAAGTAGTATACAGGCAGGGTAGGCTGCTTGATCAGCAGGCCGCAGGACTGACTTCTCTAGGGTTGCACTGTTCTCAATGTGGCAAAGACCCCTTCTGTATGGGTGAGTCCTAGCTGCTAACTACCTCTTGTACGAGGCATTGTGTGAATGCTGAAACTCATGTCACAGGCCATTGGAAAGCTTTGCAATGGTGCAGGTGTTGGTATTCTTCAGTAAGACCTACCTACATTACCTTCCTTGTTATTCAGTTGTTAACACTCCCCAGGGTCACTTGTCAGGTCTACGTCATGGAAATATGCCCAAACAATATTCGCGGTGGTATGCTCACCTTTCAAGCTGTCTGGTACGTTTCGTCTTGGTCTAAATCACCACATGTTTGCATAAATTGACACTCCGTATAGGAGTAATATCGGCAACATCGCCTGCAATGTCATGATGCAGAGATTGAACAAGAACCACCCTGATGATTACACATTGCCATTGAGAATCCTCATCGCTCCTGTTGTAATGATGCTTCTGTTTTGGGCTTTCGTTCCTGAATCACCTTGGTATTACGCACGCCATGGGCAGAAGGAGAAAGCCATGAAGTCATTAACGCTCCTGTATGGTAACGTTGAAGGCTATGACTTTGAACAGGAATACAGTATCATCGAGAAGACGATTTCGCATGAGAGGGAACTCTTGGACGAAGCACCCAAGCTTACACACGTTTTCAAGGGCCTGAATTTGGTATGGTGACTTTTTATTTGTTTCCCTGCTCGTTGAATCAAGCGCTCATCACTGACTCCTCAACAGAGACGAACCCTTACTGTCTTGCTGCTTGCTGTCAGCGGGCCGTTTGGCGGTCTGTCTATCATTCTGAGTTACTCAACCTGTAAGTTCGTTGTCATTATCGTTTTAAGCATCATCCTAACCGTGCAGATTTCTTTGCGATTGCCGGCCTCTCTGATCCATTCCTTGCAACTCTCATCCTTTCGTAAGTCGTACCTTGTGCATAATACATCTTATATCCTTGTCAAGCACTAACCCTAATCTTCCCGCTACTAGTTGCTGCAACCTCCTTGCGGTCAGTTTGTGGACTGTGACGACCGACAGATTTGGTCGACGAACGTTCATCACCATCTCCCAGACTTCCATCTGTGCTTTCCTCTTTATCGCTGGATCTCTGTGGTGGGCTGGAGCTACTACTGGTAATGTGGCCACTGGCACTGCTCTTGTACGTCATAGTCACTCCCCTGTTCTGTTCTTTGCCTGCTCTTCCCTTGACCAAAGGGTAATACTAACACGCCTCAGCTATTTATTTGCTGCCTTTGGTCGTTCATGTTCCAGATTGTCAACCTGTCTTATTTTGTCATGTCGGCTGAGATCCCGTCGGCTCTCCTTCGAGGTAAGTTACCGTGTGCTTCTTTTTCTAATCATGATTGCACTCACTGACAATGATGTAACAGCTAAGACTGCTTCTGTTACATTCTTTGCTCAGTCTATTCTGGGAATCGCTTTTAGGTAAGTGGATAACGCTACATTTAGTCAAGTTTTCTTTCTAATTCTCATAGCTATGCTGTCCCACGTTTATTACTTAAACTCAATATTAAGGCATGTTTTGTATTTGGCGCCTTTTCCGTGCCAGTCTGCGTTCTTATGTGGCTTTATGTCCCAGAGACCAAGGGGTAAGCAAATTTCTGTCTTTTGGCATCTCCACAATTAGAGCAAGACAACACAGGGGATAAAGCTTTTTACCTAATTATGGAGCAAATTAGCTGACTTTTGGTTGTATAGTCGATCCGCCGCTGAGATTGATGAGCTGTATGAGTCCAAGGTTCCAGCTTGGAGATGGTCTAAGACTATCACGTCAGCTGAGAGGCAGATGCATACAGTTCTGCTAACTAAGGATAATGATAAGGAGGAGATATAAGCACATTACTACTTCTATATTTTTGAAATGAATTGCGCTTTGACTATGATCTTATTATTTATATTTACTGTTTTCTATTCATAACATCCTATGCAAATCACATAATAAGCAGCCCTAAGTAATTAAACTGATTTTATACTAACAGCGTCATTGCTGACCTTCCAGACAAAAACGTGTATTAAGTGGCATCTGACAAGGCGAGGCCAGGTTGCGAAAGCATGCTCCGCGTCATCTAAACAACAATAAGAGTCGGCAATAGGTTGTTGTGACACTGCTAAGTAGCCAAAGCCCTAAGAAAATGTTTTGTGCAAGGTCAAGATGTCTTCCATATCTTGTCTAGTGCCACTAACTACGACCTTGCGGAGTAAGCATCCCAAGCTTGAGCTAGATCATCGCGACCTATCCTTGACCATAGAGCTTGGACTTCATAAGACGGGCCCACCTCATAAGGTGTGCCCACCGTGGCTCTGTGAAGTTCCCCATTTCCATTTGCCCCATACACTCTCGTCTTCTTCGAAGCATGGAACTCGGCCCAAGGAGCCTCCCCATGGGTGAAACTAATGACATCTCGAGCAAATGCCGTTGCTGTCTTCTTCTGGGAGTCATTCATAAAGCCATCGTAGTTCAAGAAAAGATAAGCTATGTCAAGGCAATGAGCTGAACGACCTTTATGCGGCCCTTCCCATGGGTTAGACTCATTAAAGTAATAGAGCCATGCCTGAGCCGGCCAAAAGGTAGCATATTGTTCTGACGTGGCGAAATACTTAATATCTGTTCCCAACTGGAGAATCTTGACGCGTGTTCCATCATCACTGTCATCTTTTGAAATTCCATACTGACTGATAAAGCTCTCCAGCCTGACGTGGTACTCCTCAGGAATAGACTTCATCAAAGATCTGGTGAAGCCTTCAGCCAAAGATCCCTTTTCTCTGTCTGCGAAGAGGCCCAGAACTTCGAAGACAACGGCATCAAAGTCAGTAGAACCAATCATTAGAGGAGGTCTATGCTTGGGTGAAGCTAAATGAGTCTTGAGTGATCCGAATGAAAGCATTTGGTCTGTCTCTACCACGGGCCGCAGAGGAATCGAAAGCGGAACCTTGGATAGAATGTCCTCTGGTGATATGGCAATCAGCGCTTCTAACTGATCCTCGCTCGATAGTGCTGAGTCTATTGCCAGACATTGGAGTACCGCTTTATACGCATCTTGGGTTACTTGTTTGGTAGATGAAGGAACAGCTAGGTTGTTTCCGCTTAAACAAATGGCTCGATCGAAAAGGGTTTCTCCAGGTAGGTCCAAGTCAAGGAGGTGCATGATGGAGCCTTGTATAAATGATCAGCTGACTTGTCTACAACAACCGAGCTGTCATGAATACTTACTGCCTCCTGCGCTCTGGCCAATGGCAGTGATACGAGTTGGATCGCCAGCAAACCCGCCAATATGGCAACGAACCCATTGGAATGCTGTCTTTTGATCGAGAATGCCTCTGTTTGGTGGGATACCCGTAGCTCTCATCTCGTCACTGTCCAGAAACCCTGTGACTCCAAGTCGGTAACTGTTTGCCATCAGCAACAGAGACCTCCAACAAGAACAAGCGTAGGGTTGATCTGAAGAAGGGGTCCTACTTGATTGACACACCAATGATAGGTTTTCCGATAGACTGGGAATATGCAACGATGGCAGCCATGTCATAATGTGGCGCCCCGCTGTCACCTATGATGAATGCTCCTCCATGGATGAAAACAAGGACGGGGAACTTTGCATTGTTGTCGTTGACGGTTAATTCGGGAGCGGTGATGTCGAGAGTCAGGCCGTTTAGGTCAGACATAGGACGGTCATGTGGCTTGTCGAGAGCTTTTTGGATGAGGCCAAACTCAATATCGCATGCCAGGGGGGGTCTAACAACAGTTGGGCTGTGAGGAGGATGGACAATTAGCTCAAATCATGCTCGCAGATCTGGGGAAGAGCCTGGTGAACGCAACAACTTACCCGCGATTTGTCGCATCAATTGTTCCCCCATAATTGGCTTTCAGTTCTGGAGCAGCAAAGCGATGAGCTAGAGTGGCATACTGAATGCCCAGATATTGTACGACTCCTTGACCATCTAGCTTGAAGCCTTGGATATCACCCAATTGGGTATGGTTAAGCGTAAACGCCATGATTGGGGCAAAAAAAGAGGGGAACGTGATATTATCAAATGTTTACAAATGGCGGAGTAAAGAGGAGAACACTGCAATTGTAGCCGAAGCGAGGACTTTAAAACGTCAACGACTTTCATGCAATGCAGAGTAATGAGTTCTGCCTTGCCATCACTGGCCGAACTTTTCCTTGTTACCCCGGATTTCTCCCCTCCTAGGTGGCTATCCGACGGACCGAGCTGGGGATAAGAGTGCACTTGCCGCCAGATGATACCTCAAATATCGCGTGGATGAATATCATTACCCGGTCCAGTAACTTGTCATGCATCTGTAAGCGAGAGACGAGGAGCTATTCGTTTATACCCCGCTAACCCTGGGTTATGATGTAGTCTACCCCCTAGCTTCCCCGCACAATGTGCAGATATTGATATCACTAACTCGCAAGCGTTAGAGTCTCGGCTCTGGGGGCGGCAGATGATTGTAGACAATGCTAGGCCAGACATCTCCATCTTGGCATAGCTGATTGATCCTGAATCCAATCCCCACTAAACAGCTTTGATGAATTGACAAGCGGCAAGTGTATCATTACAACCAAGATTCTCATCATGCCTCGTCCTAAAGTTCGCACGGAAGATCGTAGACGCGCTGTCATAGCCTGCGTACCTTGCCAAAACAGCAAGAAGAGATGTGACTCGCAAACTCCATGCGCCAATTGCCGCCGGCGGGACTACGTCCCCTATTGCATCTACGATCCCGAGGCAGCTCGGCCGCGTCGCATGAGCAGCAAAGCACAACGTCGAGCGATGAGCCGGAGCAGTGACATCATTTCCAGCGGCAACGATGAATGCTCCAGTCTCGATTACATTGTTTGCTCTGAGGTAGCAATGTCCGCCAACGAAAGCGATACACACGAGCAAGTGCAGGCACCTCAGACGCCAGAGTCTACAGCCGGACAACAGTCGAATGAGACTCCCGACACAACGTTCTCATCTTGCATGTCAAATGTTGGCAGTCAGGATAAGAGTTCAGAGGGCGAAAACCGTGAGTACAAGTCAATGAATCGCCAATCAACTCTTCAAAGCTTACTGTCTTTGTAGTATCAATGGGCGATTCCGCATCACTCTCTTTCCTCGACTTCCTACGTCACACGTTCCTCTGTTATATGGGGCCATCCCCGTTCACCGACAAAGAACGGGCCAAGGCTATGCTGGAGTCATCGTATCCTCAAGCCTCGCACGACATCGCCGAGGACAGCCCGGACAGCCAGCTAACCTTGGAAGAGAAGCGAGACTACATCCAGAGATTCTTAGTCGCAGTATGGTTGGCGGTTCACTCTGGCAGGCAAGGAGCTAACAGAGTACCTTAGACGACCGGGATTATATATATTTACTCTCCTAAACAACTGTTAGAGTTGCTCGAAGAGACTGAAGAAGGCAGGGGCCGCTCCGGCGCCTCTGGTCTATCCCAATCTTGCCAAAAAGGCGCCATCATCGACTTGGCTATTGCCGTCGGCGGGCAGGGCTGTAGAACGAGCCCCAAGACTCTTTATCATGCGCAGAAGCATTTTGATCATGGTCAAAAGGTAGCCTTTGAGGGTATGCTACTAGACCCTACAGGTGATCTAGTAGCTATCTTTCTGCTGATGAGTATCTACATGGTGAATGCGTGCAAGAGAGACGGGGCTTTTATATATCTGGGTGTTGCGACTCGAGTGGCACATGCGATTGGTTTGCATTTACCCGAGTCTTATCGCAATCTGACCCCAGAAACGCATAGATTCAGGTAGGCGACCTTATTGATTTCACCCCAATTCCTTGACGAGAGCAATAATGGTGAGAAGCTGACACACGTGTACCAACAGGCTTCAGGTATGGAAAAGCCTGCGCATCTTAGATATTGCATTCGGAGCTGTCCTCGCCCAGACCCCAGCCTCATCCCCAAGACGTGGAATAAGTAACCCATCATTCTCAGTACCAGATGGCCCAGAACCGTGCACGCCGGAGTTCACATCCATGTCAGCATGCTACGGAGTCTGCACTATACTCGAACAGATCACGTATCACCTCAACAACAAACAAGACACGAATCTGACGTCGATAAAAGAACTTTTGAGACAGCTTCGAGACTGGAGCTCGGCATTACCGTCGAGCATGACAAATTGCACAGTCAGCTCGCCAATGTCTCCGGAGCAGTGGTGGCAGACGTTGGGCAACTTTGCTGTCTCAGCCTTTTACTATTACACTGTTATGTTGGCCACTAGACCGATTCTAATATCCTATATGCTCGTGAAGCTGAAACGCCTAGATCGGTCAGATAGTACATTTGGTACATATGGAACAAGCGATCGAGAGACAAAGGAGTTGGCTCAGGTCTGCATTGATGCGGCTGTTTTGCTGGTGGAGACAACGCGAAGAACACAATCTGCTGGCCTGCTCATACAGAACATGACGTTACTCAAGTAAGAACTCTCACTTCCCCTCGATCGAAACATATTCTAAGTGTAGGTCAAGAGCTTGGATTTTCAGTGCCTGTCTCATCATGGCCTTTTCCCTCTTCGTTGAGGCTACGCTATCAGAAAGATCAGCAACGTTCGAGACCGAGGCAGCTCTACATAGCGGAATTGGTATTATTCGGGATCTGGATCGTACAAGTCCTCAAGCCCACCGCTATCTAGATGTCTTAACGGAGCTTCGCAACGCACTACAGAGCTACCGCGAGCGTCTTATTCCACCTCGGAGAAAGAGCAGTGGACAATTTCTCAGCCAGATCTTTACACTAGACCATGAGAAAAGTATTCCAGCAGATTCAGACACTGAAATTTCAGCATTCGCTACCTCTGCTACGCTCAATGACGCAGGCGATGAACCATCTGGAGGATTGTTGATGCTGCAACAGGTGACGGAAGCGACGCAGACCATGGGTAGTATGTGGCGACTACCAGATGAAGGCCAGGCATTTGTTGATGAATGTCTGCCCATGGCACTAGGAGGACCTGATATTCACTGGGACGGGATATCAGTCCAGGGAACAGATAACTTTCTGTTCGATACGGAGCCATTTACGGAGATGTTGAGCCATTTCTGAGCGTTGTAGTTATTCTTTTATTTAATTCAACTTATATATACAAAACACCCAATTCTATTCAAGGCACTTAGTTATCCCCAACCAATGTCTTGAGAATTTCAGCAGGTGTATTCTTGGGCGCAGCAATCTGGAGGACCTCCTTGCTTGTCGTGGCAACTCCGCATTTCCCCTCCCATGCAGTTTCCGGAGCATGCTTAATTGACAGGATGACATTCTTGGATTGCTGTGTATGGGCTGCGAACTGTTCAATCATCGACATGTCCTTGAAGACGACATCCTCAACCTTGGTACCGATATACTTCTCAACAAGACCGACAATTTGACGTCCAGTGATATCCTCGGGCCCATTCATGACGTATTTAGCCTTGCTGTGCGGAGTAACATCCTCCGAAGCCAAAAGGTGGGCTGCAAAGACTCCTACTTCATTGGAATCGATGATGCCAACAGGAGCATCCTCTGAAGCCATGAGCCTCAAGGTTTCTTGCTTCCCGGTCTCGCGGAACGTCTTGATCAAGCCGGCCGCCGGACCAAGCCAAAATTGCGTAAAGACATTAGGCTGCAATGAAGTCCATTTTAGTCTATCAAACTCGGGCGAGCTCAGCAAGGTCTCAATCGCCCAATGCGTCCTTGGATAATAGGCAGGGCAATCAGGACGGACGTTTGCAGCGGTTGTTGAGATCCGGACGACGTATTCAACGCCGGCGTGGAGAGCAGCGAGATGGAATGTAGACTCCTCGGCGAAGTGATTGGGTTCGTTGTGCGAGGCGATAAAAGCTCTGACGACGTGGCGTTCTCGAAGCCAGTCTGCGGTGATCTCGACCCAGTTCTGTTCAATGACCTCGACGTTGGGCAGGCGAGCGAGTTGCTGGGCAGCATCTCCGCTAGAAGAACGTGTGAGAGCAAGAATCTTGTAACCAGAAAAGGTCTTGTTGTCTTTGAGAAGTTCCGACAACGTCGTGACTACGCCTCGTCCGGTATTGCCGGTGGCGCCGGCGACAAGAAATGCAGGAGACATGTCAATAAGGGAAGTTTTAAAGAAGGTAGACACTTAGGTATGGCAAATCAAAAAGAAGTTTAAATTAGATAATAGAATTTTATACCTTTGCTATAACTGCAGGAGTTACGATTAGTTATCAGGCCGTTGTAAAGGTTCGGGCTGATTATTAAACAAACTCTATTATTAATATAGAGCTGCGGACTCCGCTGTTAATATGGAGCTGCGGACTTTGCTATGTTTTGTCAATTATGGAGATACCAACCCACAGAAGAACAAGACTGGCACTATGCTCATACTAAACCAGAATTCAAGCCACGGATGCTAATACAAATAACGTTATACTCATTGAAGGTGGCACATGTTTCAAATATCAGACCATTCATCACCCTAATGTCTGATGTTAGCAAACATCCTCTCAAAAGTACATCGTAGAAGGAAATCATAGTACTCACCGTCCCAAGTGCCTTTTGACCACGCCAGAAGTCTTCCGTAAGAGGCCCAAACCACTCAGACATTGTCCTATCAATGCCTTCCTCGGTGTCATACCCTTTGCCACCAGCCACTAGAACGGACTTCCCGTTTAAACTCTTATCCGCCGCCAGCTGAACGATGAACTGCGCAACATCATTGGGTGCATTCAGCGGGAGACGGTGCTTGTCCCAGATGGAACGCACATTGTCGATCATCTGTGTGTCCGTCGCCCAGGGGCATACGACATTGATACGAATGTTGAGCTTGGCTGCAGCTAATGCTCGTAATGACCTCATCAGTCCTATTATGCCATGCTTTGCAGCGCTGTAGGCGAAGAGACCAGCTGCCTCTGTTATTCCAGCGATAGACGACACCAAGACAATAGACTTAGAGAAGTCGCTTGAATTGGTCATATCTGCATTTCCCTTCATGAAAGCAAGAGCTAATCGACAAAAGAGAACAACGCTCGTCAGGTTGATGTCGATAGTATTCTTAAGCGGTTGAGGTTCCGTCATAACCGCCTCGAGGCTTAGTTGGTCCGGCCCAAACCAACCATTAGGCTCTATGATAGCAGCGCAAGAGATTGCCATATCGACACGACCTCTTTCTTCATAAGGCGTCTTGAAGAGCTGTAGCTGTTCGTTGTAGTTGCGGACGTCGAGCTTCTGGAAATGTACCGATCCACCACTGTGAGGCATGCTTGACTGGAGATGGCTAACCATTTGATGACCGTTTATATCATCCACGTCGCCGAAATAAACATGGGCGCCTCTCTCGTACAACAGTGAAATTGTTGCTGCTCCAATTCCTTGCGCACCACCTACGCGCACCATCATCAGTAAATAATGTAAAACAGGACTTGGTGAAACTTGGATATTGAAATGTTAAGCAGTACCTGTCATAACAACAACCTTTCCCTTCACATTATCTGCGATGTCTGACGAGAAGAATATTTCGGCCATGGTTGGTTTTGGTAAAATTGGGCAGATAGAGAGAATAGTGAATGAAGGAGACGGCAGCGACAGGCGCCCTCGGAGAAGGAGATGCTTTTTGAAAGGTCTTAGATGTTAGACTAGTGGTCTCTGTGGTTGTGCTGTAGCGTGTAGGTGCTGTTGCCGACAGTGGGGGAGCACCGGGTACTCGGCATTCCCGCGCGGCATCGACACCTATTTACCGTCCCGCGTTTACATCTTTGCATTGCGCTCTGGAATCTCTGCTATATCTGCGGTGAGAGTATAATCAGTTGTGGTTCATTGCATCTTAGCATCACTGAATCAGTCACTTTCTTCTGATTCTCGTCTTGACTTTCAAAATGTCGCCCTCTTTTGACTCAACCACTGTCACCTCATCTCAGACTCAACGTTTGTCAGTCGTTGTGACCGGCGGCGCAAGTGGCATTGGTTTGGCTATAACCCGTCACTTCGCTTCCCAGGGTCACATGGTGGCCGTGCTCGACGTAAGCTCAAAGACAGGCCCTGATGTTGTTGCGGAAGTGTCAAAGCAGTACCCCCAAGCGAAGCTGAGTTTCAAATGGTGCGATGTATCATCTTGGGAAGGGCAGTACGCAGTCTTCGAACAAGTGTATCGTGAGCACGAGACTCGAATCGACATTGTCATTGCCAATGCGGGAATTTCTGATCCTATAGTCGGAGCCCTCGATTGCACTCCGACAGAGTTTCCCCGGAAGCCGAACCTGAGGATGCAAGATATCAATCTGAATGGAGTAATTTACAGTCAGTTATACCTTTCCACTAATCCTTTTTACTCTGTAGACTGACGGACAATGATGACCGTAGGTGTTGGGCTTGCCGTGCATTATATGCTCAAGAACAAGGTTGGAAGTCGTCTCCCAAATTCGAGAGGCTCCATCGTTTGCACATCATCATCCGCAGCCATCTATCCGTTCCCAGTTTCACCACTCTATTCCGCATCCAAGGCCGGCATTATAGGATTGGTTCGTTCGATGGCTGTCAGGCTTGAAGAACGAAAGATCCAAATTAACGCTCTTGCACCTGGAGTATTGGGTCAGTTTACGGTGCCCAAGTACCTGAGTATTGCTATTCGCCTGCTGACAGACAATACAGAAACAAATATCACTCCGGATAAGGAACTCTTTAAGGCAATGATAATCACACCAATCTCAACCTTGACAAGAGCTGTTTCGCAATTTGTGACAGACCCTTCCAGGACTGGTCAGGTGGCTGAACTGAACGAGGAAACCATTACACTGAGACCCCATGCGGATTATGCTGATGCTGGGGCGGAGCATAATAACAAGATGTTTTACAAATTAGGTCATGCTTGAGATACTGTAATGTGGGCTGGATATTTAATTGCATTTACAACATCATTTCTTCCAAAGCCGCGCCTTCTCAGTTTTCTCTTGCTTGATTGAAGTGCTTTGCTACCAATACGACTAAATTGTGCTGAAATACATGGCCTTCGTGTACCAACAACCCCATGTGCTAGTGATATTAGTCCCTTCAGTTAAATGCCCGCTGCCGAATATTGAGACAGCCAAGCAAGCGGCAAAGGGACCGACCCATGATGTCCATCCCGCCCCCGCACTACCCCACGATCTGCATCTCAACACATGGCCAGAGACTAACGATGCAAGCTTAATGGAGCAACAAATGCGTTACTACTGGCTAGCTCCGTGGCTGTAGCTCCAGCTTCCTTGTCATGTCTTGGCAAGATGTTGGGCCTGTAACCCTAATGACGATTAAGTGTCGGCAGATGGCCCTTGACAACTGTCGGCTGGAGGGATCAACTATACAATTGGTCTACCACGAAGCGAAAAATGGCTTTGTCAATCCAGTCCGTGCTCCTTTAACCCATGAATCCTGTTCACTCATCATTAACACATCCCTAAGTAATATCGGCCATATGGCCCCGAAGCGACGTATAAGTTACCCAGATCCTCAAATCCCTCCTTAATTTCCTGGTCATACCTCTCTATCTTCTCTATCCCCAGCTCAACCACTATCTCCTTCCATTGCATACAAGATCCGACCTGGCTATCTAACATGGGTCTGGGTGTTCTTGCTGATCATCTCCTCTCCAATGTCCCTGGAACATCATTCCTTAATGAGAAGGGTGTCTCTTCAAACCTAGAAGACTCTACCGATAAGAACCATGCCAGCCTCAAGCACGATCCGACTGGCAAGATTGTCCTTGTTCCTCAACCTTCTGACGACCCCAACGACCCTCTCAACTGGCCAAGATGGAAGAAAGAGATGTTCACTGTCTCTATCATCATTGGCTGCGGATGCGTCGGTGCGATAGGACCTCTTCTTGGTCCGGCATTGGTACCTCTTGCCCAAGAATTCGATGTGCCTCTTCAGACATTCACTCTAGGCTTCACTGGGGCCCTTCTAATTGCTTTGGCGTTTGGTAACCTTTTCTGTAACTCGTTGGCAATGATGATCGGCAAGCGGCCAGTTTATCTTATCACTGCACTGGGCCTACTGTGCTCAACGATGTGGACCGCAGTGGCCAAAGACTTTGTCTCGCTCGCCGTTTCCCGTGCTATTCAGGGTTTTTGCATGTCCCCAATGGAAGCCCTGGTTCCTGCATCAATATCTGACATCTGGTTCGTTCATCAGAGGGGATTCCGGAACGCGGTTTTTAATCTGGGTGTCCTCGGTGGCATCAATCTTGCTTCACCTATTGGTTAGTCCTGGTCTCCAACCTTCATCTTGTCTAGTATTGATTTATTGATATCAGCCGGCGCTATCATCGACAAATACGGCTACAGAACCTGCCTCTGGGCCATGGCTGGTGCCTTTGGGGTTCAGCTTCTGCTTACCTTCTTCTTCATGCCCGAGACAGCTTACAAGCGCTCCGTTGAGTCAGGCATCCCAGTGAACTCTCACATGGAGGAACCTTCTGCTGCGGATGACAAGAAGGAGTGTGTATCTGAGGTTGAAAACAGAGCTTCACTTTGTGATAGTGCTCCCGTCCCAGAACAACACTCATTCCTTTATGAACTCTGGCCCTGGAGCGGTTATTACGATTCCTCTGGGTTCTGGTATAGCATCTTTGCACCTTTCAAAATGCTTGGTTCTCCAGTGGTTATTTGGGGATGTTTTCAGTTGACTATTTGCATGAGCTGGTTGGTCCTCCTTGCATCCACGTTTTCGCAAATCTTTACTGGGCCCCCATACAACTTCTCAGTTACCCAGGTGGGATTGACGAACCTGTCATCATTCGTCGGTACCTTCATCGCGACGGCGCTGGCTGGTCTGATGGTAGATGGGCTGGCTACGTTTTTGGCTAGGAGAAATGAAGGAATCTACGGCAAGCGATTCTCCACTACCCGGAAAGTTCACCAGGATACATGTGCTGACAGCTCTTTGCCGCAGAGCCTGAATTTCGTCTTCCAATCCTTGCTCTTCTGACTACACTTGGTGGCAGTGGCTTTTTCGGCTACGGCCAGAGCCTTGCAAACGCTGAGCCTTGGCCAATCCCTGTCATCGTCTGCTTGGGTATGATCAACCTCGGAGTCCAATTCGGCATCGTTGGAGTTGTATCCTATGTAGTCGACTCCCATCGTCGTGAGGCTGTTGAAGCGTACGCCATGATGAGTTTCACCAAAAACGTCTTCTCCTTCGGCATGAGCTTCTATATGAACGACTGGGTTGCGACCCAAGGTGTGAGGGATGCCTTCTTCGTAATTGGAGGCATAATCATTGCAATCAGCTTGGCAACAATCCCTATGTACATATACGGAAAGAGAGCACGAAGCTTTGCGTTTCGCCATGGGTTTCTTCTATGATACTATTCTAATCAATAAAATTATACTTTGTTCCTGATCAGGAAGTAATATCTTCATTAACATTCCCAAGTCGTGGCCAATGTGGCGTTAATGCATATCTGGGCATTCGCGAATCTGACTTGTCTGCCTTCACACCTACTTGAGCGCTATCAACGACAGAAAGGAAGATGTCGCAATTGCTCATCAGAGCCTGGCCCTATTCAAATTCCATGTCTTCGCTGTTCAATCGAGTGCAGCAAAGCTTGGCCATCGTCATTCTCCAGCCATCGATGGCTTAAAATTGAGTTTAATAAATTGTGAAATGCAGCTTAAATGTCTCGAAATTTTGCTCAACGAGTTGATGCCGACTGAAGATCAATCGCTGGCCAAGGAGATTTGGAGAAGGCAGAAATTGATTGCGCGATATCCCTTTGATCGCAAGAAGTTGGTGCAGTTGGAAGAATATCTTTCACGAATAAACGCTACTCTGAGCAGTTTTATACAAGCCCTCAACCTGTGAGTGATCCACAGCGATGGTTAAAAAACGCATTTGTGCTAAAGAACAACAGCGATATAAACATCCGGACGAGTGACGACTTGGAGGCTTTGAAATCATCTCTCGAAACACTTGATATCAATACCCAGACCACGCTGAGAACGATCACCACCAGACTCGACGTCATCGGTCCCAAAGCGGAATTTAGCCACCTTGAACTTCTTCCATCCAGAATAGAAGATCGAATTACTACCACCAGTACTAACAGTATCGTCTTGCACCAGGCCACCGTGGGTGTCGCAGAGACGAAGACTTCATTCAACGGAAGTGAGCGATCTTTCCAATACCTCACCAGCGCCCACTCCACGCCTCGTTATCTGCAGAATGCCGAGCTCGAACAAAGGCTTTGTAAGAAGCCAGCAGACATGCATTGTACCTGTGGGACTTCAATTGGCAAGACTAGCAATCGTCCTGCAAGTCGCATGTACCGATTTTGGGGAGGGCTGACCATCTCAAGACAAGGAGACGTACGAGCAAATCATCGCCCCGGGTGCATTTCCTTTCAGAAGACCAGGAAAAATATTTCAAGAACTTCACTGACGTACTTCGGGCTTTTATCCCTCTTTTCCCGGTCTTTCACAGTTTCCCTTTCGCAGGAATACTCCGCCGGACCATATAGCGTCTCTTTCGGACTGCAGCCCTGCAATATTGTCAAGAGCAGCCCGGCTTTCCAACTTTTCAACATGTATTCACAAGGCATCTATGAGAGCTTCAATCCTAGGATGGAATTTAGTAAAAAGGATAGGGCAAAAGGTAGAGGTCTATAAAATATTAATATTATTGTATTATATATATCTTCCCAGTACGTCTATATCTAGATAAGTTTGTATCCTGGGGTATAAAGTAATAAAATAGATACCAAGATTTGCCCAAGGTATATATATAGTGCTGCGCATAGTCTTCTATACTCATGCATCATGAATGAATCATAAATAAATAAATAGAAGAAGGAAATCTCTAGAGGTTTTCAACCCTAGGGCACAAATTTGACGGCCACCAGATAAAATCTCCAAGTCAAGGCAGTCTGATTTATACCCCAGGGTATAAAAACTTCAAGGTGCCAAATTGCAATCAAGGTGACCTACATCATCATCATCATCATGATATCATCGTGATTACTTAATCCCTCTTCTAACTTAACAAACTCTACAATTAGTTCGGTGGCCATTCATCAAACCTATTACATATTCTCTCTCAATACTGGTCCGATCACTGCGTCACAATGGCAGAGCCACTGGGTCTCGCCTCTGCGATTCTGGCGCTAGCCACTTTCGCGTTGAAAGCAAGCGTCACACTCTATGACGACGTCAAAAGTTTCCGCACCCATCCTCAGAAGGTCAGGGACCTTTTAGAAGAGCTAATTCGTTAGAGGAGGTGTTAGAAATGCTCATGAAAACGGTTGGAGCTGCAGTCGAAGCGGACTTTTCAGCGCTCAAGATCCCTCTGCAGCAATGCGGGGAAGCCTGCGAAGAATTTGGTATTGAGTTGGCAAAGTGCTCCACACGATCCAGTACAGACCGAACCAGTTTTCGTGACTGGACTAAGATGAAGTACATGGGGGAAGACATTGGCGGCTTTCGGCAGCAGCTAGCTGGTTACAAGTCTACGATTAATATAGCCCTTGCGGATACGACCCTGTAAGCTCTCGAGACCTAACAACTAGAGATCCGAACAGACTTCTGACAGATCGCACAGGCGTACACCATCTATCACGACCGAGAGACTGGAAAGTCACAAAGAACTGATCAAAAATACAACTGATGATTTGGAGACTCGTCTTCAAGAAATTGACGGAAAGCTCGAATCGTTACTCGCGCGCTTTGTACCAGCGTCTGATTCCGATTCTGACGAGCTACGGCGCATCCGAGATGAGCGACTGAGCACGGAAAACGGCCTTCAAATCTGCCACCGACTCTCGGATTTTATAAATGAGATACAACTAGGTCACACCGAAAGGAGTGGGGATCCGCGGGCAGCCGTCGAACCTATGCTTTCACCTGATAAAATTATCAATGAATCCTTACAAGCGTGTGCAGGAAGCCTCAAGTCTGCTGCTGCACAATTGGAGGAGTTAGAAGAGAGCCAGCGAAAGGAAATAGATCGGTTGATTTCCAGAGCAAAGTTAACCATGTCTGATCTGGACGCAGCAAACCTCGAGAGACTGAGAAATGAACGCAACACGACCAGTGAGCTGATAAGGATTTGCCGCACGGCAGATATCCGCTTACAGCAGAAAGCCAGCGTGATCGAGAACTACGCTACTGGAGATCAGACTGTCCAGTTTTTGGTTTCGACAAACGAAAGAACGATAAACGGGAAGAACAGTGGATTTGGGTGGGCTCAGAGGCAAATCGGCGGCCATATGAATGATGAGACAGTGCAGCAGCTTTCTCGGGATGCTTTCAAGTCAGTCATCCGACATAACAGGAAGAATGAGGAGGTTGATAGCCAAAATCAGCCTCTCTCACATCTAGAACCTTCCAATGACGATGGAAACACGTCAAAGTTTAGTGATCAATATTCAGCGGCGCTTATAAGACACCGACTACTGTTTGACCACTAGACGTGCGATCTCTTCATGGATTAGCTTACGCATGGACTGTTGATATAGTTGGTGATAACTCCATGATCGGGAATGGTTTTCTCCTAACCCTATGCTTCACGTGCTTTCATGTCTCCCCTCGGGTTAGGACATTAAATTGAAATCAGCGTACGCGTTTATTCCTCATCGTATTGGCTCTAAAAGACTAACAAGGGCAGCGTACGCGTTTAAACGCATTGCCATTGGTCGTTGCTGTGGGCCTTAGACAAGGATGTAACGTTATTTCATAAGCAGCATTTTAACAGGGTTGTAATTTAGACAGGATCGATGACGGAATATAGTAGGGAATAGCCATTTAATTTTACCTTGGACTGCGGTACTGGCTACTTTTTATATACTTATCTATTGTTGTTGATTTTTAGTAGAATTTCTTTGTTATTTTCTGGTCGACGCTCGAATTTGACAAAGACATTCACGATCCTGCCAGCCCTATCCCTACTAATGTTAAGAAAATATTTTATTTTAATGTTAAGAAAAAAGCTTAGCTAGACCTTCTATATTAATATTTCCTCCACTAACAATAATACCAATATCCCACCCATTCTCACCAGCCTCGTTCTCTACCAGTGATCTAAACTCTTCATTAAATAAAACAACGGCCAGCGGCACAGCAGCACTTGGCTCGACCCAGATCTTAAGCCTCTCCAGCATAAGTCTTGTGGCTTCACGGATTTCATCCTCAGAGACAGCATACATGCCACTTACAAGCCTCCGCTCGTAAATAATACTCCAGGGCGTGGAACTAATAGCGCCAACAAGCCCGTCCGCGATGGTCGATGTATTAACTTCAGCAATTCTTGTGCCTGAGTAATACCCTCGACGGCCATCATCAGCACCCTCGAACTCTGGCTCGGCACCGTACACACGAATATTAGTGCCCTCACAGCTGAGAGCGGTACCTGATAAAAGGCCACCGCCGCTGCAGGGCGAAATAACAGCATCTAGCTTTGGTACCTGTTCCTGGAACTCGAGACAGGCAGTACCCTGGCCGAGGATGATGTCGGGGTGATTATGAGGCGGCACGAGCCGGGCCCCGGTATCCTCGATGACCTTATTAGCGACGGCCTCTCGCTCGTTGAAGGTGGAGCAGAAGACGACTTCGGCACCGTAGCCCCTTGTGGCTGCAACTTTATTGGGTCGAGTGGAGCTGGGCATAACGATGTAGGATTTGATTCCGTTCTCAGTGGCCGCGAGGGCTAAGGCTTGGGCATGATTGCCTACCCTGAAGGTCAGCGTCATAAGCAAAGAGTGAAGGAAAAAGTGAGCCAAGTGGGTGGGGTTTTATCGGGAATTAAGAGGACGAAATGCCCTGGAGGCCATTCTCAGCGCGGCTGGTGGGATTTACCTGAGCTAAACCCTACGACTCCTTTTTCCTTACCGCCGCTTTCGACCCATCCAGGCTCCTGCAATAGTCGCTTGATGGCGTGGAATGCGCCACGGGCCTTGAAGGCACCCATTCGCTGCATGTTCTCACACTTGAAGTGAAGCCTGATGACTGGCTTTGCGGGGACCCCGCCACCAGACTGCCTCGGCGTAGACGCCATGCGGTTCAAGGTCTTGCTCGTCACTACTGGAGTTCGTGTAACATTAAGCTCGATGAGCTTGTGAGCATTGACGAGAGCTTCTCTTGTCAACGGCGGGCATGTTGCGAGCTGGGCCATGTTGGGTGGATAGGCTTCAGAGAGTACGTGCACGATCGTAAGCAAGTGTCAAACCGTGGGAGCGGTCTAGAGGAGAAGTTCCAGGAGACGAATTAAATCAGGTTTCCACGATATTCAAGGAGAGTGAGTGCACTTGCAGACTATGAAATAGAGCGCCATTTTATCATTGCGGCACAGAGTCCCGGCCGACTTCGGAGGAGCTGGGATTTCTTCTAGACAATTTTAGTCACACATGCTACCAATTGTTACCCGCCCACAGAAGGAATATAGTGTGCGTGGCAGGGAGCCTCTATGGCTCGGGAATGCATTCATCCATTATCTCAAGGGCAGATACGTTGGCCGAAATTTACTTCACATCCGGAGCTCCAGTAATAGTATAGCAGGATTTCCTCGAGTCCCGAACTCCCGAGCAACTTGTGTTATTATCTAAAAGCCCGGCCCGAAGCGGTAGGGTGAAATAAGTTTTAAGGTAGGCTGACTTTAGAAAGAGCGCGAGCCACTAGACTAGGGGTGTTTTCCCAGGGTTACTACCAGAGAAGGTGGTGAACTATCGAGGCCCCGGCCCGAGAAAAGCCCTTGACGCATTCTCTTTCGGATATTGTAGCCGAGAGCCGAACCAGACCTTTTGATATTGTTAGTGGTTGAACGCCTGCAATCCTTTGCGTATTTGAACCGAGATAATCAGCCCAGATTACTATATTTCTGGCCACGGCTCTCTACGCACGGCATAATTTTTCAACTCGCATGCGCGCCTCCGCAGTCTGGATCAAGATTACCAGGCACAATCTTTTGCAGTTCTGACAGGCTGATACCTATCCACGTCGCCCACCATGTCGTCTCTGAACGGTGAACCAATCATTGTTTCTGGTGGGACTGCAGGTCTGGCTCACTATCCTCATGCCAGGCTTGCCCCAGGTGGCCAAACCCGGACCCTGTACATATCCGGCACAAGTAGCAGACTTCCTGACGGGACTTTTGATGGTGTGAAAGTCAACGAGGATGGAAGCCTCAACTTCGATGTCCGGCAACAAACGTTTACAATCATTCGCAACATCGAAGCAATCATCAAGAACGCGACTGCCGGCCGTGGCAACCTCGGAAATATAATCGACGCTACAATCTTTTTAGTTGATATCGGCAAAAATTACAGTGGCATGAATGCTGTATGGAATGAGTTTTGGCCCCGTGTCGACACAGCCCCAGCAAGGACAACTATCGGGGTTAAGGAGCTCCCTAGCCCGAAAATTGTTGTCGAATTCAAGTGCACCGCTCTGATCGATGTAGATGGATGAGATATAAATAAACCTCGTTACCAATTTATTACGACCAGAGAGTAGGAACGCTTCCGTCACTTGTACCCCGCCAATTTTTCACCACTTATGCAAGAGAATCACGGCTGAACACCTACCATTAAAGGACTCACAAACTGGCTCACAATTCACCCTAAGTCCTTGTCGCCAGATAATAAGCTACCCCAGAATATATATATATATATATTCATTTAACATTAAGTTAAACTTAAACCTTCCGTGTATGTAATAAAAAGGGGACACTGAGCTGCAAAGCAACTTAAAGTCGAACAGCACAAGGTGCAGAGAGTGTTCGAGGTGAGCTTTGTCTCGCGAGGTTGACCTTTGGGCATCATTACATAGGCCATCATCATCTAACTCGAGCTCAGGAATCACACACCAGAAAGCTTGGGGAATGTTATAAATGCCTATTTTGGATAATATGGATGGATGCCTTAGGTGTATCTGTAAAGCATTATGATTCTTGCATTTAACAATGCTAACAACCACTTATATTATCCTAAATAGAAGTTAAATATCTTTATATTATACCGGGTTGTTATGTTCAAGCGTTGATCTTTAAGGCTGCTAATATTGAGAAGGGGAGATCTCTTAAGCCACTGTATGTGAACTTTCACGTTAGTGCATTTATGGGTAACTTGACTAAGGGCTATGCATATTTTAATCAGCTGGTATCAGAATAGATAGGAGCCGTTTTTTCTTAATTTTAAGTAGAATTATAATTCTCTCAAGACTTTAAATCCTAGGTGAATAGTCGATTAACTGTTTAATGTGTTTCCACAAAGGAATAATATTTAACTTCATCATGGGATGTATTGCCGCAATTTATAGCGCCTCTGGAGTGTATATAGTAGACAGAATTAGGGGCAGATCACCATGTAGCCACGGTCTTGCTATTTCTTCTTAATGAATTATTAGGGGAGGAATATATCTTTTATAATTTCCACTATTAGTAACTCACCCGAAATGCCTTAAAGCCCCTATTATAAGCTATTACAGCAGTTAATAAATTCGCAGAGTATTATAAACCTTTTCCTACTCCCCTCCCTAATACGAATTCGACTTTTACAGCCATTCGGCATTTGCATCCGGTGGGTAGGATCTTATTACATTTCAATTGCTCAGTCAATATGAGCGAAACTTATCAATGGGCAGTTGCCATGACCCGACTTCGGCTCATCTGATCAGATGGTGGGTTTGGAGAATGCAAATGTCGGATATGTTTCATTGCCGAATTGATATCCTGTATCAACCCCGGTTCATGTTTCCGAGATCCGAACTCTATTGGTTAATTGTGGCAAAACCAAAGAAGGGATCTCGGACATCCCAATCAATTCCTGTCTTAACTATCTAAGGTATAAACTCTAATATCATTAATTGGCCCATTTTCTCCTTACCTCTGAATGATTAGCGTCTTGCTAGAGATTTTTGGGTAACTTTCGGAGCTCTCACCTCCTATTCTTATCTTAGTTGGACAAGAAGAGTCTCGTACAGCGGGCATAAATAAAAGACAGCCCAGATATTCTGGGGCTTAGACACTTGCCATTCTTCACCTTTTACCCACTCAATTGCAATTCTCCCGCAGACACGGAGTTATCTGCAAAATGGCAACGCCGAACGATGCCGAGAAGTTCAGTCAAGATGACCTTGAGCACACCTTATCCAACAATATGGGAGAAGTCATCGACCAGAATCAATTGAAGCGTGAGTTCAAGCCTCGACAAGTCTTCATGTTCTCTATTGCTTGTGCTATTGGTACTGGACTCATTATCGGCTCGGGAACCGCCCTATCAAGAGGAGGCCCTGGAAGCATCCTCATTGGCTACCTGTTAATTGGGGCCACTGTCTTTTTTATTATGTCCGGCCTAGGAGAGATGGCGGCCTTTCTTCCTATGAATAAAGGATTTGGCGGGTATGCGAGTCGGATGGTGGACCCTGCTTTTGGGTAAGTATTACTTGTAACCCTTGTTCTAGTCGAAGGCGCAGTGCTTACAAGGTCTTGGGAACAGCTTTGCGACTGGATGGAACTATTTCTTCAAGTACATAATTGCAACGCCAACGAATCTTACAGCTGCCGGTCTCATTATCCGATACTGGAGACCGGACCTCAACGTTGGAATCTGGATTGGCGTATTTGGGGCAGTCATCGTTTGCATCAATGTATGTTGACGATCTCTTGGGAGCATAGCTATCAGAACAACCGCCCCTAACAGTTATTGCGTAACAGTTTTTGCACGTGTCCAAACTCGGCGAGACGGAATTCTGGCTTGGCTGCGCTAAGATTCTCATCATGAGCATGCTGATCCTCTCATGTCTCGTGATAGCGCTTGGCGGTGGTCCGAACCATAGAAGAAGCGGCTTTCACTACTGGAGCGACCCTGGTGCGTTCAAAGAGTATATCTTGGAAGGGCCTCGCGGAAGGTTCCTAGGCGTTTGGGCTTGTATCTGTCAAGCATGCTTTGCTTTTACTGGCACAGAGGTTGTTGGGATGACCTTCGGCGAGACACCAAACCCAAGGAAAAATATTCCTAGAGCTATTAAGCAGACATTCTGGAGGATTGCTGTGTTCTACATCTTTGGCATTATTGTCCTCGGGATGGCTGTTCCCAGCGATAATGATATGCTAATCGGGGCTACGAAGAAGTCTACGAGCGCAGGTATGTTGATATCTCTGATGGCTGCGATATGTCAGATGACTGAACTTGGATTAGATGCCTCCCCGTTTGTTGTTGCTATTCGTCTTGCTGGCATTTCTGTATTTCCTGACATCGTGAATGGCTCTCTGCTGGTTTTCACACTCAGTGCGGCATGCACAGGTAAGTGAGCCTGTAGAGTCCATCTGACATGAAGACAAGCTGACAGAGATGAGCAGACATTTACTGTGCGTCTCGTTCTTTGTATGGTCTGGCTCGCGATGGGCAAGCGCCGAAGATCTTCGCTAAGACGCTCAAGAATGGAAACCCAGCTTGGGCTGTAGCTTTGTCTTCATTATCGATCATTTTGGGCTTCTTGAATATCAGCAAGTCAGCCGGAACCATCTTTCAATACTTCGTCAGCCTTGTTACCATATTCGCTGTCCTTAATTGGATGGCGATTCTGGTTTCTCACATTTCATTCCGCCGGGCGTTGAAGGCCCAAGGCATCTCTCTTGAAGACCTCCCCTACGCCGCTTTCGGTCAGCCCTGGGGATCATATTATGCTCTCTTTATGTCATGCATGATCCTGCTTTTCAGCGGGTACGACGCCTTTATGCCGCATTTCAAGGCTGATCAGTTCGTCCTGAAGTATCTCGGTATAGCTATCTTTGCGATTAACACGATTCTTTGGAAGTTCTGGAAGGGTACAAAGAGAGTCACGGCCAGTGACATGGACATTGCCACCGGGCGTAGAGAGTATCAGGAGGCCGAGACTGCTACAGAACAGCAATGGAACAAGGGCTTCTGGAAGAAGATGGTGAACAAGCTGCGGAAGTAGTTATAGGTTTGGCGACGGCTGCCTCATCACAGTGCCCTCGCAGACCGATGATATCATGTCACTCAAGACGGGAAATGTACCATGCCGCCGTAGCTGGGCTTTGCTCGCTCGGGACTGCATACTCGTTGATTATGCAGGGTTTTCTAAATAGCCCTACTTCAGCAATAAGATTCTCAAGGTTTTAAACATTTCTGGTGACCTTATCACCATCTGTCTCCTCGTGCCAAGTGTATTAGTCAGGTACACTCCCATTTGTCTTGATAAATTAACAGAATTATTTTGTCCAGCGGTTGGAAGTAGACAGCTGACTGGCGCTTGAGGGATCGACTATAGGCATGTCGGGAAAGGCAGCGCAGATTTTTGGGAACGCACGTCCCCACATCTCAGGATACTAAGCCTGGGGTGACTGCTAAAAGCCAGATCCGTCAGGTTCATTCCAGATCTCAAAGTCGAGTCCTTTGGTCATGTCATTTCCCATAATTCACGTAACAGCGGTGTCCAAAAATTCGTCGAATGAGGACCAGTTGCCATTATGCCCCGGGCATGGCGAGGCGAACCGTAGCATCGGCACCCCAGATCAGGCAACAACAACTAGACACGTGCTCCATACTTGCGAGGCGTCTTGTAGTTACTCAAAGCTGAGTTGAAGCGTTGCTTGAGCGTAATGTCGGTTTTTCATACTTGTTCATGTTTCGTCGAACTCAGGTTTGATCAAAGGACTTACTTCGAAGTCATTCTTTCCAAATGCCCAACCTCTGGCAGGAAGCTGAGCCCCTCCCGCTCTTGTGTACCTGAACCCCGTGACCTTTGCTCCCCGAAGTGCTGGGGGTGGGGTTAGGGTTGGATGCAGGGATATCCAACCTTGATCTAGACCACATAGCGGAAAGTTTGATTAAGAGGCTAAGACTTATCTACAGATCAGGAGCGGCATCACCTTTTGATGTCGACGAAGACGGTAATAATATTGCTCATATATGCTTAAGTGTGGGTTAGCTGCTGTTTCCTTTTAATTACCTTGAACTAACGGCCTTTGTAGACCGTTTTGCACTACGTCAACTTCCATGCGAGATTAAAGTCCAACGATATGGCAATCAACGCCATTTGCAAGATGCTGACCTACCTGGCTGATATCGGTGTTCCCATCACCACATCGAATTTCAATCAATTGTAATCAAACCAGACCGGATTCCATGACATACCTAACATGAATTAGTAACGTGTTAACTCTATCGATTAAATCATACCGGTGCTTGTGGATAGTACCGAGGCTTTATAGATTAATTATGAACCGTGATTCCAGCTTTTACCATGCCGAAATTGCTCACGATGACCGCCTGGGTGCAGGTCTGTTGGTTTCAAATAAAGAACCGTGGGTAAGGCAGTTTAATGTCTTATGCGAATATCCCGAAATATGTGAAGGTGGGATTACTGACACCCGCTTTTCACCCTTGTTTAAAGCACTAATGTTTATACACAGAAATCGGATTCTCAGAGCTCTTTTTAGCTGTTATAAAGAAAGATGATGAAAGACTTCGAACTATCCTGGAAGAAGAGGATGATATTTCAAAGATTTCGCAAACAGATTTATACGGCCGTAACATATTGCATTTGTGCACCAACTGGCCTGATGGGCTGAGACTACTTTTACAACGGCAAGATGTTCGTCCCTTGATAGACTCGAACTCTAGAGCATTAATTTATCCTCTCTCACCTCTGGACTATGCTCTCTTCTACAGCAAAATTTGCTGCAATGCTCCTGACCAGTGGACTCACTGTGATAACTGCAGTTGCTACGCTACGGTTCAGCTTCTACTCGAAGCCGATTGCAGTGTCACAGTCGGTCAAGGGCGTCCTGAAACCCTAGCTGGTTGCTCTTTGAAGGCCGAAAATTGTTCTTTAAGCATCTCAAGGACAGACGTGAACGATTACGGAATGCTGCTCTTGGCACCCTTCCCAAGGAAACCCTGCGTCAATATGGAATAACCGCAAACTTCTTACCTGACAAGACTGCCCCCTTGTTGTGGAGTGAACTGCAGGAAGCTAAGGAACCGCCGTATCAGCTACCGGTGGACCTTACTAATAGCCCCAAGCCTTACAGCGGCAATCTTTTCATTAAACACGAGAGCTTTTTCCGCTCCCCTCATCACCTACAGGTTGCAGAACTGGCACTCGACTACGGTTTAGCACCTAAAGATGAAAGTGGGGTTCCAACACTTCTGTCTGGCAATTACCTCATGCCCGGCCATTCATTTGGGAGGTCAGAAAAGGTATCTAGAAATTATCTAGAATGGCTGGTCTAGTTCGACCTAAAACTAGAGCTCTGTCTAGGGCCCTTCCGACTTTCCACGCTTCACCGCGCTGCGGCTTGCATCGGGGACCAGATCTTCGTGTCCTTACACCGATACAAGCACTTCGACCTTTCACCCCAAAACGTCTCTATATCTGAACTACAGGATTCAAAGACACTGCTACCAGCGATAGGTCACAGCAAGGCTCAATGCAGTATTCCATGTCCGTGCTCATCGGAAATGTTTGCCCGACCTTTGGCACATATCTTACCTAGAATGCTGTGGTATCAATATCGCAGTGACTCGACGAAGTTTTTTGAGAACATGGCAGAGAATATCGAATTTGTGGTGCCTTCCATTGATCTGTTGAAGCTTCCAAAATGCAGCTCTGAAGAATCATATATGGCGAAATGTGCAGTTCATATTTTCACCATGATGTCCTTGGGGGAAAGGCACTTGCCGATCTGTCTCAGTGGATGTTATTATAATCTACAGATTTCAGGGTGCGAAGAAGAATGGAAGGAAATATTAGATGAGGACCGAGAGTTGATCGATCAGCTTCAAGCCCTTGACGAAGAATTTGGAGACGCCTTTGATTGGCAAAATGTCCCCATAGGAGAGTTTCTCCGGGGCTACTGGCTGACAAGAATGAAAGAAGTCATCGCGGATTTGAATAAACCCCTAAATGATGACGATAGATATGATCTTTGGGAGGCTGGCGTGGAGTTGGAAGAGGACGATGCGGATAGTACTGGATGTTGTATTGGGTATATGGAGGACGAACTTTGGGTTCAGGTTGTTTCCATGGGGGATGGATCAGACTGGAGCCTAGACAGGACATCTCAAACTGATCATCGATTCAAGAATGCCAGCATAAAATTAAAAAATCTATGTCGCGCCCCAAAACTCGTCGACCCTAGATATCTTGTCGCTCCCCCATCAAGCAAACTATAACAGCATATGTTAGCTATCCGGATATATGTTCTAATGGATAAAGATCTCTTATCTCTGTGTATGCACAGATTGGGATGTATTAACCGGAAGCTTATCTTTTGACGTAGAGATCTGCAGATTTATATCCCAGTCTATCGTGGTTTATCTGCGGGGTTGCTCCATTTTCACTAAGCGACCATGCATCAACTAACCCATCTTTCGGGTCGTCGGCGCGCCCTTTAACATTGTCTTCTTATTAATTCCTCACCGTTTGAAGATAAGCATACTTTCGTAACCTCAATTGTCGTCTATGACTAGCTTAATGCTGATAAGCGGAAGTAACGTTAAACCCCGACTTCGGATGTACCATCGCGTCTGCAACTCATATCTTGCTGCAGCACGTCTCTGACCACTTACAACATGCCTCGCGTTTATGCAACTGTGATTTATATGGACCTTTCGACTTGGCCGATGCCTTTGAATATCCTATCATGGCCTCGGGGAACTAGCGATGCCGACGGTGCAAAGGGCGCTCAAAAGTTCGTTGCAGATAAGTCGATGCGTCTTTTTCGGTTACTCGTAGTCGCCGACGCTCACGTTTCCCTATCTAATCTCAGAAAGAAAGAGTAGGTTGATTGACTATGTAGGCAATATATAGTTGACAATTTCATCTCCTCTTCCAACCATATGCATTGCTGGCTTTAAACCTTTGTTGTTACCTGTTGCCATGAAACAATCCATTGCAAGTGTTATCCTTGGGCTAGGGGGCGCCATAGCCTCTTCTCTACCCGTACAACTACATACCAGAGGGTCCCTAACTTCTCACTTAACAAATATCTACGTGAAATTTGATCAAGCGTCAGAGGGTCCTTTGTCATTCACTTATGGCCTTTGCAACAGCAAGTCTCGTTCTGAGTCCCACTACACGATAGCCGTCACCGAAAACAAAGGTGTCTCTCGATTAGTCTGGATCATCCCAGATGATTCACACGACAACGGCTGCATTTCAGCATGGACAGAAGATAATGTTCTCGTGGGACGCAGTGAGCCCCAAAGGCTTCATCGTGTCAGGCGTCGGAATATTCAGAAGCGGGCAACAGGTGAGTCATAGTCCTTTCCGTGCGGTTGGAGGCTGACAACAAGGCTGTGACAGATGCAATCCTCATGAATGCCGATAATGGTATTGATACATTGGGACCATGGTTCGACGGCGTTGAGCATCTCTCCAAGACCGGCCTCTCTGCACTCGATGCCGACGCTGCCAAAGAGAAGCAGATTGCCATTGTTGGTGCGGGTATGTCAGGCTTGATGACCTACCTGGTTCTGTCACAAGCAGGTATGACCAACATCAGTATCATTGAAGGCGGTAATCGGCTTGGTGGCCGCGTTCATACCGAGTATCTCACCGGCGGACCTTTTGACTATTCTTATCAAGAGATGGGACCCATGCGATTTCCCTCCACTTACAAGAGTCCTGAGACCAACGAGACAATGAACATCACGGACCATCAGCTGGTGTTTCAACTTGCAGAAGAGATGAACAAGCTCAACAACCACGACAAGAACCTCAGTGTTGACTTCATTCCATGGATCCAGAGTAGCCTAAACGGCCTCTCGTACAAGAACGAGTTCAAACTGCCAAGTGGACTACCCCCAACGCTAAAGGAAATTGCAGGTAATGCATCACTCAGTCCTGCAAGTGTCAATGACCCTATGACCCAAGACCTCCAGACCAAGGTTGATACATTCATGCCTGGCTCGGAGTTCAGCACTCTTATGGCAAAGAACATGTTCAAAGCCCATAAGCAGTGGCTCGAAACTGGTCTCAATGGCCTTGGTGGTGATCAATGGTCGGAATATGCATTTATGGTCAACTACTTGAAGGGTAGCCTTAACAGCACTGACATGAATGGCGGCTGGTCTGCCTCTAGCTTTTGGGATTCGCTATACGAGGGAATGTATTTCTCAGCCGCCAGCTACAAGACCATCGACGGCGGTCTCAACAGGCTTCCTTTGTCGTTCCATCCTCTTGTCGACAACATTACAACAATGGAGCGCAAAATTGAGCGTGTCAGGTATAGCGAGACCGACGAGAAGGTCACATTGCAATGGCGTAACGAGTACAACAACACAACATTCCAGAACTCAACTTTCGATTACGCTGTCATTGCAGTGCCCTTCTCCGTTGTCCGAAGGTGGCGTCTTCCCAAGCTCCCCGCAACGATCTCCAACGCCATCAAGGAGTTGAACTATGGATCCGCTTGCAAGGTTGCGCTTGAGTTCTCTGAGCGCTTCTGGGAACACTATGAGAACCCAATCTACGGCGGTTGCAGTACAACTACGGATATTCCGGGCATTGGCAGTATCTGCTATCCATCCTACAACTTGAATGGTACAGGCCCTGCTACCATTCTGGCAAGCTACATCAGTGGTGACATGGGAGTTCGGTTGGCAAGCATGTCCGAGGAAGATCACGTCCAGATGGTCCTTGATGCCATGGTTGAGATTCACGGAGAGTTCACTCGGGATCTTTATACCGGAAAGTATAACAGAAGATGCTGGGCGCTTGACCCTCTTGAATCGGGAAGTTGGGCTAGCCCGACTGCAGGACAGCATCAACTCTATATACCCGAGTACTTCAAGACATACAACAAGGTAAGCAGTGCAGCAATTTTGGCGAGTCATTTTCTGACGATTTGAGTAGATGATCTTTGTTGGCGAGCATACCTCGTATACTCACGCTTGGATTGCCTCGGCTTTAGACTCGGGTATCCGTGGCGCAGTCCAGCTTTTACTAGGTACGAATTGATGCGGACGATACAATCATCCACACTTGCTAACGAGAACAGAACTTGGGCTCGTTGACGAGGCAAAACAGGCGGTGGAGAAGTGGATGGCGAGATGGATTGAAGTGGTAAGACAATTTAACCTTGTTGAACGTAACATTACTGACATTTCGGGATATAGTAAGCGACTGTATACGCTCTTACCGGGACTAAAGACGTTCAAGTGGAACATTCGGTAACAGTTAAAATAAGAGACTGGCTCATGTGTGTCAAATTGTTTGGCAAGCGATACGGGCCTTGCCGGATTGTGTAATTTGGTAGACAATATCCATCAGCTGCCAAGCCTTGTTATACGCGTATCCCGACGATTACGTACTCCAATACGGTGCAGCCAATCAGAGTAAATGGATGTTCTCACCTCATCTCTGTGCTCACGGAGCGCTCCGGTGTATCCAGCAAAAGTCAGGCGATTTTTCCCGTGCAACCCGGAGACGCTTGGCTCGCTGTAGAAATTGTCAACTTGATAGATAATTCCGGATCAATGATCTAAGTATGGATGGGATTGAGTTGCAGTAAGACCAGTCATTGTAGTTAACCTATGTCCCTTGTAAACATGAGCACTATAATATGTAATCGATAATGCGAATAGTGGAATTCTCTATGCTTCCCAATACAGGCAGTGTCTATAAGATTGCTGTAGCAAGATAATGATTAATGTTATTTGAACTGTCAATTCCAAGGACGGACAGCAGCTCTTGTTGACTTAGCATTATTGAATCTTACAAGTTCTCTAAAATATCCAATAGCATTTCTCTTATTTTTCTCATCAACGGAGCATCATCTCTCTTATATGAACCCTCTATCTTAGCAAAGGTGACTTTTTCTGCCCAGCTTCCATTTCTCGACCATTTCTTTTACTCAGGGTATCTTTATTCACAAGCCAATCTCAACATGCTCGTCAATAGCATTTAACCCTCCCGCTCTGCATTTTCATGTCAATCACCACGGTGGTTCACATAGACTGTGTAATAAATGTCAATGCCCAGTGCGAACCCTGAGTACTGTACCTTCACGTGGAACAATGGTGACTGTTCCTCCCCAAGATAGGGCTCAAATGACCCATTTTCCGTCGTTAACGAATGCATGTCGGACGTTACCTGCCATTGTTCATGTGTCAATGGTCTCTGCTGCAACACGGACAAGCTGCCTAATGGTGCGAGTGATTGTCCCACTGTTGGCATCCTCTTGGGTTGCTGTTTTGCGCACCAACCAGGCATGGGGGTACTTTGTGTTTATGCTTCAATTGAAGGTACCCGATCATCCGAGTTATCGTGCGGTTGCTAACCGGGTCATTAAGATCGGATAAAACAAGCTTTGAGACAAAGGCCTACTGCAAATTTCATGGCGAGCAGGAAAGGACAGGTTGGTTTAAATGTCTCTAGTAGATCTCGTTAAATAAGTGGAGCTCAAGATTGATAAGATCAACAACTAATACTTAGTCCACCACAGAGAAGAACAAGAGCAACCTCGATGCATGACTATGAGGAATAACTTGACACCAAGTCCAATAAGCACTGGTTATTAAATAAAAGGAATAAATAGGTTTAATAAGAAAAGTCGTACGATGCTTACGTCTAGAGTAGGACCTACCCGGAACTACCGGTAGTCACGTGACGCTAGTATCCTAAGTTTGATTACGTGTAAAATTTTCGTGCGCTCAGCCCCTTACTATTCTCATTGTGCACAACCACCGCAGCTCCCTTCACCGCATAATGGCTGAGAAAATCGCCCACCAGCAGCCGCCATCGCCAGTGCGGTCTGGCATGAGACATAACGAGGATATCCGGTGCATCGTGTCCACGATCCTTTTTTTCCTCGTCTTTGTGGTTACTTGGCACAATTTCTCATCGCCGTTGGCGGGAGGCTGGGTTTCGCTTACACTATGGTTGTCGCTCTTCCAGCTGTCCTTTATGGGCGCTGTGACGACGCATAATGCTATCCATTTGCCCGTCTTTTGGAGTAGGAACTGGAACAACTTCTACCAGATTTGCTTGTCTCTTCAGTACGGCGGCGCTGTTACGGTCTTCATCCCAGGTCACAATTTGTCTCATCACAAATACCCTCAGCAAGCAAGAGATGTCAGTAAGTAGCTTACTTCCTTCCTATTCAGACCCCAACGTCTGACAGGAAATTAAATACCTCAATTTCTCCACACAAGACATTGCTGACCGCATAAACAGTGCGCACCACTAAAGTCCGATATAGCTGGAACCTCCTGAACGGTCTACTGTTCTTCTGGCATGTTGTTCTGTCAGGGAATAAGGATGACAAGCTGTACTTTGAGGCCCAGGCCCGTCTTAACCGACCTATTGTGAGGCAGCGCCGCCGCGAAGAGATTGCCGTCTGGGGTACTACCGCCGTGCTCATCTTGATGGACTGGCGTCGATGGATCTGGTTCGCACTCTTGCCCCAGTTCTATGCAAAGTACTGCATCCTTTCATTGAACTTCCTCCAGCACGACGGCTGCGACATGAGCTCCAAGTACAATTTTGCGCGCAACTTTACTGGCAAAACGCTCAATTACTTGTGCTTCAACAATGGCTATCATACCGTGCACCATTTATACCCTGGTCTGCATTGGTCTGTCCTGCCGCAGAAGCATCAAGAGCTCATTGGGCCTCACATCGCCCAGAGTCTTGAAAGCTCCAACATATTGATTTATATGTGGAAGAGCTTCATTTATCCCGGCCTCCGTCTTGACTATACTGGCCGTCGGCTTGTTATTACAAAGGAGGAAAACGAGATGCCTGACGAACCATGGTTTTACCAGGAGTCAGAGACTTTCTCAAACACGAAGGAATACCTGTCCCAGGGCATGAAATGATCGCATAATATCTGAGCTAGATTTGTAGAACATGATGTTTGGAGCCTGCACATACTATAGATATAGATACCAAAAGCGACGTTGCCTGAGAGATATTGCCATTGGTATCTCGGGGACTTGACTAATGTTAGAAGAAATAGAAACAACCAGTAAAAAGACCTCATTGATACATATAGGCTACTAACTTAGCGAGCTTCATTAGTGTATTCTAGCTAGTTGGAAAGGGTACTGGTGCTAAACAATCGCCACGTGATGATACCCCGCGAAACCTCGTTACCCCAGATATGTACTAGGCTGGGTAATTAAACTTCAACAGTTCAATTATCTTTCTTTACCTTGTATGTATCTAATCTCCCAGTTGTTTATTGCTTTAATTGTAATGGCAGAGCCAAACTCTACTGTATGTCCTCAGGTGAATATCCTTCTGCCGTATCTCTCTGCTAATGCCCTTCTGAAGCGCGCCCTTCAATGTCCGGAATGCACTCTGAAGTTTTCGCGTCCCAGCCATCTCCACCGGCATCAACTCACGCATTCTGCATCCAATCACAGACAACATATACCTTGCCCATATTGCTCAAAGACATTCAGTAGGCGCGACGTTCTGCTGCGTCATCTGCGTCATGGACATCAGGTACAAGAACAAACCAGGCGATCAAGTCAGAAGTCGTGTTTTCGATGTGTTGAACGGAAGGCGAAGTGCAATCGCGAAAGACCCTGCAATGGCTGCATCCGATCAGGGAATAATTGCGAGTATCCTGCGACAGACGATAGGAATGACTGGGGGCCGCATGAGGGCGCTTCTCCTACAGGACAGTCAATTCTTCCTTCCAACACATATCACATACAAGAACAGCAGGATGAATCGATGACCTCTCAAACGAATGAAGAAACTCGATCCTTCCAACATGAAACAGGACCTGACGGCCTCTTATTAGACGATCCAGCAGAGCATATTCCCCTATCAACAGCCCCTCTAGTCCATCAGATCCACGGTGCTGACATCACGGATCAAGATCAAGCTTGCCAGGTTGGCCCTTTTTATGATCTAGATGATGAGCCGACAATCTCTCCAACTATGGACATTCCACAATCCTTCAATGTCTTGCCAGTAGATGCAGCTCATTCGGTGTTTGAAGATACTTTTGCTCTTTCTCCCTCTTCCATCCTTCCAGGGCAGACAAGCTTTCGGACTGGTGGGTTTGACTGGTTGAACTTCGACATTGGCAATAGTCCTCAAGGCTTCCAAGTCGATACTTTTTATAATAGCTATATACCAGAGTTCTGGTTTTCCAGTACAGCCCAGCAAGTCTCCGAGTCAGAGGGTCTTAGTAGCAGTGGCACTGGCAATGGAGTACAACAAAGAACGAGCAGTGGGGAGTCGAGCCGGGATTCACAAGAGGAAGTGCTACCAGACGTGGAACAAAACACGCTTGCGTGGCCTTTTGATCAGGCGCATAAGCAATCTCCTCATCGCTATCGGCTCCCTCCACTTCGCGATATTCTCAACGGTTATTGCCCGACAGACCGACCGCGGCCTGTTCAGACAACACTTGTAAAAGGCTTCATCCAAATTCTCTCTGAGAATCCCCTTCCGCAGCTTGAAACCTTACGAGACCCTCATTCTATCCAAGCTTTTTGCAGTCTACAGCGTCTTGTTGACTCCTATTTTTCTCGGTTCCACGATATTCAGGCGATTATCCACAAACCTACTTGGACCATGTCGGCTTGCCCGCCTATTGTTCTCACGGCCATGGCCTCTGTTGGTGCATTGCTCTCTGATAGTCAGTCAGATTACGAGCTCTCAGTAGCACTGAGTGAGATCTGCTCTACAATGATTAACTGGATGGTTGGTTTTCACTCCTCACCTGCTGTACGCAAAACTGATTATCCAAGGGCGCCTCAGATGCTACCAACTACAGTGATGTCTCATATCTTAATGCGCTCTGCCTTTACCAGATTTATTCACTCGGGTCAGGAAAACGACAGCTATATCAGAATGCAGACAGGTCTCGTGGCCTCTTGATCGGTGGTTTACGGGGAGTCGGTCTGCTGAATCCCCGATCTTCGATCACTCTGAGTCAGGATCACGAGGCCATTCGTGGTTCTGAGGACGACCATGTTCTTACAAAAGATTGGAAGAACTGGATCAAAATGGAGTCAGGACGGAGGGCATCTTGGGCGGCATTCGAGTATGACTGCAGTCTTTGCACTCTCACAAGTCGTCGAGGCATTGTTGACTTGAGCGAGCTGCCATCGGAATTGCCATGTCCTGAGTCCATGTGGAACGCCACCTCGGCACGAGCTTGGTTTGCTCTGATGTCTCGTCTTGGTCAGGGTGACTCAAGACCAAATCTATCTAAAGTGCTGAAGCAAGCACTGGCTGGGAGAGAACTACCATCGTCCTTAGGATCCTGGGCCAAGAGGCTCTGTGCGCAGGTAATCGGGCGGTTACTCTGGGATCTCTGGCAAATCGAGGTTGTCGCAATGCCAGAGTACCTCGGCCTTGGATCAATTGTGGCTGCGCACCAAGACACGAAGAGGTCGCTGCTCAAGGGCTTGAATAACTTGGTTGAATCTCTATCTTCGCCATCATCGACGAGCGATCTGACCAGCTATAAGTAAGTAATGAGTCCTTTATAGACACTATATACTGACAGAAATACAGTATAGCCAGTCTTCTTTGCCACTATTCGCACTTGTGCGCGGCGAATGGCGTCCTCGACCTCATCCTATCGATCGTGCGGGGCCTCATCTCAACGGAACCTCGAGTACATGACGGAATCAAGGTAGCCCGCAACCGGCTCAAATTGACATTTGCCAGAGACCCAAAAACGGCAAGAAGACTATGCTGGCACGCAGCCCAAATCGTCGCGATCGCTAATGAGTACCTGGTGTCTGCCCCTTGCGAGATTATGCGAGTCTTTATGGGTTACATCTTCATCATTGCCTACTCTGCTTATGGGGATCATACTAGATCATCACCAATGGAGGTCACCCAAAGTGTCAGGCTGGATCTCCATGATCAGAATCTTTCTCACAGAAGAGTCGTTGTTAAATGGATTGAGGTTGGAGGACCAGCTAGCTCTGGATCTGTTCCAGATATTGGTACTGACGGTTGCGTCCCTGCCATCAGCACTGATGCACAAGAGATATTGAAGAAGCTGCAATGCTGGGGACTGGCTCATAAGTTTACCAAGGTATTTCAGGTATTGGAAACAAAAGGACTGTAGTATAAAGCGTGGAGTTGTTCTACTACTGTATGTATAAAGTTAAGGCGTTAAAATATAGCTATACAATTTGGAGGAGTACTGACGCCTCCTGGCATGTTCAGGGGTGCCGATGTTATAAAGAATTCCCATCTCTGCTCTTCTTGACAAATGTGGCTAAGACCCTCAAGATCAAATAATTCGCCAACTGGCATACCCCATCCTGCAATCAGATATTCATGCATAAATAAACCCTTGACCGAAGCATTCTCTCCTCGCTTATAAGACGGCTGCGGAGGGTACACTTCAAAGGAAATAGCATCACTTGCCACAGCTGAAAAGCCTTCATTCCATATCCATTTCAACATCTCTTCAGTGCCTTCAACTCCAGCATGTTGCGGGTTTGAGCTTTGCGCATAAGCCAGCTTGTCAGCTGCCGTCATCTGTAGATCCCACTCCTTAACAACTCCAATTCTAACGAACAGGATATCTCCGCGGAGGAACTTGACGCCTTGTTCTTTTGCGACGTCAAGGAGTACTTGAAGCGGGATAGAATGGTCTGAGAATGTCGTGTAAGATATTGAATGACGTCGAGCGTATTCAGCATAGTCCAGCAGAACACCACGGCCGCAAATGCCCTCTTTGGCCCAATGCTGAATGCCTATGCGAGTATTGTTTCTGTCTTGTATCTCACCCGACGTCATTCCTCCATAGAAGAGGCGACGGTTTGGGTCTGAGGGAGTTGGAGCTGGGGCAGAAAAATGGCGGAGCCCGTCCCATTGAGACGACTGTTGAGGGTTGAAGATATAAACATCATCATATGCGGCGCCGTTTAAAAGCGAGACAATATGATGCTGGGCTGGAGCTCGATTGAAGTTGGCAATGTCCAGCTTGGTCAGCTCCCAGTTCAAAGAGGTACGGCGACCTGTCTTGATGCATGTTGATGCCGCGTTGGCTACCACTTCTGGTGTGAGCAGTACGAGACGGCCGAGACCTTCTTCTCTAGACCCTGGCTTGCCGGTCCAGACTCTTTTTGGGTCCGGCAGACTATGATAATCTTGATGGTGTATTGAGGGTTTGCTAGTCGTGATCATAGAGCCCATGATGGGAGATTTGGAAGAGTCTAGGGATAATGAAAAAGAGAATTTAGGTCTCCCGCTTAAGGAACGAACTGGACTTTCTTCACTTTTACAGAGCACGTATTCCCCTTTCAACAGTTAGAATTGAATCCACTAAACCAGAAGAGTGTAGCTTGGGAAGCATGATGCGGAGAAGGAGTCGACCCCGTGGGGTCAGGTGCCATTTACCGACCTTAGCCTGGCCACTGAACCGGAGCGTGCCACTGCGGGGTTGACAAGAGACCACGCCCTCACATCCACCAGGAAACAGTGATGTAGTGCCGAGATTATCTCATCTTGTCCCAGGGAACTGGTCATTGAGTCATGCAGGACGAAGGGGAGCTGTCAGTCTTGGTCACCGCTCTGGTATTAGTCATTTACTGCAAATATGACACAGAAATAATAAAGTAATAGATAGGTGAATTATGTTAACGGCTATTTAACTGTCAGATTGCTCTGTCGCTATCCTGGGCTCCTTGTGTCCTAGCACTACATCATAGCCTTGCTTTTAGCTGCTGAATCCTCCATATGGGTAATATCCAGCTTTCCAATAAACTCGTCAAGCTCTTTGCGCTGCTCGGCCGGAACATCGTTGACATGAACGGCAACGTCATCACCAAAACGGGCAGAGATCTCCTCAAGTGACAGCTTAGCAGTCTCGGGAAAGTACAGGTACACAATTGGTATGAAGAAGATGCACCAAATAATGATGACCAGGTAATACTTCCAGCCGATGTTCACGAACCCAATTGGTGCTGTTTGAAGCAGAATGATGGTGCTCGTGAACTGGCCGAACAGAGAAAAGCCCATGCCGATAGGGCGAATCTCGGTTGGGAAGATCTCTGCAACGTAGATATACATGGTCGTATCACAAAAGGTTCTGGAAATACTGTCAGTCTACAAAAGCTCGCAGGTCAGGCCGGAGGACTTACCCTTGGAACGCCAGGTATAGAAAGACAAAGAAGACGCCTGCTGCATTACCTGCCTTATTTGCAGTCCCGGAAAACTCGGAGATGCAGGCAGCAAGTCCGCTCGTGGTAATCAAGCAGCCGAACAAGCCGGTCATAAACATCCATCGACGTGAATTAATTCTGTCGTGAAGCCAGGCGCCGAGCGGATTGTAGATGATGCCAGCGGTTGTAAGCCATAAGGCCGAAAGGAGCAGAGGCATAGACCCAGTTTGACCGAGGTTGGTGTAAAGAATGACCGAGTAGTTGTTCTGACAGTATTAGACTTTGAAACAAGTGAAGAGTAGTAAGCATCAACTTACGATAATTAGTGGTCCGGCGAACTCGGCGCCCCATTGTGTCAGGAAGCCTATTGCCAACCGTTTTCGGTAGCTCTTCTTCTTGATGACTGCCTTGAGAGGTCCACAACCCAGTGCCTTGAGCTTGGCGGAGTCCAAAGCGAGTTGTTCCTTGATCTGGTAGATCTCCTCTCGAGCGACTAGATCATCTGGATCGTCCGGTGACTTTCGCAAGTTACGAACAACGGTCCATGCCTCTTCGACCCGGCCCTTCTGCAGCAGCCATCGTGTAGACTCCGGGATCCAGAAAGACGTTGCCAGAAGGACAGTGGGAGCTAGACATTGCATGCACAGCGGAAATCTCCAAGCGAAGCCTGGCATGCTGGCCGTTGCAAAGTAGCAGGCATACCCGAGCCAGCCTGAGAGCATGTAGCCAAAGACAAGAAATATGGCGTGGTGTCCTACAAGCCATCCGCGTTTGTCGTGTGGTGCGAGCTCTCCCATGTACATTGGGCAGACCGTGACGAGGATTCCGATGCCGATGCCAGCCAAGATTCGGCCAGCTTGGAACATGCTGTAGTACCAAGTCAGTTTGCTGAACCTCACCATACAGAGCTGTAGCAGCCATGCGAGCAAATAGACAAGACTCACCTCAGATTTGCTGCACCGCCCTGCAATGCTCCTCCCAGCAACGCAAAGGCTCCACCAATCTGGATAGATCTCTTCCTACCCAGCGCAGTAGCAGCCCACATAACAAAAAGCGTGCCAATGGCGCCGCCCGCGCTGTAGATTCCATTTGCGGTCGAGATAGCTTCAGTCGTCTTGGTGCCGTAACCAGGCTCGCCCTGCTGGGGCAAGTCGAAGAAACTGTACCATCCTGGCTGTCCGATTGTGCTGCCAATGACGGAAGAGCAGTAGCCGTATGTCTGGACAAAATGAGCATAATGCAGCTGGATGTGAATAGCTGTCAGGGCAACTTACCAGGGAGCCAAAGGCGACCGCGACAGTGACCAGCCTGTTGTAAGCAGTTGTGTGCTTACCCATTGCTAGCGGTTCGACACCAGAATGCTGGGGGTATTGTAACTAGCAAATTGACGATGCTGTTGCTTAGATATGGGTTCTTCGTGCTGGGACAGTTTGGCAAGGTAGTTGTCAATTTATCCCTTGACAACGGCTTCTTATAAAGGAATGACTCTCAAGCAATTACCGGTCTGGCTATCGTGTGAAGAATGTCATTCATTCACCCCGTTACCCCGGATTTCAGGAGTATGATGGTCCACTTTCCCCCACAAATACAAACAATGCAGCAGCGGGGCAACTCCGAAGTGGCTGGCAAGTCTTCGGAGCGTGCCACTTTCTGGGGAACTTGATTTAAGCTTCGGTAATGCTTTGGCGTTGTAACCAAAGGAATCCCATATCATTTCCCTTTGCTGGAATCGTTATTTGGTAAGTCTCTTTGCGAAGGCTCCTTGTGACCAGCAACTGAGTCGCTATAGGAGGAACTACATGCCACGTGGGACATCAGGTCTTAACCACAACTCCTCAATCTCGCTGACAGGTAAAATCATGAAGTAACCATGCCTGCCCACGTTAACTTGTTTTTCGTTGTCTTTCTGCAAACGGCGTTGGAAAAGAAATCTCTGGCAATGCACATCAGATTTCTTGTATCCAGCATTGTTGTCATCTTTCAACAAGGTTCTGCACAATGGGAAACAGAAAAAGTCTAATATAGTACCTGAGAGAACTTCAAAGATTCACTTATTAAATAAATGAAACAATGATGGATTCTGAATGGCGTCTTTGAGATACTTTTATGTTATGTTATGTATATTTTTCGTCCGGGGGGCCGTAGGCCCCGAAAGTCCCCTACTGGAGCACAGGACGTGCTGAGCTAGAGAAATCGGGAACATATCTACACGCTAATTACAGGAACTCTATTGGCCATAGAGGATTAGTCATTCGCCACGCGAAATTGGCCTTTCCTATGGCGTCCAATT